GAAAACCTTTAAGTAAAGCTCAATTGAAAATGTACGATTTTCCTGACACGCAGAACACATGAAGACGTTTTTATTATGTATAAAGGACATATAGTACATGAATGGTGTTGTATTATAATCCATAACTTCAGTGTCAGGACATTTATGAATGTAGCCCCCTTTGTAATGTTTCAGAGGCTTTCTGGATCAAGTGTGATTTTTTTAATTGCAATTTTCTTGTATTTATGCACAGTGTACTTATAAATTTTTAATATATTTAAGACAGTTGCGTTAATAGCTATCCACTTTAGTTTGGGGATAATGTGAGACTCCAAGCAATGTCTATATTGATAGTTGATATATTAAAAAAGAAAATATCAAACATTGTATATTCCCCCTGAAACTACATGGTGAAATGTTTTAAACTTTGGGAATGGACTATTGAAAGACCCCCCTTGAACGATCCTCATTTAATCTTAATCGGTTGGGATATGTTCGGCATTGGATGCGCATTTTACCAGGTGAAAACCCAATCATATGTTCATGTTTTCTGACAATAGGTAACTAATTAAAATAAACTAAGCAGTGTAAAGTATGGAATTTCCCCCTCTATCAGTAGTCAGTTTTTTTTTTTAGCTCACCGTTCCGAAGGAACTGGGAGCTTTTGCCATCACTTGGCGTCCGTCGTCGTCCGTCTGGTGTTAACTATTTCAAATATCTTCTCCTCTGAAACTACTGAACCAATTCCAACCGAACTTTATCTGAATAATGCTTAGGGTATTTAAAATAAAGTTTGTGTTTTATTTACTGTTTTGTCAAATAATATGGCCGCCATGGCTAAAAAGAGAACATAGGGGTAAAATGCAGTTTTTGGCTCATATCTCAAAAACCAAAGCATTTAGAGCAAATCTGAAATGAGGTTAAAGTGTTAATTAGGTGAAGTTCTATCAGCCCTGAAATTTTCGGTTGAATGTGATAACCCATTGTTGGGTTGCTGCCACTAAATTGGTAATTGTAAGGAAATTTTGCAGTTTTTGGTTATTATCTTAAATATTATTAATGATAAAGAAAACTGTGAACAGCAAAAATGTTCAGCAAGGTAAGATCTACAAATAAGTTCATATGATCAAAATTGTCAATTGACCCCTTAAGGTGGCTGGGGTCTTAATTAAAATCCATAGAATTTTTCAATAATTTGTCAAAATGAAGTTTTTATCATGCTTTTTTCGAAAATATAATAAAAAGTATGGGTCATCTGACTTTTTTTCACGCTACAGGTTTTTGCAAAATTGTCAGATTTTGTATAGATTATGCATGGAAAATCCAATTTTGTGTGATAATAAGAAAACTACATCATAGAATTTTAAGATAAAATGTGAGAAGATAGATCTTATAACAGGCTTTCAGATAAGAAAAAAAATGGGGTCACCGGACTTGTTTTCTTGCTACATAATAAAATAGCAAGATGGAAGAAGACACTCGGAGCCACCTTAAGGAGTTATTGCCCTTTAAGGACAATTTTACAAAATTTGTTTATCATGTTTTCTAACTTTAAAAAATCTTCTTCTCTGAAACTACTAAACCAAGTCCAACCAAACTTAAGCTGAATGATTCTAAGGGAATCTAGAATAAAGTTTGTGTTTTCTTTTCTGTTTCGTAAAAAAACATGGCCGCCATGGCTCAATATAGAACGTAGGGGTAAAATGCAATTTTTGGCTTATATCTCAAAAACCAAAGCATTTAGAGCTAATCTGATGAGAGGTAAAAATGTTTATTAGGCCAAGTTCTGTCAGCCCTGAAATTTTCAGATGAATCTAACAACCCATTGTTGGATTGCTGCCACTTAATTGGTAATTTTAAGGAAATTTTGCAGATTTCGGTTATTATCTTGAATATTATTAATGATAAAGATAAACTGTAAACAGCCAAAATGTTCAGCAAAGTAAGATCTACAAATAAGTTTTTGTATGACCAAAATTGTCAATTGTCCCCTTAAGGAGTTATTGCCCTTTAAAATCAATTTTTCACAATTTGTTCATTTAGTTTGCTTACTTTCAAAAATCTTCTCCGTTGAAACTGCTGAATCAATTTCAGCTAAACTTGGGCTGAATGAGTTTCAGAGTATCTAGTATAAATTTTGTATTATATTTCTTGTACGTCAAGAGACATAGCCACTATGGCTAAAATGAAACATAGGGGTACAATGCATTTCTTTGATTTTGAAGAAAAATATGACAGATACAAAGAACATTTCAATGGAAGTTTTAAGCCATTCATTAATATATATTGAAAAGCAAAAATAATCATTGATGAAAGATTTAAGCAAACAATTACAGGTGAGCGATTCAGGCTCTTGAGAGCCTCTTGGTTTTTAATATGATCTAACAGATGGCCCGAAAAGGCAATCTTTAATTTCATTTTAGATAATTTTCAAACATCCTATCCTCTAGACATACAGGACAAAATACATTTGAAAGTTATGGAGATTGATTATTTTGAGATCCTCTACAAACTCTATTCATTTAATACTAATTGGTATGTTAGCAAAACGAAGTTGGTCGTACATAGTTCTGATTTCAGCACTATGAACGCATTTTACTATTTTTTCTGCATCTACTTGGTAAATTATAACCAAACATGACAGGAGTGATGTGTGGATTTTCTTAAATATTGATAATTTTGTTTCAATCGGATGCAAAACATAGCCAAGAGAGGCAATCTTTAATGACGATTAACCAATTTTAGAAAACAAACATTGATTTTGTTTTCGGATTGAGTTTAAACATTTGTATTTTATTATTCAAAATTTCAAATAGATTTTAGCTGCTTTGTTTGATGAACAGACACAGATGAATCAATCGTTTCTTTTTTTTAAATGAATATTCAAATGAGATGTTCAATATTTGTAAAACTATTATAGAAACAAACGCAATAGTTATTTTCACATCGTACAGTCAATATTGAGATCAGGTGAGCGATACCAGCCCTTTGAAGCCTGCAGGATTTTTTCCTTTGTGAACATTTGACTATATAAAACATTTCCAGGGTTTTTCGTCAAATGCTTAGCATCTGGAATATGAAATTCCATGAAGAAAAATTTTATTTTCTACTTTTATTTATAAATTTTTTACAATAGGTTAATGCTATAAGACGAGAAGACGATTGCACACTTGAAGAGAAGTGTGCGCCTGGTGGCAAGATGGTAACAGTTTGGAAAAATGATGGATGTCATGAGAATGGATGGTGTGTTGTCAAAAAGGGCAATTATGAATGTGAATGCAAACCTAATTATCTTGGAGATGGGCGTGAAAAGTGTGATGGTAAAGTTGTTTATATACTTTTTAGCATTTATTATGGTTACAATTTATACAAATTAGGATATAAAAAAACTAAGGGAATCGCATGTACGAGACAAGTAATAAAGGAAACCTGTAACTGTAATTTAGTGTAATTATTCATTGACAATGACAGTAAATCAACAATGTAATTCTTTTACCTTGCAATAACAAAACTCAAAAGACTAAACCTCAAGGTGAAATGATCTTACGATGATATTGTGGGTTTTTTTGGAGATTATTCAAATAATTTAGTCAGAATTGTTGAAAAGATGCCGGTTCTTGGTTTCCCTAGTTTAGCAAGAAAGTTAAAGCTTATAGCGGAAATCCTCTGATTGCTTGGTCATATAAAGGTGTGTTAATAAAAAAATCGGAAAGTCTATATATATATATATATATATATATATATATATATATATACAAATACTTATCCTGAAATCTACATCCTTAATTGAATTTTGTTTTGAAACTACGATACATCAATGAAAGAATATATTATTGTTAAAGGGTCATTAGCTACGAGATATAAAAAAATATGATTTTGTTTTGTTCAATTATTCATGAAACTGAAAGAGTAAAATAATAATTCGCTTTCAGCAGCCAGTTTGGTTCAATTTTGTCAAAATAAGCTTAGACACATCACTGTTGCATTATTAACTTGCAAGTGAATAATTTGACCTCATTGAATCCGTATACATGTGACCTTCAATTAAACCCCTAAGCTAGAGATGGTTACGCATAAACTAGACGTGTTTAGCTATTTAAAGGAAAATAATTTCAACATTGAAAGTGAAACAAGGGTAAACCATTCGGTTGACTGATTCGATCCACAAAACTCATTCCTATACAGGTAAAAACGATAATTAAACAATAATATGAAATCAAACAGACCTAAAAAAAATCCAATTGCACGTGTTCGCTATCTATTTGTATTTATATTCATGTTACCTAGAAAAATCCAATTGCACATGTTCGCTATCTATTCATATCTATATCTATGTTTATATCTATGTTTATATCGGGTTGTATAGCGTTGGTAGTCTTCGGAGGTCACCTCGATGGTTAGTTAGATGACATCTAGACAGAAATACATACGAAATGCTGATACATTTTATCGACTCCTTGCATCGTAAATTGTTTATTTTAAACTTTTTATGATTTGGATATACGTTTAAGTATGTTATAAATCAAATATGAGAATTTGAGTCAAATTGGTGAACACGAATTTGACAGCTAATGCCTCTTTAATTAAGAAATCTAGTTTTAAGATATTTTTTCTTTCTGTAAATTTAGTATTTTTCACACATTTCGGTTGTAGTCAATTAAGTATTGTTTAGTTACTTTCAAGAAAATTAAGGATATATGAATTACAGCTGCTGAATATTCTGAAAAATAACCTTGTAGACAACAATCACACGATTGTTTAGTACTCAATTCGAAGCAGTGGTTATGTCTAAAGATAAGATGGCATAAAATTGAAAAATTCATAAATAACTGCCAAGCCTTTCGATATCGATTGATGTATTAATTATAGTTTCAATTCAACTATTATTATGAATGATAAAAAATATCAATATGGTTTTAGAGCATAGTAAATCCTTAAGAAGTTTGAAAAAAATGTAAATAAGTACTATGTCTTGAAAGTTTAAAACTTAAATGATATCTTTTTATTTTCTATTTTGGTAGAAATTCCAGCATCTTGTATAAAGAATGAGAAAGTTTTTGTTAAGTCACGACGTTGTAAACGCCATAGAAAAAACAAAAAGATTATGGTATGTAAAATTCAGAGTGCTGATAAAATTATAAATGTTGACTTGGATCCATCTTTCAAAAATAAAAGATCCAAAAAAGGTAGAGTTAACAAGAAGCAAGAAAAGAACAAAAGAAGAAAGCAAAAAGCAGAAAAGAAACGTCAACAGAAGAAAAGAAAAAGAAATCGTCGTAACAAGTGTAGATTCATCAGACAAAGAGGAAACAAGTTTATCATTAGAGGAAACTGTAGAAGGGCAATATTTCAAGTCACATATTTATCAAAAGGTAAGAATTAATTGTAAGTGTGCAATCAACGCGGTAGGATGATAAAACTAGTTTGTACATCGGATAGGATAATGTTCAACGGGGTCTCATCTTTGTACAAAATAAACACTCAAATTTATTACGATTTCACCTTATCCTCTGATAATAAAAATCCATGCCATTTTAAAAAGAAAAGAAAAAAAAACTTTTTTTTGAAGAATTATAGATCTAACAACTATTTACTTTCGACAAAACTTTGTTATTTTATTTCGTTATTTCTTATCTTGATTACTCGATATTATTCGATAAATAAAAAAGCTAATCATAATTTGACATATTTTTCAAAGAGAAAATTCAGAGTAATGTGATTTTTCTTTTAGAAAATATTAATACAAAAAATGTAGAAATTTCTTTAACTTCTTCATTTCTCACTAAACACTGTTACAAAAATTGACATACAGTTAAACCACCCCATATACGAAACATGTTGGCAAAACTAGTATCTTCATTCACCTTATCTGATTATTGTGCATTAACTATAGTCTGTAATATATTCCCGGACCATTTGTACTCTGTTAATGTTTATCTCTGCTTTACAGTTTTTTTTTATTCGCCTTGTAATGGGTTTTTTGTGTTTTGTAACTGACTGATTCGTGATATACCCTTTTTTAACTAAGCCAATAAACAAAGGAAATACTAGTATCAAGAATCTTATGTTACACCTCCAGCAAACAAAATTTACCTTATATAGTTTGAATTATTCTGTTTATGTCTGTTTTAATCATTTAGCTTCTCACGTATTTATACATCTACGGTCTTTGTATCGCCTCGAAGAAGTCGGAAAAGTTAAACTTAGGTATACTGTTTCCGGTGGCAACGTCGTCGGTAGCGACTGTCAACAATGTATTGTAATCATGTGAGTAAAAGTGGAACCACTAGTGGAAGGTCAATGATATTTGGTGTACAGTTGTATAAGTATAAGCAAATATCATTTCAATAATGATTATTTGGCTCTCTGCCACCGCAGTCATGCATGGTCTGTTGACTTTGAAACTTTTGCTTAGTTTACATGTTAAAAGTTTTTTTTATGCCGTCAGTTTAAGATGAACACCAACTAGTAATTTCAATAACAATTGGTATGCAAATGTATTAATATTTGCACGTCTCATGTCCATGGAGATAATTTGACACAGTCTCCTCATCATAGTTCATTGACTTTGAAACTTCAGCATAGTTTATTAGTATTTCTACGTCCCTTTTCTATCGAGATTGTATGGCCCTTCCAATCATCATGTTCATTGACTTTGAAATCTTTGCACCTATGATAAGTCAATGATATTTCATATGCAGTTATTTAAGGAATGACTTTACTTTTTTTTTTGTCTATGAAGAAATAACATCAAAAAATGTGGTGCACACTGAATAACCTTATTCAAAAGTGTGCACATATGTTTTATGTTATTTCGAATAGATAGAAAAAATATTACAGTCAATCCTTATGATTTAATTCTAAATTCCTTTTTTAAGGAGTAAATCATGAAAAAAACGTTGATGACGTCATGGTCACATGACAAAATTATGTCTATGAGCTGAGAGACAAAAACGTTTAGCCAATCAGAAGACGTGTTACACCAAAATTAAATTATACTGCGTTGACATTTCTCATTTCCACCGATGTTATTTGACTCTGCTTTCACTGTTTATTTACTTTGAATGTCTTGCATAGTTAACATGTGAACGTATTGCCATTTGAATTTTAATATTTACGTTGTACTATCAAACCTACATAAACGTCAGACATGTGTCTGTGTCAACAGTTGATAATCTCTTTCTACATGCTATTTTAATATTCTTATATTCTTATTTTTTCTAACTATTTAAAAGTTTTTACGTTATTTAAAGCATTTTCATTACTGAATGATTTTTATATATTTCTGTTGTATGTGGAAAAATGTGGGTGGTCGCAAGTTTTTTATGTTTATACAATAACAAATATTAATTTTTTTTTCTCAAATTATATTATTCTTATGATAGAATATTTTCCTAATTTTTGTACTACAGCATTGAAAGATAAAACAAAGGAGAGGATTTGAAGTAATTGTCAATGAAGGCAGCAAGCAACCGAGACAAAAATCATAATTTATCTCGAGTGTAACATGCTGATTTTTTAACTCTCTATACAGTATATATCTTGACCATAAACAAGTTGTGGAATGCTAGTAATGTTCTTATCTTTATTCCTAACCTATCTCTATATTTTATTTATATTTAGGCAGAAACTGTGCAAATGATTGTGGGGAAAATGCCATTTTTAAAAATGGTAAATGTAAATGCCCAAGGGGATACACTGGTGATCCTAGGAAAAGGTGCTCAGGTATGTACGTCTAAAGTAGTTTGGTCATTCAAAAAAATATGGAATGTTTATACTTTAATAATTAACAACATTTTCTTTCTGATTATTCAAATAAGCTTTCAAAAACACTATATCTTTGTTATTCCAAAAAAAACCTATAAGATCTCTTATACACATTTAAGATGAACTGTGACAACGATAATTATATTGCGCACGCATTTGAAGGGTATCTAAATTAACCTGTTGCGACATTGTTCAATCTAAAAAGTACAAGATCATAAAAAATATAAATTAGACTAGTGTCAAGTCAACTACTATGGCAAAAGTTTAGAAATAATGTCTTCTCAGTGAAGTATATTGCCAAAAAAGGTAAAGTACGGTAAAAACTTTAGGATTAAAAGTGCTGTTAAGCCAAGGAAATGTGTACATAGATAATGGACATTTCACAAAAGAAAATGTTAGACTAGAAGGTATCTGTATGCTAAAATTCCGGAATTGCACCCCCATTGTTTAACTGATACACAGCCGTGCTTGAGAAATTTTACCATGCGAATTCGATCATACATATTACTTTTTGAAGCAGTTTTATGCGCGGTGTACATTGTTCCGGAAACATGAGTCATGTGCACAAAGATCTGAAGCATACCCTTTTACTGTGACTTTGTTTAAGCGCTTACGTTGGCATATAAGTTTCAATGGAACCATTTGCCTAGTAATAAGTGTTTTGGTATGCTACCAATGAATCAATTTTGTCTGTTAATTTCCAGTTCATAAATCATGTTAGTGTTCCAAAGCAAAGATTAATTTACTCAACAGGCACAGTTTTTGGATGTTGTTCTTTTTATATGTTCCTTGTTAGTTAAAGCTATAATTGTACCTGGGTTTGATGTTAGCAACTTAATTCTTCTTTGAAATTATAGAAAAATGATAACATGTCGTTTAACAAATGACATACTTTTGATCTACTCAAATGAATGAAAACCACTATCCCTTATGTTCATAACAAGTGTTCGATTCTATCAAGTTTCAAATGAACTATATATCAATATAAACTCTTTGTTGAAGCTATATTTGCTCATTATTTAATTGTATATCATTGCTATTACTAATATGAAAATTGGTTAAATGAAATAAAAGACCACATCTAAGTTTTTGGTCAACCAAATGTCCTTTGACGAAGGACATGTTGAACTATGAAAGACTGTGCACTAATGGTACTTGCGCTATAAGTACTCGGTTATCAGGAAGTTGAGGATCGATACATATGAAAACACATCACGCAGTAGAGCATGCAGCATGAATGTACTAAATTTCAGGGTGCTCTGGTTCGTAGTTCCGCGAAAGATATGACATTAATTTCATACATGGTCAATATGTGTAAGCATATCTGAATGTTCGGTAAACAGGAAGTTGATGAGCCATAAATTTAAAATAACATTACACAGTATAGCATACTCACATTAAGCCTATTGCAACATTTCCTAGAATCTATGATGTGTAGTTTAAAGTTTTTGAACAACAAACGAGGAAATTTCGTGGTACAGACGGACGAAGGCATGGGGGTAAAACAGTTTACTTTCAAGCAAATCAAACATGATCTATTCGGTTTGTTTTTATTATACCCTATCTCGCTCATATGAGGTAACAGTTAAATAAGTTCTTGATTATTTATCCTTAACAATAAAACTGCCATATAGTTATTGAATTGTGTATAATGGCAATAACTAAGGTACGATTTGAATTTATATAATAGAATTTGCTTAACAATGGACTATTACAGGACAGTGCATTTATTGAACTTTTGTTTTGTCTACACCATTTTTTCAGAACTATGTACTTGTATATCATCTGGAGATCCTCACACCAGGACATATGACTCTGCCGTTGTACATCACATGGGTGTATGTAAATATATTTTGTCGGCCCTTAAAGATACGAAAAATTCGTGTGCCTTCACAGTTGAAACAACAACAGAAAAACGTAACGAAAGGCCTGTCGCATATAACAAGAGAGTAGATTTCACAATTGGTGATGGTGTATACAGTATTCTAAAGAGTGGTGAAGTTATGGTAAGTTTCATATCAATACTGTTTATAAATGATTTAATTTAGAGCATGAAGAAAAGAGAGATGACAAATAACAATATACATTTGAAAAATAATGATAAATTAATAAATTATAAAACTAATGTTACAACTCCCTCAGTTAAACCATTGTGGTGACGTCAGCCTATTCATTTACCGTGGATTCTTTTTCTAGAATCAACGCTTCCTAAATCTGCCGCTGAAATTGACTCACCAAATTATATTCAATTGTTTCCTTTGTGTGCCTAATTTCATTAAGTTTGAATTGGCTAATTAACTGATTTCTGTTCACTAATGGAATTAATTTAAAAACTTACCTTTATTTTTTGTAATTTGTATATGCTTTAACTGGGAATCGAACACTTCCTTGAAATCTGTTATGTGTGACTGACATCAACACATCGACGAAACCTCTCGGCTACCAATGGGTTACACTATAGATGTCTATTTTATATATTTAAATGAACATCTGATATACATCGGTTCATCGGACACAGAGGGCTTGTACCTTTATATAGACACAATAGGCAGTCGTATAGTATGAGTTGGTAGCCACGAGGTTAGCATGGTTAAAATCAATGAGTTAAAGATAGGGATTTGTCGGTTTAGGTTCGAATCCCTGTATTCTCTCTGTTGTTCCAATTCTTAAGTGATCTTGGTTTTTTTTCTAATTTTGCATGTTATAGTGGATATTTTTGTAATAATAGCGAGTTTTACCGGTGTTTTTTATTATTATTGGCTATTTCACATGTTTGAAACAAAAATGATTACATTCTATTTGTCAATTTTTGTTTTATAAATATAGTATGATTTCATCTGTTTTACTACATAATTTTACAAAGGTTTGTTCGCAAATTCCTATGCGAGAAAATCGTGATGTGCCTAGAGTGCTAGAAAAATTTCGATAACATACTTGTTATATATACTTTATATATGCTTTCTGGTCGGGTTGTTGTCTCTTTGACACGTCCCCATTTCCATTTTCAATTTATTAGAAATAATTTCGAATATGTCTTATTTTGTATAAACAGATAATATTCATATGCCTGGTTATATAAAGATCTTTAAAGGTAGAAGTGTTATATTTGTATTTTGTCAACCAATTAATTGTGATCTGAGATTTATCAATGCATCGTTGGACACGATAACATGGTTATTTAAACTCACTTACAATACCTTCTAATTAGGAAAAGGCTTTAATTTTGAAAAGAAATTAACACAATAGTTTAAGTTATAGATACAATGGATAAGCGTAGATTCATGAAAAACAAAACATTCGCCCTCCGGGCTCATGGTTTCTTTTTCAAGAATCCACGCTTATCCATTGTATCTATATAACGTAATGTTGACCTTGATAAGTTTGGTTATATCTTTATGTCCTATTTGGTCATAGTTTTCATGTCTTATACGTTCATTGCTTTCAATTTGTGGGGTTCTGAGCGTTCCTAAGAAGGTAAAGCCAGAAAAGCGCTTCGAAGACTCGAAATTATATCAAGTGTTATTTATGAAAAAAATTACCCCCTCCCTCAAAATGAAAATGCTATTTCTTAAAAAACAAATTATCTTTTTAATATTTTTTATTTTAATTTAATGTTATTTCCAGATTTGTCTTTACTGTAAGTTTTTTTAGCTGTTTGAGAAGCTCTTCAACGTATGTTTTATGTTTTGGATTTTAAAATATTTTGGTCTCGAACAGCACTAATGAGACAGTGATTTCGAAATGCGCATCTCGTGAAGTAAACTTTGCAAGTCATTAACTTCAAAAAAAATGTTTAATTGTGTTAGCAGTTATGAATTATTTGTGTCACAGATAGCCTTAAAATGTTCCATCTGTCGTTTGTTGATTTTGCCATTTGATAAGGGACTTTCGGATTCGAATTTTCCTCGGAGTTCGGTATTTTTTATTAATTTACTTTCCACTATTTCTTCATCTCTTTCCTCATTTGTGACTTTTTCCGACTTTTACATGCTACGGTAAATACGATGGTCGCCTCTTCTCGATAGGAAACTGCTTAATTACAGCATCGGAAAATTTGAGTTTATTCATTTTTTTTTGTAACATAATATTTTTTTAGTTTAGCGTTTTTCTTCTGTTTTTTTGGGGGGTATAAGTATCAACTTCACAAATAATACATGATGGTCTTGAAGTACAGATTATAGATACTGACTCGGTTTATTTTTTAGTGTTCTTTTATTTGTCTTTGTAAATTATTAACTTTAATATCCTTTTTGCGTGGCTCGGTACTTATTGTGTTATTGTGCTATGGTAATTTTTTGGATTCTTGTCTTTCATTTTTGCTTATGTCCTTTGTCTATATGCCATTTTGTTTTTCTTTGTTGACATATTTGAAAGTTTGCATACTGATTAAGATTATAACACAGCTAGCTAAGAAACAAGGTTTAATCCATCATTTTAATGAATCATCATAAGGGAATGCCTGTACCAAGTCAGGAATATAGCAATTGTTTTCCATTCGTTTGATATGTTTGAGCTTTTGATTTTGCCATTTGATAAGGGACTTTCTGCTTTGAATTTATCTTGGAGTTCGGTGTTTTTGTTATTTTACTTTTTAGATTATAACATTTTTTAAAAAGATATATAAAGTATTTATGTGTAGAATTTGGACATAGCACATTTATCATTCAATACAACAATACGCCAAATAGCATTAAATCGGCAAAAAGATATCAAATTGTACTTTAATTTATGATATTTTTATTCAAACTGAATTAATATTACACAAAAGAGATTTCAGATTGGACTTAAATTTAATGTTATATTTTTTAAAGCTAATTTAATCCGGCCCAATTGAATGTCTGTCTGTGATAAGAAACGTTGTGATTGGCCAGTTTTAATGTCTGTTGAAATGTATTGTGCTTACTGCAGATTGTTTGTAGGCTGTTTTAATCGGCAAACAAAGTTGAGTATTGTTCACGACAGTATGTTGTCCTGAAAATTCCTTCTTGATTTTTTTTTCGATGGTGTTGCTGTTTATTCTTTGATACTATGTGTAATATAAATTAAGATAAACTTGTTGTTGCCATAATATAATGAAAGTTTCATTCGACAGATTGATGGAAAATCAGTAAGTGGACCTCAAAACTTTGAAGAAGAGAATATAGAAATTACAAGAGAAGCAAGATCTATTCATATTCGACACACAAAATGCCAAATTGATGTCAGTTTTGATGGTAGACATAAAGTAATGGTTCAAGCTCCCTATAGTGCATATAGTGGTCAGTTCACTGGATTATGTGGTAACTGCAACAGAGATAAAGAGGATGACTATTATGACCGTGATGGAAATCTTAACAAAAAACGTGAACTGCATTATCATATAGGAAAAAGTTGGGAGTCACCAGGTCAAAGGTAGGCAATGTATATTTATCAAAATGATGACAGTTAAAAATAGTTAAAGAGGAATGTTAAAAAATACTCCCATGTCATTTGGTGGGTAGTTGTCTCATTGGAAATCATACAACGTATTCGGGTATTTTTTGTCTCGCCTCGACGAAGTCGAAAAAAGTGAGACTTCGGCATGCTGTTTCCGGTGGTGTCAACACTGTATTAGTTTGTGGTAAGGCCAGTGTAATGGGACTGTATAGGGGAGGTCAATGATATTTGGTATGAGATTGTATAGGCATTGGCACATCACCAAACTAAAACTAAAAGACAAATTGAAAGAGTTGGTATTACTTTGTTTCATTAAAAAGAATGGCGAACGTAGATACACGTATCTTGTCTTGGGGAGGGATAAATCCTACTTTGTAAAGAATCACTCTGATTCAAACAAAAAATTCTCTGAAACTGACATTATCAAGATGCTTGATTTCTTGATTGACAACATATTTGTTACGTTTGGAGGACGTGTTTTTCAACAGACTGTCGGAATTCCAATGGGAACCAATTGTGCCCCTCTTCTTGCCGACTTGTTTCTTTATTTATTATGAGGCTGACTTCATACAGGAACTTCTTAGGAAGAAAGATAAGAAGTTAGCAATGTCCTTTAACTCTACGTTCCGCTATATAGATGATGTTCTCTCACTAAATAATACAAAATTTGGTGACTATGTTGAACGAATCTATCCCATCGAACTAGAGATAAAGAATACTACAGATACAGTTAAGTCTGCCTCATATCTTGACTTACATCTAGAAAATGACAATGAGGGTCGGTTGAAAACAAAACTTTACGACAAAAGAGATGATTTCAGCTTCCCAATTGTGAACTTTCCATTTCTATGTAGCAACATTCCAGCAGCGCCTGCATACGGAGTATATATCTCCCAATTGATACGATATTCCCGGGTTGTGTTTCCTATCATGATTTCCTTGATAGAGGATTGCTGCTCACAAAGAAGCTATTAAACCAAGAGTTCCAAATGGTGAAGTTGAAATCACCCCTTCGTAAATTTTACGGACGCCATCATGAGTTGGTTGACCGTTATGGAATAACCGTTTTACAGATGATATCGGATATGTTTTTTTTGTCGTAACTTCAATACCCTTCCCTTTTCACGAATGTGACTTACCGAATTAGACTATTTACCGGATTTGTAATAACATAAGCAACACGACGGGTGCCACATGTGAAGCAGAATCTGCTTACCCTTCCGGAGCACCTGAGATCACCCCCAGTTTTTGGTGGGATTCGTGTTGTTTAGTCTTTAGTTTTCTATGTTGTGTCACCTGTACTATTATTTGTCTGTTTGTCTTTTTATTTTTGGCAATGGCGTTGTCAGTTTGTTTTCGATCTATGAGTTTGACTTCCCTCTGGTATCTTTCGTCCCTCTTTCATTTCCATGGATAATATTTTAGGCATCTCCCCCTCAGTCATGATATATTTCATTTGAAACTTTTGCTTAGTTTACATGTTAAAGTTTGAGATACGGTCATTTAAAAGGAAACCACTAGTGGTAGGTCAATGATTTGGCATGGAGTTGTATTAGCATTGGCATCTCTAATTTCTATGGAGAAAATTTGGTTACGCCCCAACCTCCCCACCTATTCATTGTCTATTGATTATTACATGTTAAAGTTTGTGATTATGCCTGTTTAAGATGAGTCCCAAATGGTAAGTCAATGCTTTTTGGTATACGTTGTATGAGCATTTGCATGTATCCTTTCCATAGAGAAAATAAGGCCCGCCCCTACTCATGGTTCATTGGCTTTTGCATAGTTTACATGTTTAAGTTTGGGTTTAGGTCAGTTTCAATGGAATCACTTATGATAAGTCTATGGTATTTATTTGTATTAGCGTTGACATTACTCATTTCTACGAAGGTTATTTTGCCCTGCACATTCAGTCATGGCTCATAGACTTTTAATGCTGTGCATAGTTTACATGTATTGCCATTTTATTTAAACGTTTACATTACACTATCAAATTTTTATATAGGCGAGACATATCACAGTGTCAACAGCTTATTATGTTAAAGAGTAAGATCGTGTTTTATATTTTTTTTTCATAAATATTCATCCTTTTTAAAAGGAATTCTTATGATAATGTTTTTAAAACCGTGGCATACACGACCTTTACATGCTTTCTTCTGGATGTGCTACTGTGAACAACAATTTATTTGTTTGTATTCGTAGCAACAGTATATTTCTTATGTAGAGATTGAGGCACCAAGAACCCAACACAAACATAATGTGCATATCTTAACAATTTTTTCTTTGGATTCTCTTTGGATAGATCCCTGATTTGAATATTCGCTGATAAATTTAGAAATTATGAAAAAAAAACTGTAGATACAATTTTGCTACCCTTTTTAGGTGTTATTTGATCATAAACCTCCTCACGTTTTCAGGTATTTACACATTAAGGTTTTGGTTTGAGCGTTACTAATTAAGGTATATTCAGAAGTTTGCTTAGGACGTACGAAATTTATCTAATGTTATTTTCATTTGTTTAGAAATTTGTTTTACTTAGGATAGATGGAATAAATGAATTGTATTTTTGAGGGGGACAAGGTCTCTTAATATATGTCTTTGTGTGGTTTTTTTGATAAGTTTGTTTCGTTTGTTTTAATCCTTATGAAGGGAACAGAAAAAATATTGAAAATTAAACCAGCAAAGCACATAATGAATTAATGACAAAAAACTACACATAATCGAATAAAAACAACACATATCTAAAATTATATCAAATTATACAGCAGTTTACCAAACAAAAACCATAAATTATTTAATAAGTTGACGATGATGGTATATCCAATTATGTTGTAATAGTGTAAATCTAAATACATGTCTAATTTGCACATTCACGTTGCAATGTCATGAAAAGATTATAAAAGCCGGATTTAGAGCAAAACAAAAGAGAGGAGAAAGATACCAAAGGGATATTCCATCTCATTAGTCGGAAACCAACTAACAATGCCATGCCAAAAATAAAACGGCGAAAAAAAAACAAACAGTACACAAATCACAACATAGAAAGCTGAAGACGGAGCAACATGAACCCCACATGAAATCAAGGGTGATCTCAGGTACTCCGGAAGGGTAAATAATACCAACGCAAATTAAAAACAAATTGCATATCGTTTTCAAGATCATGATTGAATCCATATTTTATCTATACTATGTAGACATGTACATGAAAACAATGATTCAGCTATATGTTAATAACTAGCACAAAATGTTTGATATAGCAAAATGTGGTCATTTATTTTGTTGCTGAATATAAAGAAATTCTTAAAGCAAGTATCCAAAGAGTCCATGCAAAACATACAATACAATGACACTGAGAAATTATAAACTCCATATGACGTAGCTCAAGGCACATAAACGTCGAAGAAGCTTAGGTAACAATAGTACAAAAAAGTCAAATGTGATCTGTTATGTGTGATTGAAGATCTTATGCATGTCAAGTTTCAAGAATGATAACCATTTTTAGTCACTTAACTAAGCGACTAAAAAAATGCTATCCATTGGTAAATTGATGCATGTTCAGTAAGAAACAGTCAACTATATTCAGAAAGAAATAAGAACCATTGTTGTGATGTATATTACAGTTGTCCAAATGAAACTCCTCTTGTCCAGTGTACTGACAAAGCGACAATAGAGGCCAAGAAAAGAAACAGGTGTGGACTACTTGATTCACAAAAAGACTTATTCAAAATTGCTTTTAAAGAGGGACTTGACCTGTCGGGATATTATGAAAGCTGTGTTTTTGATGTTTGCGAAAATCCCGACACAGCTTTACACTGTCCAATATTGGAGGAAGCCGTTTTCTTTGGTAGCCAGAATGGAATAAGAATTGATCTGACGGAATGGAGAGATGTTACTAATTGTCGTAAGTATGGCTTGGTACTTAATGCTGTCAAGAAAATTTATTTTGTTTCCTTAATTCTTTTTTGTTACACTTTGCTTTCAAATATAAAATATTTCAGATACTTAGAATTGTTGAAAAAAGATTCTAAATTTAGTCAATAACATTGGTTTCATAAAAACTTAGCATGACACCTTCGCTAATTGGGTCTCCTCACCTTCTCCAACTTCGTGTATTCATGGGGGGGGGGGGGGGGGGGGGTGGCCGAGTGTTCTAAGTAGTCGAACAACTGTATCACTAGCCTCCTAACACGGGTTGTGAGTTCGAATCCTGCACGTGGCAGGTGCACTCGACTCCGAACTTAAATGACTAGGATTGTCAGTTTTCCTACCGAAAGACGGTGGTTCTCTTTGAACACTCCGGCGTCCTCCACCAATACAAACTTACCGCCACGAAAGAGCACAACAGTGCTGAAAGTGGCGATAAAAACCAATCAATCAATCAATCAATCAATCAATCCGGTTTTGTGCTCTTTTGCGTTCACACATACTCGTGGGACCATCTAAACATTGTATTACCCAAACATCGATTTCTTCTTATTTGAATCAGGTTAATGTTATGCTTAAAATGTAAACAATTTTATGTTAACAATCAGTATTCCGATTTATATTTTTAGATTTCCCAAATGACCTATCTGTTTTTGTATTAATTAGAAGAATTTATACAAACAGAAAAATTATGTTTCAATTTGTTTGATGAACATTTAAATTTATTGTGATGTCCTGTCACTCAATATTACATTTTTTAGCGTTTGCGGGCATCAATTTTTTTCATAGTGAGCTTGGTATTTTTGAAAAAACGTAACAAGAAGATATGCTTTATTTCTGTATTTTCTGTAAATGGTCTTCTAACACAGGGGTGTTGATATATGAAAAAACTCATGAAAGATTGTGATAAAGAATCAACATTATCACAAACTGGCCAACAAATTAGATGTTTCTGTTTTTCTCCTACCAGATATATGTTTTCGCAGTCTGAGAACTTAAGATATTTGAAAATTTTCTAATCTGTGCATTTTATGATTGTGTACTTATCCCTATTGTAAAATAAATTTCTAGTTGTTGATTTCATTGCCGAGTGATGCATTCGTGGCTGGATATTTTACATATTTTGGCACTCATATATCTTCTGATATCGGAGAAGTCGTATAAAACTATCGTTCATGTCTTGCATGTATTCCCTTTAATAACATTTTCACAGATCATGGATTTGCTTTGAGATTAATGCATACAATATGGACGACGCTTAAACCTATCAACTCATCCGATCTCTCTCCTCGTCTTTAAATTTCCATCATTTAGCATTTATTTTTTGTTGTATATTATAAATGCATTCCTAAAGTTTGGTCACCTTATTCATGTTATTGAATTTCAAGTTAGATTAGAAGAACATTGTTTTAACGTGCAGAACAATTAAAAAAGCATTGTAATTAAAATATTGACATCTAACCATTCATTTAATGAATGAAGGAAATATTTACTGTATTATCCATATCTGAGTTATCTTTGTCAACTCAATCAAGTTCAGATAATGATCCCAATAGATTACAGACATAGAAGAAGAATATTTTGTAACAACATCAGGATATTTTCAGATTTTTTACAATAATTCAGCATTTAAACAAAAGATGAAGAACTGGATCTTCCTTCACTGTATTGGATACCTAAATTACAACAGTGTCCTTACAAACAACGTTATATTGTTGGATCTTCTAATTGCTCTACGGAACCTCTTTCTAAATTATTAACTTCAATTTTATCAGTAGTCAAAGCCGGACTTCAAAGTTATTGTAAAACTACCTATTTTAGAGGTGGCCTGAATCAGATGTGGATACTAAAAAATTCCAACGATTTTTAGAGTACATACAATCTAAGACTCGTTCATCTTGCAATAGTATTAAAACATTTAACTTTTCTATACTTTACACAAGTAGTTCTCCATTCCAAACTAAAAGACAAATTGAAAGAGTTAGTCCTGCTTTGTTTCATAAAAAAGAACGGCTAACGTAGATACAAGTATCTTGTCTTAGGGAGGGATAAATCGTACTTTGTAAACAAATCACCATAAAACAGACATTATCAAATGATTTCTTGATTGACAACATATTTGTTACGTTTGGAGGACGTGTGTTTCAACAATCAATCGGCATTCCCATGGAAACCAACTGTGATCCTCTTCTTGCCGACTTGTTCCTTTATTCATATGAGGCTGACTTCATACAGGAGCTTCTTAGGAAGAAAGAAGTTCGCTTTAAACTCTAACTTCACTTTCCGATAAAATAGATGATGTTCTCTCACTAAATAAAATCAAAAAGAGGGACGAAAGATATCAGAGGAAAGAGTCAAACTCATAGATCGAAAACAAACTGACAACGCCATGGCCAAAAATAAAAAGACAAACATACAAATAATAGTACAGATGACACAACATAGAAAACCAAAGACTAAGCAACACGAACCCAACCAAAAACTGGGGGTGATCTCAGGTGCTCCGGAAGGGTAAGCAGATCCTGCTCCACATGTGGCACCCGTCGTGTTGCTTATGTTATTACAAATCTGGTAAATAGTCTAATTCGGTAGGTCACATTCGTGAAACAGAAAGGGTATTGTAGTTACGACATAAGGAACATGTCCGATATCATCTGTGAAACGGTTAAAGTTTGGTGTCTATGTTGAACCCATCTAAAACATTGAACTTGAAATAGAATACAACAGATACAGTTAAGTCTGCCTTATATCTTGATTAAAATCTAAAACTGACAATGAAGGTCGGTTGAAAACAAAACTTTTCGACAAAAGAATGCTTTCAGCTTCCCAATTGTGAACTTTCCATTTTTATGTAGCAACATATCCTGCATATGGAGTATATATTTCCCAGTTGATACGATATTCCAGGGCTTGTGTTTCATATCATTATTTCCTTGATAGAGGGTTGCTGCTCACAAGGAAGCTATTAAACCAAGAGTTCCAAGTGGTGAAGTTGAAATCATCCCTTCGTAAATTGTACGGACGCCATCACGAGTTGGCTGACTGTTATAGAATATCTGCTTCACGGATGACGACGGATATGTTTCAATTGTCGTAATCACAATCCCGTTCCCTTTACCCTAAAGTGACCTACCGGATTAGACTTATCAATGGGTTTGTACTTAAAAGAACAACACGACGGGTGACTCATGTGGAGTAGGACCTGCTTACCCTTCCGGAGCACGTCAGATTACCCCGATTTTTGCTGGGGTACGTGTTTCTCAGTCTTTAAGTTTTCCATGTTGTGTTTTGAACTCTTGTTTGTCTTTTGGTGGTTTTCTTTTTTTGCCGTGGCGTTGTGAGTTTATTTTCGACTTATCAGTTTGAATGTACCTTTGATATTTTTCGCCTCTCTTTTGCTTTTTCTATTACAAATTATCAAGACAAAAAGATCGATTGAAGTTATTAAGAAATATTTGGGATTGTTTACAATTAGTATTTTTGATTCATAAGGCTCGTGGTACGACAATACAATAGAAGATCGTCTATAATTACATACTGTATATGTACTTTTTTCACGAGTACTTATTTTCGCGTATTTGGTATTGCCGACATATTCACGTGTACTTAATTTCACGGCATTACCGATTTTGAAAAATATAAATAAGGGTCTGTTTACTAGGAAGTGAATATGATTTTATATTTAGAATATTAGGTACCCTTCAGGAATTAATGAGTAATAGTGTGGAAGAGAAAACTTTGAAATGTCGATGGATTAAATCGGGGATGTATGTGTTCAAAAATAAACTTGGACATTTGAAGCCGAATTTATAAGTTTATAAACCTGTTCACATGTAATTTTGTCTGAAATTGATTTGATTATAGTTATGTTCATAATTTTTTTTAATTTTTTCATTAATCAAGTCTATATTTGTTAACCAATATAATACAAGCCAGAGTTCCTGTTTACAAAATTGACAAATTATTCGATCAATGCCATCATCAAAACTGTCGTTTAATTACACAATAAAATTGTCATACCAGCGTGGGTCATTCTGTGATATCTTTAGTCCTTACTCTGCTCTTTAAGTGGATCAGTTTAAATGAGGCTCTTGGGGGGTAATCAAGGTAAACATGCATGTACAATTGTCAAGATCATTTGGGATATTGTATTCCAGGTTTTAATATGCATGAAAATTGTATTTATGTTCGCGTGTATTTATTTTCTCGAAAATATACCTTCCGCGAAATTCGTGAAAATAAATACACCGCGAAAAAAAGTACATATACTAGTACCTAGGAATATTTCAATGTATTTACAGAACAATTTAACATTTTTATTTACGAAAAAAGATCACAAAATAAAGGAATTATTAAATTTCTAGTGTGTGTTGTGACATATTCGCTATAGCACGCAGCATGAAAGTTGTTTGTTTTAGAAAGTATGTTTTAGACGTAGATCAAAGTGCTGGAAGTCATAGTTTGCTTGTGTTAACATACTTGCAGGTATTTTTTTGTTTTTGCTGAACTTCTTGTAATGTATCGCAATGCCAGTTAAATTTTTTCAGAGATACCAGACGTTTATGAACTTTCTTTATGTAGAATATGAATTCCAGTGGTATAATGCCAACAGTGAATTCCGCTTCATAGTGTAAACATTTATTGGCAAATGTTAAATGAATATAAAGGAACAAATTGTTGGCTTCATATTTTTTGGAAAAAATGTTTCACTCAATATTAAATACACATTATTCATTGTAGCGTTGAAATGTGCTGAAACATTTGTGAAATCTGACAGTGTAACCTGTATTCCAAGTTGTATGGATACAGAAGCAGATAAGAGTTCCGACTGTACGACAGCTCCATTTAGAGGTTGCACATGTGAGTCTGGAAAAGTTGATAAAGGTGACCGCTGTGTTCAGGAAAGTGAATGTGTTGAAACCTGTTCTGTGATGGATGGTAAAAGAATAATTATGATCAATGTAAGTCTTTCATCATCTTAAAAATTACGATGATAACAAACAAAAAAACATGTATCGTTTATTTTTCTTCCTAAAACTCTTTCTTTAATGTTTGTATTCGATTTGTATAAACATTATCCATTATCATCCCTTTGTCAATTATTAAAAGATTTTGGCTGAAGTTATGTTTTTTTTAAATTGCGTTCATAGTTCAAGTGATTAAGTGGATCCACTCACAACGCGAATTAGGACAAGGTGTCAGTGAATTTTTACTTACTCAATCACTTTGTATTTTTTTCCATATTTTTTAGGTGCACGTCTATAAAGCTTTAAAAAATTTCAGGGCTTATTAAGACTATTTTACTCTATGAGAATAAACAGAGATGAAAGATATATGTTAACGATAGAGCAACACAAAATTGGAAATCTTTTTGAAACATCAAATGGATCTTGTACTGTAAGAACGAGTAAAAAAGGAAACTAAAAATATAAATTGTTAAATTTCTATAACAAGTCATTTGATGCTATGCAATTTTCTTCTTGGATTGCTGACAATAAGGGGCATAACTGCTAATGTAAGACTTCGCTTCCAGTAATTGTTTACGCTAACGTATAAATTGTGTCTTAGAAAAAAGAGATGTGAGGTTGGGACAGCATGCATACAACACAAATAATAAAACAACTCAACAGTTCTAGAAAATCTACATACCATCTTCAACAATAGAAAGTCTAAACAATAGTTTATGCCTTACATTTACTCGGGCATAACATATACATAAAGTAGAAACTTTCAACCTGATTTTTGACATAACAATAAACGAAATACAAAATTGACAGACATAAGCCAACTACTTAATTACAGGTTCATGGCTTAAGTTGGTACATGTACATTAAACAGTTGGCGGGGTTAACCATGTTCGTGAGAGCTCAACCCTTCCTCCTAACCTGGGACATAAGAAGAAACTGTAAAAAAACGATGATTTATGACAATCTTAACAAAGCATTTTTAATATAAAAACATTATAACGTAAGAATGATTTTTTTTTACTTAAATTATTTTGCAAAATTTCTGCTCTAAAATAACTGGACCAATGTATTCGACACCGTGGTAATACAATCGGAAGCATCTGCATTCTGTATGGGTGACATATGCGTACGTTTCTAAATTATAAATGTTATATGTTTGTCAAACCGACTATTAGTATTCTGTTTAACCATTAGTGTCCTTTTTTCATATCAATTCAAACGCGAAATCCACTGGCCGTATCATGATATAATAACTGCGAAGGTTTTAGGTTTTTGAAATCTGAACCCCCCCCCCCCCCCCCCCTCTTTAGAGTCGATCCTCGATATATAACAAACGGGGTAATAAACATACACAAATTATCATAACTCTGTGGTAACTTTTCATGCACAAGACACACAAAATGATAAGGGTAAAATAATCAACCTTACTGTACTGAAGAATGCTGACAGTGATGAATGAAGACCAACAGTAAACCATCTGTTGAAATGTAACCATGACGTCCTACGTTTTTTCGAATGATGCATGTACATGTCCTTCAAATTATCATTTATACAACAACAAAGTAAACATAAGAGCGCATAATATTATGCAAAGCTCATAAAAATAATAAACAATAAAAATGAGCACAAATTCAAAGCAGAAAAACAAATGGATAACTTAGTCCATCGTTTATCCAATAGGTTTTCTTTCCAGGCAAAACCAGACACAACAATAGTACTATTATAACTTCCATCAATAAGTCTAGTAAGCCAAAAAGAGAGATTTAAAGGACAATTTCTAAACTTATCTGCATATTAAATTATACAACAAACAGGTGACTATTGAGACTTGTTCATTTAATTTTCTGTGTGGTCATATTTAAAACTGATTTTTTTGTGTTAAGTTAAGTAAACGTTGAAACCGATAAGTGTTGTCTTAATCTATTCAGTTAACATTAGATCAGAGATTACACGCACATCCTATCAATTGAGAGATGAAAATTCCAAAAGTTTAGCCATTGGCATATTATCATCGACAAACATACAAAAATGCAAAAGGAAAGAAAGCGTTGTCCGTTTATCATATATTTTGAAAGATTACACGAAAAGTGTATGCAATAGGTTTATAAAAATAAACTAAGCAAAATTAAGGAGAAATTGAGAATGATATTGAAAATACAAAAATAGACTGAAAACTAACTACACACGAAAGTAATGAAATTGAAGGAAAGCTGACAATAGAGGAATGTACAAAATCTGTCTTTAAAATGAAACTTAACAAAACACCGGGTATTGATGGTCTTCCAATTGAATTTTATAGATTTTTTTGGTCCAACTTATATTTTGCTGTAGATGTCTTTAATCATTGCTATGAGAAAAAAAATTGACAAATTCACAGAGACTAGGATTAATTACCCTTATTTACAAGAAAAATGACCCGTTGAATTTAGAAAATTATAAACTAATTACTTTACTAAATGTAGATACCAAAACTATAGCATATTCTCTTGAAAAAAGACTTAAACCAGTATTGCATAAAATCATGCACAGTGATCACAACGGGTACGTAAAAAACAGATATATTGGGTTTAATATTAGACAAATCCAAGATATTATAGACTATTCAGAAAAATTCAACGTAGATGAGGCAATCCTTTTTTATATTTTTCAAAGGCGTTTGACTCGTTAGAATGGTAATTTATGTATTGTTCATTAAAGAAATTTGGCTTTCGGAAATCTTTACTGAAGTGGATAAATATTTTATATACAGATATAAAGGGTTGCATATTAAATAATGGGTGGATTTCAAGACCCTTAAGCATTGAGCGCGGGATCCGTCAAGGGTGTCCCGCATTTTCTATAATTTTCGTTATTGCTGTTGAAATTTTAGCATGTAGATTAAGACAAGATAAAAAATTTAAAGGATTTCAAATCAAACTAGATAATTAAACCCATACTCTAAAGTTAAGCCAGCTTGCAGATGACACCACTTTATTTTTAAATTCAAAACAAGAAGTTTCATTAACTTTGAACATTATCGAAATTTTCGGATTACTTTCGAAATTAAAACAGAGGGGATATGGCTAGAAAAGTCCTGTAAAGATAAGGTTGAAAACATTAAGTGGACACAAGAACCGATAAAAGTATTAGGAATATATTTTGGACTTAATAAAAATGAGTGTAAAAAATTAAACTTGCAACGACAATACGAAAAATCTGAAAAAAATAATTAATGACTAGAATAATAGAAAATTAACTATGTTAGGTATAATAAATCTTCTTAAATCATTAATCCTACCGTATATCACTTATGTTGTATCAGAAATTGATAAAGAATACCTCGCAAAATTTAAAAACATAATATATAGTTTTATATAAAACAATAAACCAGAAAATGTTAAAAGAGCTATAATAAGTAAAAATTATCATGCTGGCGGGCTTAAAATGATAGACATAAATAACAATATAGAATCCATAAATATTAATTGGGTAAAAAGACTCATTGATAATGAAGACTCATCACCCAATTGGAAAGTCTATCAAAATTTTACTTAGACAAATTTAGACAAGAATTCCTTATATTTAAAATGAACTTAAACAATATTAATTTAATTAATAAACTAAAAGAAATTGTTCCAGAATTTTACTTAAAAATAATCATACCATGGATAAATTCAAAATCTGAAAAATAATCAGATCGACTATCATATAAACATATTAGACAGCAACTGATATGGGGCAAATAAACATATCAAATTAAATAGTAAATGTCTTATTTTTCAAGAATTGGATAAACAGTAAATTTTATTTGTAGATGACATAATTGATGATAAAGGAAAAATAAATCAAAATAAGATTTTAGATAAACTATCTTGCCATGCTAATTGGTTTTCGGAATATTCTAAATTAATGAAAGCAATACCAAAACAGTGGTAACAAGAGGTAATAAAAGAAGAATCAACTAAAACAAAAGTTGCTACCGACTCCGAATTTAAATTTCAAGATTAAGAAGGAAAATGGTATCAATAAAAACATTTTCCTCCAAAGATATCTACATCTCCCTTTTAAATAGAGATTATGAGAAGGTAATAGGATTTCAAAAATGGGACAGAACTCTTAATTTAGATAACAATACAAGGAAAAGAGAACAAATGTTGGACTTTATCTTTAACTATATCCAAGATAATAGATTGAGAATGTTAAAATGGAAATTTCTATATTACATTTTACCAACCAAACAATTACTTTTCTCTTGGAAAATAACTTAAACTCCTTTATGTAATATATGTTATTTCATTGAAGATTATGAACATTACTTTTTGACATGCAAATATCTGAAATTATTTTGGGATCAAATAAAACTAATACTAGATAAACTCAAAATAGGACATCATATAATATCACTTGCATCACTTTTGTATGGATACAAGATAAACGAAACAAATTATTACAATATTAACGATTTTCTAACAATTAAACTTTTTACTATATATAAATATAAAAATAATGAGATGTGGTACGATTGCCAATGAGACAACTATCCACCAAAGTTCAAATTAAGTGGATGTAAGCAATTATAGGCAGCCGTACGGCATTCAACAATGAGAAAAAACCAATATCGTATGGTCGGCTATAAAAGGCCCCGACATGAAAAATATGACACAATTCAATTGAGAAAACTAACGGCTTACTTTATAGCAAAACAATTAAAGTATATTATATATCCGAGCAGAAAACAAAGCAAACTAATGTGTTTGAAATTTTTAAAAATGAACTTCTCCAATATTACGAAATATTGACAAATAAACAAGGCAAATATGAAAACTTCTACAATTTAGTTGCAGAAAAAAATTATTTATCTTCTTAAACTAAAAGCTATAATATATCATATTACTTTCTTTTTAAAGTGTTGCATATTATTTATTAGCTAAACTGTAACAAGTACTTACCTTATCACTGAAATGATATACTAACGTTAACGAGGCCGGGATAAGGTACCGGTACTTTATGTATCTCTAACAAATGTAAATTTCAAATAGAATTATATACCATAAATAAAAAAAAATGGTTAATAGAAATAGAATTATTACATATACAAAAATATAGATATTTATGAATATAATGTCTAAATAGAGGGATTTGTGAAATGATCTTTTAAGTATAAATAAGAAGATGTGGTCTTTCATAGACATTATGAAGTTAAATCAAGACAATACATAGGCAATAGTAGTTTACAGATGTTCACATCTCCTAAATTCATTACTAAAGATTCATTATTATTCTTGGGAATCTAGTTTTCGTGGATTTCGTGGGTAAAAAAGAACCACGAATTGAAATGTTAAAGGAAGAATTACTTTCTGGTGGCTTGTATGCGGACTTTGTCAAAACAACGAAATCAAATATCCACGAAAATCCAATTTTTCCCCAATCTACGAAAATTGGTACCTTCGAAAATAAGTGAATCCACAGTATACCATAAAGTCATTAAGAAGGTCAAAAGCGCGATTACAAACAGATACGGAGTGAAATTATGCAAAGACCGAGTCCGGCTGAGTCATGTTAAAGCCGTATATTGTGATTCATATCAGAAATAAATCTGCAATTTGAGGAACACAGTTATCCCCGCTGGAAGGCCAAGTTTTTTAACATTATACTTCTCCAAAACGGAAATAAACCTGTATATTATAATCCCGAAAACAATCTAATGGCTTTAATACTTTTTGGAGTATATTTTATAAGTTTCATAAAGAAACAAAAGTAATCATAACGACTTCACCTCTGCTGGTGGACTGTTCGTCCAAGAGGGTATCACCAGCCCAGTCGCCAGTGGCATGGAAATAAGGATATTGTTTGATTGGAATTTGTTGTTCCCCCACCAATCTGGCTACAACATAACTAATCAGAAATACTCACTATGGTATTTGCTTTGTACTTCAATTAACAAAATCGGAAGGAGGAACAGGATCTTGATGTATTCATAAACAAATGAGTAAAGTTAATTCAATTATTTCAGAGGAGAAAAGGATTGGGATGAATAAAGTTTGTTCAGTTTGCATACCAGCTTTTGATGCCCCTTGAATTTTTTTAATCTTTCCTCTCTTTTTTAACTATGCATCTATCAGAATAAAAATTAATTCTTTAACATTCTGGACTTAAAATTGAGTATGCTGTAGGTGCATAAGTCTCGCAGGTTGCACTCGATTAAAAAAAGAAAAGGTAAGCCAAATAAATGACGCAGTAAAAGAACATTGATATTATTGTGAACTTTACATTTATCAAACAATTCTTTAGTTTCAAAAAATGTAGAGGCAAGGGTTAGTTACAATATTTTAATTTACATATTGGAATTTACTCAATTATAATTTCAAACATCCTTATATCCTAATTGATTTCTGAAATATGGTCTCTATATTTCACCAGCAGGTATGATTAACCTGAAATTCTGGTAGATGTGATTATTTATTGAATACCTTATAATTGCCAAAATAATGATCGTTGTTATCAATGAAATACCTACTTATTATGAGAGCTACTTACTACAGAAACCTTTATCCAATTTGTCGTTATTAGTTTTGAAATACACGACAATACTACTTAGAAAATAGAATGAAATGTACGATTTGAGAAATTTGTGATAATTCTTTCTTTTTTATTCCAGGTGGGCGAAACATTCCCAATGAATTCTGAATGTGGCTCTTTCTCTAGTTGTATAGATGTCGAAGGCACACCTACCACTAAAGAAACTGTGGATTCTAAATGCCCTGGAGAGAATAAGCAGTGTGGAACCATTGATGGTTCAAGAGTTTGCGAGTGTGCAGAAGGATATGAACGAGATACTGACATTCCTCTTAACTGTAAAAGTATGTTTTTAATAAGTGTATTTTTTATCTTATTTGTACTTTATTTTCATGTAATTAATGTTCCTCTGTTGTTGTTTTTTTTTTTTCTTCAATTTTTAATCTTTTCTGTATTTGAATCAGATTAGACATTTTCATTATGATGAATTTAAATATTTCAATATCACTCCGTTTTTATAGGCTTTTACAAGAAGTTATTATTATTAATTTTCAGAATTGTTTTGCCTAATATGTCCAAGGTCACAAACCTTATAAACACAATTGTTTGCTTGATGTACATAACGTATGGTTTACAAATTTGGTGATGTCTTAGGGTTAGATCAAAGTCAATAACCAATCTGCTATTGAGTGATGCCTAATAACTTAATATAATTTATCAAAATACTTTATAAGATTTACACGTCGAATGTCACATGTTACATTAACCGTTGTGGTCAAAGATTATTGACTATCGTGTCGGTAACCTTGTTGTTTGTAAATTTTTGAAAACTAAAACGACTGTTATATATTTTTCAGAAAAACCTGCAGCCTCACCAACAGAGGAAGAAGTGCCAAGTAGTATGTATTTTTAGCACATTGAAAATACACGATTTTATTATATGACCATTTCAAAATAGGATACTAAATATTACCTGCAAGACAAAAATGCATTACATTTTTTTTCCAAATTGGTCTCATTTATTTCAAAGGATATGAACATAGATATACTTTGTTTCAATATAATTCCGGCTAAACATAGTTTGTCACTGTAACAAAAATACAAAAGTTCAATCTTATATGATTTCTATATTTTGAGTTATGTTTCAAATTTTGTACACGTCTTAAAAGTTAGCAATATCTAAATCTACAAAACAATTAACGAAAACAAATGTTACAGACAACAACTATTTACAAACTTTGAACTACATAGTCCTGATTTAGGATTGGCACATAAAGAATGTGACGACGTTAGATATGTTTGTGAGCCCTGAACTATCCATCTAACACTGGAAAGATTGAAACTGCGCACAATAGGAATAAACTGTAAAACTTTGTTAAAGCTTTATCATATCTTAAAAAAAATATTTATAAGGTATTAAAGAAATATTTCTTATTTTGTTAAATTGTGAGGAATATTTCATTCTAATTTGCTGGAGCAATTTATTCGTCATATTGGTAATAAAATTTGTGAACAACCTGCATTCCTTGAGAGTAACAAATACGTTTTGACATCATTTGTTGTATATGTTTATTTTACGGAATATTATGTTTCACTATTTATTAGTATCCCTTTGTTATATCAGATGAAGATGAGAAAATAAAAATTTTCGATGAATCATTTTTTACACCATGATTTATTTCCTGAGTTTCATTAAAATATTGACCTTTAAATACTAATATAAAATAAGGATATGTGATTTGATTACCAATGAGACAACTATCCACCAGAATTTAAATGACGTGGATATAAGCTTGTATAGTTTACCATATGGCTATTAACAAAGAGAAAACCCCATATCGTATAGTCAATAAAAGCCCCCGACATGAAACAATTCAGACCAGAAAACTAATGGCCTAATTTATTACAATACAATTTTACGAAAAACAAATATGACAGACATACACCAACGACATCCAGTGATATAAAGGCTCCTGACTTGAAACAGTCACATATTGTTGTCTTGTTATACTGAGGATTTATTTATTTTCGTTGATATCAATTTTCGTATGATTATAACCTAATGAATGACGATACTTTAAAACTTGAAAATATTTACATTCTTTCTTGTAATATTTTCTTAATTGACAAGTTTTATTCTATCAAAACTCTTTTTTTTTCTTGACGATTTAAGATTCTTCACAAACGGGTAAGATTTAGCATATTGTTTGAAAAAGACAACTTCATATCGTATCTTATCATTTTTCGTGTATGATTCTTTTAAATTGCATCTTCTGAATCTTACAATGGTCATACCAGATGAAGATGGCCAGTAGAGTTAACAAAAAAGTGAAATAACAAAAATACCGAACTCCAAGGAAAATTCAAAACAGAAAGTCCCTTATCAAATGGCAAAATCAAAAGCTAAAACACATCAAACTAATGGAAAACAACTGTCATATTCCTGACTTGGTACAGGCATTTCCTTCTGTATAAAATAGTGAATGAAACCTGGTTTGATAGCTAGCTAAACCTCTCACTTGTATGAATATACTTTATAGCCAAAAACGATTAATGATGATATCCACTAAGATAAACAGATTCCGTTTTCATATCATTACATTGCACGTGTTTGTCAATCCTTCTGCCTATCAGATCATAATTTAATTTTGGATGTAAGATGTCTTCTTGTTGGCTGAAATATTTTTGTCTATCAGCTCATAGACATACTTTTGTCATGTGACCGTGACGTCATCAACGTTTTTTCATGATTTAATCCTTAAAAAATTTAGAATTAAATTATAAGGACTGAGGGTAATGTTTTTTTCTGTCTATTCAAAATTACCTCAAAAATGTGGTGCACACTTTTAAATAACCCATTTGCACCACATTTTTAAAGTTTTTTCTTCATAGATAGAAAAAATATTATAGTCATCCCTTAAATAACTAGAAACCCGAAGCTATGTTGTAACTTTTAAATAAACGATATGTAGACGAAGTTTACAATAAATCAACCAAACACATATAAAGTAAAATTATTTAACAAGTTTTACAGGCATATTTCTACTTTGCCAAAATTATTTCTACATAATGCGTATTGAGTTTTTAAAACTGATCACGGTTGCATTTGTAAAGATGAGGCGCTGTCATGATGACTGTTTATACCGGTTAATTTTGTTCAAATTATACTAGTACGGTTTCTACTGGATATTTAAATTTGGGAAGAAAATTGTTTTATCTAACTAATTATCCTCATTTAATATATTATATGCTACTTAAATAATTGTTTGTAATGACAATTTTGATATATTTAATAAAACACTAAATTTCAAATAAATCAAAATCGTGGAACGTCATACTTGAAATTTTCAGAAGGGAAAGACTGTTTGTGTCTTGGTCCAAATTTTTGTAAGCTTTAACAACAGAAATTAAGTAATTCCACGCATATTCCGGAATTCCATAACTGTGTATGTCAATGCATTAACAAAAAAAATAGGTGATAGGGCTTCACTTATTAATAGCGCCTCGGGCTGATATGGGAATTTCTAGATGTTAACTTGGTAGATATTGAATAGATCATGTATTAATGTTTATCTAAGAAATAAGGAAATATGATGTGTTTGCCGATGGAACACTATCCAAAACTCAATGTACAAGAATCTGATGAACTACAGGTACACAGACGGTCATCAACAATGAGCAAAACACGTACCGTATTGAAAGCTTTATAAGGCCCCGGGTTGTTAACAATGTGAAACAATACACTTTAAATTTTTATCAGACAATGTTCACTGACTCATTTAATGTCTATTATCTTTTCTAAACTTATAACAATAAAAATATATTATTTACGTAAAAATGACTTATAACAGGAAATGTGAAAAAAATAAATAATAATTATCTGGATTATGTATTCATATATATATGAAATTAAAGATAAACAAACATGAAAATACTAAGTATGACATATAGAAAAAAGTAAAATAACAAAATTACCAAGCTCCGACTCTTTTATAGATAAGAGTCTATAGAAATAAACCAACCAGCAAATTCGATAAGTATCTGATCGCTTAATTTAACGATACTGCCCAAACAAAAACAATTATAAAAGTCTAAAGAGTTGTGCAATAAAACTGGCAAAAGATGAATAAAAAATAACCATACCTTGTCTCGAAATATAAAATGAATTTGTCCAAGGCTTTGTCGATCATTTCTATCTTGTTTCGATCCGAGTTCAAATAACCATTTTATGTTTTCTCTCTTTATACTGCAACTTTTACAACTGTTCCGATTGAAATATTTTGGGTTAAATCCATCGCTTTTGTATTTGAAACGGACGGCGTTAAATTTACCCGAACCAGTATTTATTCTATATTGGCTTCATGGAGAAAACTTTATGGAAACAGTTTATCAACGTCACAAACAAAAAGATATATATGGTCAGTGACTGTAAATCACAAATTAATATGCAATTTGTATGCATAAATAGCACAGTATAAAAATATACCAACAAGATGAAATATATATGTAATGAAATATACATCAGTACATCAAAGGCCTTCGTCAGTTTCAATTCATAATCAATATGTTAAAAAATAATATCAGTGGTGTATCTAAAATTTATTTATTCATTTTCTATACATAAAATAGCAAGCAGGCCTGATCAACTGTGTTCAGCGCCTAAAACCACTAGGCCAACTAGACTAGAAAAATAAAGCTTTTGTCTGTTTATCTAAGGTTGTAACATATTATATGATATATTGTGGCATGCAGAGTGTAAACTTTGAAAATCAGTTGTTTTTGTTTGTTGTAAAGGATGATAATACTTACAATGCAGTCCCATTAGATTAATGTTTATGTTATACATCTAAATATTGACAATTTTTCTACAAACGTATATTTAAATTTATATCTAAATTATATCTTTTTAGCAATGTAAAGATAGATTAACTACTTCACTCGATGTTTTCACGAGAAACTTGAAATATTTGAGACGCCAAAAAAATAGTAATCAAACAACTAAACAATTGTCCTCATTGTTCTCTGAAATTTCTGTACCTGATAGTATAGTATGATGATTGACTCAATTAAGCTTTTACCATTTCGATGGTCTTTTACTACATATTTTTACTTTCGTGTTATATTCATAATTAGAGTATATACTAGTTGAACTGGTTTTCACGTTTTCCTGCATCTTCTGTGAACAAATCAAAGGTTGCATCGAACCGTGTCCCGTTTTGTTTTTTAGTATTGATAATTGACGATTAAAATGTATTTTTTTACAACTTATGTATATTCATTGCATCTGACTTGTTTTGGGAGTGAATATCTATATACTAATTAATAGTTTGAATAAAGACTAAAATGTACCGTTTGAGTTTCGGAATAAAAATTGTATACAGTTGGATCTAGCCATTGTACAATGTTTTGTCCTGTACTGTTTACATTGATGTTTGAAATCTAATCTAAAGTATATATGTACATCAACTCGTATTAGAATGAAGGACGACTTGACTTCATATCAGTAGGTTTAGTTAAAGCATCGGTTGCTGCACGCATATTTTGATAGGAAACTCTTCATTTTTTTTTTGTTTGATATTGGTTTTTTTTTTGGTAATCTTTAATATCACAGGTACAATACTAAGTGCTTATCCCTTAATGATTTGTTTGTATTTTTGTCCATGGACATTTATCAGTTAAATGATCGAGATAAAAAGATAACTCACGTGTCTGACGAAGGTCGTGACGTTAACCATTTGATGTTATATATCATTTTCAAATGATTTGTTTGTGATTTGAAAAATTGATATGAATTAAATGGAAAAAGACAGGCGAAGGATACCAAAGGGACATTCAAACTCATAAGTAGGGAAAAAAACTGAGAACGCCATGGCTAAAAAAAAAGACAAACAGACAAAGAGCAGTACACAAAACAACATAGAAAACCAAAGACTGCGAAAACAAACCCCACCTGCCTATTGTTCGACTGATTGTTTATCTTTAGATGCCTTTTACTTATTTATGTCATTTGACTGCCGGTTCATTGAAGTATTAACTTATATTTCACTTTATGCTTTAAACATATCCTTTTTCTATTCTTTTTAATGCTTAACTTCATATGAACATTTCAATTGTCAGTTGATGGTGGTTGGACTGAGTATGGAGAATGGTCACCTTGCACAAAAAGTTGTGGTCCTGGAGAACGAGTCAGAACTAAAACCTGCACTAACCCTGCTCCAGCTAATGGTGGTAAAATGTGTGAAGGGAGATCTCGAGAGACTGAATCTTGTTATAAAGACGAATGTCCAGGTTATACACCATTAATAAATATTTAGGCTCTTAATTGATAAAAATGTAGATATTCTATGCTATATGTGTTTGCAGATCATTGGTTTAATTTATTTTACATTTAATGGGTTGTTAAGTTAACGCTTTTCAAATGTATTTTTAATACCTTAAATTACATCAATGATTTATTTAAGATACTTCCTCGTTAAAAGATGATACTTATTATGTCTGGTTTTTTTTTTTATTATGTATCACACAATTAGACATACTATACTACAGTATCCTATTTAGACTTAATTTCTGTAGTTTATTTTTTATAAACATAAGTTCAGTGTATTGATTGAAATTAAAATGGGAAATGAAACACTCTCAAAAAATAGTTTAACCCTCGCCATATAATCATGTACCTGGCCTTGGTCTGGACATTCAGTATATGATTATGTCTTATTTCATATTAGGACGGTTCAAAATATTGATAATTTGACTTTCGTATTCTCTGTTGCATTTAATCCCATCTTTTGTAGACTCGTGTTTATTAAAATTTTGATATATTAAATGAAAATGTATCTGTTGTTCAAGACTGTTGATTAACCTTTAGAATCCTTTTTGTAATTTTTATTGTTTCAATAGTGGTTCATTGACGTTTACCCCTGCATTTCAATTTATGCAATTGAGATCCCCCCCCCCCCCCCCCAATTTTTGGTGAGATTCTTGTGGCGCAGTCTTTAGTTTTCTACGTTTTGTTTTGTGTATTGTTGTTTGTCTTTTGGTCGTTTTCTTATTTAGCCATGGCGTTGTCAGTTTATTTTCGCCTTATGAGTTTGATGTTCCTTTTGGTATCGTTCGTCACTCTTCTACAATATTCTTTTTGTGTTATTTTTTAAACTTAACTTCATTAGAAAATTTCAATTATCAGTTGATGGTGGGTGGACTGAGTATGGAGAATGGTCACCTTGCACAAAAAGTTGTGGTACTGGAGAACGATCCAGAACTAGAACCTGCACTAGCCCTTCTCCAGCTTATGGTGGTAAAACGTGTGATGGGAAATCTCAAGAGACCGAATCCTGTAATACAGACGAATGTCCAGGTTATAAACCTTTAATATATATTTAGGCTCTTTAATGATATCAAAGTAGACTTTTGAAGTTATATTTATTTGAAGTTATATTTATTTGAAGTTCAGGGATGGCTTAAATGTGAAGGCTTGTTAATTTAATTCTTTTCAAAGGTATTTTCAGTACCTTAAATTAAATCAATGAGCATTTTAAGTTACTTCTCCGTTAAAAGATCATAATGTCTGTTTTTTGTTTATCACATACTTAGAGAAAATATGCTACATTTTTTATAATTAATGCATACGGAAGTCAGCACCCTGTCTACATACTGGGGTTGGTTAGCCTTAACATTTATTCCTCGTTGAATCCGGGCTAATAACACTTAATCAAGGACTTTTCGTGTTCCTCTTTTGAGTCCGGTAGACGTCTGAGAGGTTCAATTAATAAGCAATTCGCTTTTTAAAATTCTATTATACTAGTATATGTTATATACTTTATCAATGCATTAAAAACACGTTTGTTTGTTTTCATCGATAAGGCATAATACCATGACAAACATTGGGAACGTTTCAGGTCCAGAAAAACATAAATTCTTCAAACTGTTTGATATATTGTTTGGGTTCCAAACGAGAAGCCAATGATGTAGAATATTTCCACTCACAAATAGCGCCATGGGCTGATATTGAATTCTCTGGATGTTAACATGGCAATATGGAACAGGACATGCATGTATTTATATAAATAACTCCAAGACAGACTTCTTCCATTAGATAACAATAGTGCTAACACCAAAATTTATTTACACTTCGTCTCAAATTTAGAGTAACATATCCCAAAATAATGTAATCCCCACCTTATAGTGTGAATTTTATCATACTTTTTTTTGGAGTCATGTCGATTTCAAACTTGATATATTAGATGCTGTTATACTGGCGAGGCAAATATATACTCTTTTAATATATACATATGTTTTATTCTAATCTAAACTATATACATTGTACATGTTTACTTGTAAAGTATAAAGCACGCAAGTGATGTTGATCTAGAAACAGTTCTCATATAAAGCTAGTAACAGTTAGGATCTGATAAGAACTTACATTTGATAGTAAACAGATGCCATGAACTTGGTGTTTTCCCAGACTATAGGATTGCCTATAGTTCATTGACTTAATATTACAGATGCCTTTTAGTTATTTTTGTAGTTTTAATGCTGGTTCACTGAAGTATACCCCTACATTTCATTTTATGCTTTTAAAATATTCGTTCATTAGTTTGTTTGTTTTGAATGCTTAACTTCATAAGATCACTTCAATTGTTAGTTGATGGTGGTTGGACTGAGTATGGAGAATGGTCACCTTGCACAAAAAGTTGTGGTCCTGGAGAACGAGTCAGAACTAGAACCTGCACTAGCCCTACTCCAGCTAATGGTGGTAAAAAGTGTGATGGGAGATCTCAAGAAACCGAATCTTGTTATAGAGACGAATGTCCAGGTTATACACCATTAATACATATTTAGGCTCTCAATTGATAAAAATGTAGATATTTTATGTTATATTTGTTTGCAAATCACGGGTTTAAATTTATTTTACATTTAAATGTTGTAAAGTTAACGCTTTCCAAGTGTTTTTTGTTACTACCATAAAATACATCAATGATTAATTTAAGTTACTTCCTCGTTAAAAGATCATACTTGTCCTGTCTGGTTTTTCTATATATATTACACAATTGGACAAACTATACTACAGTTTGCATAGGTACTTATCCCATTTAGATTTAATTTATATGGTTTTTCATTAACATAAGTTCAGTGTATTAATTGAAATTAAAATTGGAAATGCAACACTCTAAACAAATAGTTTAACCCATGACATATAATCATTGAGATTTAAATGGGTTTTAAGTAAACGATTTACATATGTATTTTTTTAATACCTAAAATAATACGAATGAATACTTGAAGTTACTCCCCCGTTAATAGATCATACTTGTCCTTCCTGGTTTTTTTCTCTTTTTTTTTATTTATCACAGAATTTAACAAAATATGAAACATTTTGCATAGGTGCTTATCCCTTCATGATTTGATTGTATGTTTTTTTTCATAAACATGAGTTCAGTTCATTGATCGAATTAAAAAGAAGGAATGTTACACTCTCAAAAAATAGTTTATTCCTCGCCATATAATCATGTGCCTGGACTAGGTCTGGACATTAAGCATTATATGTCTTTTTGATATTAAGATGGTTTGTTGGATATATGAGAATTTGTAGTTCATACTCTCTGTTACATTTAATCCCATCTAGACTCGTGTCGATTAAAACAATTGATATATTAAATGAAAAAGTGACTGTTGTTCAAGACTGTATGTTGACCTTTAGATGTCTTTTAGTATTTTTTGTTGTTTCGATGCTAGTTCATTAAAGTATACTCCTACAATTCAATTTATGCTTTTACAATATTCTTTTTCTGTTTTATTTTAAACTTAACTTCATAAGAAAATTTCAATTGTCAGTTGATGGTGGTTGGACTGATTATGGAGAATGGTCACCTTGCACAAAAAGTTGTGGTACAGGAGAACGATTCAGAACTAGAACCTGCACGAGCCCTGCTCCAGCTTATGGTGGTAAAAAGTGTGATGGGGGATCTCAAGAGAAGGAATCCTGCAATACAGTTGAATGTCCAGGTTATACACCATTAATACATATTAAGCCCTTAAATGATGTTAATGTAGATTTTTGAAGTTATATTTCTTTTCAGATCAGGGAGGGCTTTCATTTAAAAGGTTGTTTTGTAATGTCTTGAAAGGGTATTTATGATTCAAATTACATCATTACTCTTTTGTACAGAGATCGTTATTGTCTTGTCATTATTTTCTATCTTATTTCTTAACTTTTTGGTAAATGTTTATGACAAAAAAAGTATTTTTGTTTTCTTTTAGTTTGTTTTTTTTTCTCTAAATTTATTATTATTTAAAGGTAAAAATGAATGTAGCTGAGACCCAAAAAATATACGGAAATTTTAAGCTACAGCATATTTAGTCTTAAACTGTATATATATTTTTTAAAGAGGACGTATTAATGTTTTATTTCAAATTGACCTTCGGTATAATAATCCTTTGTACGTTTTTATTTGCTTTAAAATTAGTATTCAAAAGAAACTTGCTTAATAAATAGTTTACAAATAAAATTATGTTTTCGTAATGCTTTCCTCTACATCTTAAGTTTAAGACAAAAAGCCGTTCAGATAAATTTTTGCAATTGCGAATGTTGCTTACTTTACAACTATGCAGTCAAAATGGTCTAGCACATGTTATCGATTCATATGTAATTAAGTTTTCCAAATATACCAGGGTTGAAATTTTGTATTTGCACCAGACGTGCGTTTCGTCTACAAAAGACTCATCAGTGACGCTCGAATCAAAATAAGTTAAAAAGGCCAAATAAAGTACGAAGTTGAAGAGCATTGAGGACCAAAAATTCCTAAACGTTTGAAATCAATTGAAATGTTCAGTTCATATTTTGCAAATGTTAGTGATACAAATAGAAATGCGGACAGCAGTATATGAGGAATTCCAAAGTTCAATTTGTTATTTTATAAGATGATGACATATTGAATTGTTCGTTTTATATCTATCTGTAAATTAGGAATGCAACTACCCTGATATGGTTAGATTAAAAAATCAAAATAAAATTAACCTTTCCTAACAATTTATCAATTTTTTTAATAGGCTGTGTCATTTTACATTAAAATATGTCGTCTAGGCTGTTTGAGAGTTTGGCGTAAATATTCGATCGATCGTAAAAACGTTAACATTTAGATTTGTCCATTGTTTCTGTAATTGCTGCATAAAGACCTTTGAAATTAATAACAACGATTCCTTATGATTGAAAATTTTAAACACTCATTTACATTGTTAGTTACATGGGTAGTTTTTGGATCTTCTATGATTACTATATCATTATACATAAATTGTATCTGAGGTTTTACTGTATTTGGGGTAAATTAGGATCATGTTGTCACTTGTTCGTTCTGTATATCTCCTGTCAATATTTTACTATAATTATATTTATGATAAATAACATTTGACTAAATTCTGTTCCAGAGTATGATATAATTATATATTTGACTTTGCATTACCCTATGCATCTCTAGATGTTCAATAAGATTTGTCTGTCCAATTCGATTTAGCTAATTTATTAAATCTTGTAAAATTTGCTAGATAAAACCGGGGGAAATATCTCTCTGAGACCATTTGACAGAAAGTCTTTATATCTCGTAGGATTGCATGTCACCAAGTGTAGTTGACCATATTACCTTCATTACGATTTGACAATTTGTATGGGAGGTATGGGGCTTTTACCATTTTTGACTATTGTACCACAATGTCACATTGTGATACTCAATTTAATTGCTCATAGCAATCTACTTATGTTGTTTATGCTGTTCCTTAATTAAGTTACGATACATATTAACTTGTTGATCCTTGAATACGAAATTCTTAAATGTTATCAATTTAGCATTGTTCTAAGATCTTTGAATATTGTAGTTATTTGTACTATAATTGAATTTATATTCAATAGTTACATACATAGCTAATCATACAATGTATTTGTATCAAGATATTTTCAATATTTTTGTAGTAACCTTATCAGCACCAATAGAACCAGAAATACCAGATTTTGAACCTAATTTCCCATGGACACCGGGAAAAACACCAGAGTCTAATGGTAATTATTTTGCAACATTTTAATAAGAAAAATAATAAACCCAAGGAATGTGAGCGATAGTAAGAATATACATATGCTTTGTGCTTCTCTATGTGTCGTGCACGCTCAGATTCGTCCTTAAGTATTTTATTTTTTTGCAAGTTACACGTCTCAGTTAGAGGTGATTCGGCTTTGCATTTAGACAATTGTTCGTAAATCTATTTAAATCAATCAATGGTAATGTTTTCTCTTACTGTACGTTTTTTCAATAATAATGAGGACATAGTAACCTACATTTCATAATTGTAGATGATGTATGAATACACTTATAATATAACTGGTTTTTTTTAATATTGGGTTCACTGCTAACTTTACATATTTATTTTAGATGTTGAGTTTATGGTTTTGTGTATTTTTCTTGGACCTCTAACTGATTACATTTTGACCAACATTTTTTTTTTCTTATTCGGATTAAATACAGTACATATCTCATTATTTGTATCATTTGTTGAATTTGGTGACGATTTAATATCTTTGATTGCTGCTACTTAATTCAATCACAATTTGTATAGCACCTGGACCAAATGATTTCATTATTATCGTAACCATTACCAAACAAGCCGCTACAACCTCTACTTGAATATATCCATCAAGTACACTGAACTAAATAAACCTAATTGAACATATGGATTGAAATTGAGTTATCACTGCATATTTAGTCAAAATGGCATTACACGATGTCATTTTTATCTCACTATTATTTGTGTTGATGTTGTGCTCAACAACGATGTTTCAGATCACTTTCTTTTGCACAAAAAGTTTGGTTTGTATTTTGTTTTTCTTTCCATCCATGATTTAGCCTTTTATCTTTGACGAGTTTTTTTTAATATTCCATCGTATTTCTAAGAAATGATTAATTTATATATATGCATGCAGTGTTTGGTGACAATCCGTAAACACTGTATGTTTTCCTCTACAATCAAAGTAACTATATCGTGGGTTGATTCCAGATTAAAACACCAATTAACTTTAACCATTTCAATATTCTACCGGTATTTGGTGGGGTTCGTGTTGCTCAATCTTAGATTTCTGTGTAATGCTTTGTTATTGATTTTAATCTTTTCCTTCTCTTTAGTTTTGGCCACGGTGTTTTCTGATTGTAGTTGACTTGTGACATTCGATTTTCCCTTGTTAGCTTTTCCTTTTATTTATTTTATGACATTCACGAGAAAGTAATATCATGTTTTCTGTGCGTTGAATAAAAATAAAGTTTGTTGAGAAAACTATCGTCTTTTTATCATGTAAAATGCAATTTTACATCGTCTATTGTTTTGATCTGGTTTGTATATATCGCAATAATATAAATGAAAAAAAGTTCCACTTAAGGATGTACTTAGGTTTAGGAATTTTTGTCAGATGTTCGGACTCCATTGTTTTTTTTTCTACGATACAGGGTAAAATATTTTGCCCCATAATACCCATTTTTCTTTTCATATAAGACTTCAATAGCTCATAAAAGGTCATTTACCAAATTTTAAGCAGATTCATAGATTTTTTTTCTTCCGATTTGAGAACCAAATAATACCAATGCAAATATAAGTTAAAAGTCCAAGACAGACTTCTCCAGCCAATTTTTTAAAATTGAATATCTCGAAAAGGAGCTCAATAACCTATCAATATTTTTAGCTTATTTTGTTCCTTAACTAATGGTCTTTTCATTTATAGTATCAATTCTAAATTCTAGATGTTTTTTTTTAATTTCACCTAAGTACATCCTTAAAAAAGCTGACAAATTTGAGTACTAAACTCTACCCGACTAATTGTGTACCTTTTCATAAATTATGATTTTAAGGCGTATAAACATTCTTAAATGAAACAAAATTTTGAAGGATTTTTTATCACAACTGACTCGACCTTTTGAGAGAATATTTATATGTAAAGTAACTTAACCTGTAATGTGAATAAAAATAACACTTTATATAATTGCTTGCATCCGAAGCGCTTTTCTACATTTACCTTTATCAGGGACGCTCATAACCATACTATGTATAAAACTTAAAAACAGTAGGTGATATATGTCCAAAGGGAAAAAAAGGTACAGCCAAATCCATCGAATGTTATCTTTGCCTTAAAGTTTAAACATTTATTTGATTACATGGATTGAATTAAACAAGATCACGTCTGACATATTTCCTAAACATATTTTCAATAGGTGTAAATCATTTTCGTGTTTGTTAAAGCACTGATACCAAATAAATTATTTACTACCTTTAACAACGATTTGAATGGTTTAAGAGGTGATGTTTTAAATAGTCTATACGACATCTACACTATAAAATTTCTAGCACTGTATTTAAATATTGTACATGTTTCGTATGGTATATATTATATCATTAAATGATTGCATATTTGTATTGCAGAACTTCTTATATGTTCTGTTCTTGCCAAAAACAGTGCGAGTTTATTTGATGAATCTTATACAACCATTGGTAATCCTAAAGAAGCATGTAGCTACAAAGCGCCATTGACTAAATATTTTGATTCTTATGATGTATGCAGTTTTGATGTATCAGTTAGCATGGGAATTGCAACAAATCCGAAAATGCGTTATTTGAAATTCTCCACACCCGAGGAAGTTGTTGTTAATATAAGGAATTACAAAATCGTTATGGGACAGGATAAAAGTGTAAAGGTAAGTTAGATATCATAGAACTAACGAGCATTACTGCATTTATTAGGTCTTTCCACTTTTCTGTGGAAAGACCTATTGTATTTGTTCTGATTATTATTAGGTCTTTCCACTTTTCTGTGGATTGACCTATTGATTTTCTTCTGATTATTAGGTCTTTCCACTTTTCTGTGGAAAGACCTATTGGTTTTCTTCTGATTATTATTATTAGGGCTTTCCACTTTTCTGTGGAAAAGACCTATTGTATTTGTTCTGATTATCATTAGGTCTTTCCACTTTTTTGAGGAAAGACCTATTGAATTTGTTCTGATTATAATTTTATTTTTTTTTTTCTTCCGCCAAATTTTGTTCTTGCGATAAATTTTTGTTTCGCAATATGTCGCTTAGATATTTCTCATATTGTATCGTATAGTTTATGCGCTTTTAAATTTCACCCTGCTAAGCCAAACAATTTTCTTTGTAAGAGTTATCTCCCTATTGACTGTTTATCATGTGATTGCATAAACGAACAAGTGCAAAATGTTTGCTTTATTGTAATGAAGATATGTTACATTTGGGCTGAAACAATCTAATGGCATATAATAGGAGTAAGGGGCCCTGAAATGTCTAATTATAAGGTTAATTGATTATTACTTCAACTTGGTTCATTATAAAGCCATATGTCCTTTTACAAAAGGTTTAGTGACATATGACCTTGAAAAATGACAACCGGAAGTGACCTTGAGAAAACTGGAAGAAGCAATTTTTGCACTTTCTTCATGGAAAAGTACTCGGAATCCATAAATATTGTAATTTTAATACATTAACTTATCACTAAAGACTAGAAGTGACTTTCGATAAATCGGAAGTGGCCAATTATCTCCTGGTTTACAGGCAAAAATATAAATTATATATTTTTGGAATCATTGTGAAAGAGGCTATCATATTAGACCGGAAGTGACATTTACTTCACCGGAAGTAGCACATTATCTCCCTTATTTCACTCAGAAGTATATAGAAACCACTTATTTTTCGCATCAGTATAAAGAAACTTATGATTGGATACCAATTTTAACTTTGAGTAAACCGGAACTAGCTTCTTTTCAATAACTTTGAAAATTGATGTGGAAAGACCTTCTCTGAACAATTGGTTTTTAATTTTTTATTCTTTTTTTCTTCTTCTGCCACTTTTATTTCTTGCGTATAAATTTTGTTTCGCAAGATGTTGCTTAGATGTTTGGTATATGATATCGAACAATTTATGCACCTTTGAAATGACCCTGCTTAGCCGAATACTTTTCTTTGTAGGAGTTATCTCCCCGAACACTGTTTTCCTTGTGAGTGCATCTCCTCCGTAACCGTAAAAGAAAGCAACAAATTTATTTTACCAAATTGCTCATTATATCTTCAGGATGTTTTATCTAATTTTGACCAAAGCGATACGTAAACTCCATATGAGATTATTTCCCTTTCTGTATTTGACATAAGGGATATATAAATGTATAGCATGAATGGTAAGTGATAGAGACCTAAGGTATATTGATTTGAGTTCCTTGGTTCATTTAAATGAAATTGAGGCCAAGGTCAAAGGTCAAGGTCATATTCAAAATTTTGACTTTTTCTTGTTATTTGATCTCCTCTGTCACTTTTAAAGATATATATAAAAGAACTAGTGCAAAATGTTTGCCTAATTGTGATTAAGATATAATACTTTGGTCTGAAACAATCCAATGACATCTTATAGGAGTAATTGTCCCTGAAATGATTCAATTTAAGGTTAATTGATTATTACTCCAACTTGGTACATGATAAAGCCATAGGGTCTTTTGCAAACTGTTGGTTGACATATGACCTTGAAAAAAATCAACCGGAAGTGACCTTGAGTGAACCGGAAGTAGTATTTTTTGCACTTATTTCATGGAAAAGTACCTAGAAACCATATATTTTTTGAATGATCATACATTTACCTATCATTTGAGATCGGAAGTGACATTTTATAAACCGGAAGTAGCATATTATCTTCCTTATTACAGGCAAAGGTATATACAAACTATATAATTTTGGAATCAGTTTGAATAAAGCTATCATATGAGACCGGAAGTGACATTTTCTAAACCGGAAGTTGGCAATTATCTCCCTTATTTCAGGCAAAAGCATATAGAAAGCACATATTTATTGAATCAGTATGAAGAAACCTATACTTTGACGCTATTAATAACTTTGAGTAAACCAGAAGTAGCTTCCTATCAATTATTTAGAAAATTGATGTGGAAAGACCTTCAATTAAAGAACAATTGGTTTTTAATTATTTTTTTTTCTTCTTCTGCCACTTTTATTTCTTGCGTATAAATTTTGTTTCCCAAGACTCATATGAGACCGGAAGTGACATTTTCAATACTGGCAGTTGGCAATTACCTCCCTTATTTCAGGCAAAAGTATATAAAATCCATATATTTATTGAATCAGTATGAAGAAACTTATGATTGGACGTATATAGTAACTTTGAGTTAACCAGAAGTAGCTTCTCATCAATTATTTAGAAAATTGATGTGGAAAGACCTTCAAACTGTTCTATGAACAATTGGTTTTAATAATATTATTATATTTTTTAAAAAAAATTGGAAATTAACTTCGTGTCTGACGATGTTTTGGGATTTCTCAAGAACTTTTTATAAATGCAATTATTGGAAAACAAAATTTAATAAATTTCTTATGTTTATACATGTAGTTGCTATACTAATTGATACAAACTGACAACTTGTGTATCATTATCATTAAATGCCCATTTCAGATATATGCAATCATAGGTTTGAAAGTTGTTTTCAATTTAGAATAGTATATATATATGTATATAAATATATATATTATATATGGTGCTAAATAACAAATACTGAAAATCTGAAAGATAAGAAGTTGAGGAGCAATAAACTCCATATGAAACAAAAACAAGCATTAAACCTTCTAAACTTTAACTAAGGAGCAAATGTATGAATTTTAATCGAAAACGAATTTTCTAGAATAATAATATAAGTACCTATGTAAAGGAACGCGTAATATTCAAATCTATTTGAGGTTGGATCAATCATTTCAATGATTTTACACAAATTAAACTACAGATTGGCTTACACTAGGCTCCGTGTTGAAGACCGTACTTTGACCTATAATGGTTTACTTTTATATTTTTTACATAATGGAGGGTTGTCTCATTGGCACCCACATCCACATCCTCTTATATCTATTTACAATATTATTAGTTCACTGCATTTGGTATGAAAATAAACGCTATATTTCGCAGTTCATTAGGCGTGCATCTATGCCAGGTTTCATCAGATTCGGATTTTTTTCAGAACTTTTGCAGATTTGTTTACAGTTCGTAAGAAGAGATTCAATTGAGCTTAGTAAAATTGTATAACTTTTTATTTATGATAAAATTGTTGTTCTTAGTTTGCAAGGTCAATCGAAGTTATAAATTATCTAATTATGCTAACGCTGAATAAGACACCCAACTTATGGTTAAAAGAGAAGAGCAAACATTTTGATCCACGAATTCCACACATTAGAATTTGATTGTTTTCATCTTCAAAAGTAATTTTTTTTTTTTTTTTTTTTTAGATAACTGTCATCTACTATGAATTTCAATTGTTCGATAATAACTAAATATTTAAAAGCAATATTCACGATGAAGACCAGTTACTATAATGATGTGAGAATTTCTTGTGTTAAATACAAAGTCAGTAACCAGTCAACAGTCGCCCAAATATCAAATACATTAAGATATGAATAAAAGTCGTCAATTAATGAAGTAAAAAGACTTTGGAAAGGCTCGTGAACATGTGGACGGAATTAACTTGTTTCTATCATTTGTAAAACTTTTGTACGTCATATGCAATTGCGAGACTACTTGTTGGTCTTACATTAAATTGGTCTTCCTACACCAACAAAAAAGACCATTGAAATTTTAGAACACATAGGTGATTTTAGCGCTTGTTCAGCAAAAAATCTTAAATTATAACCTACTTTTTTATTCAGGTGAATGGTAAGAACATCAAGCTACCATATACAGATGATAAAGGGTATCTTTTCATAACTTATATTGGAGGAAGATTACAGTTTTCGCATATATGTGGTTTGATTGTAATGTTTAATAGACATGCTGTAGATGTTTTGGTCCCTAAAACATACGGGGAAACTCTGGATGAAACTGCTATTTGTGGAAGCAGTAAAAAACATACGGAATTTGTACCAAAGACCACTGAGTAAGGATTTTACAACTGTTTTTGTTATTTAAGAGCAAAATAGCATCTTTGTATTGAGGAATTGGTTTTGACAAGCATAGAAAAAAATTATGTTGTTAAATCCTAGCTAATGAAAACAACTGTATGACAAATATAAAGGAAATATCCGGAAAGTCATTGACATATAACAGTAAGAAGTTATTTCCCCTTATTTATCAAAAGGAATGAGTATGATTTGTTTGAATAAGCAGTTAGGACCCATTATACGAAATAAAGGTTGGTGTACTTTAAAGGAGATAGCATACATAAACATCTTCAAAGAATAAATAAGACATCATATTTTGTAATTCCAGGAATATTTTTTTGTTGTTGCAAAATTTGACTGAAGAAAACACTATTCGAATAATATAATAATAAAGCTATTGACGTTCAGCCAAAAGTCAGATGCATTATATTAACAACAATAATATGATTATAACCATTTCATTATATACATTGTATATTAAACAAGCGATACAAAAAGTAATACAAAAAAAACTTGGTGTGAAATACCACTTTTTGCTTGGAATCAATTATAGCCAGTGGTATCATTCTTCAACAATTCTTAACTACACTATTTGCAAAAGTCTTTACAATTTTTGACTAATTTAGGAAATCTTTATTACTTTAATTGAAAAATAAATTGTTTTAAGTAATGAAATATTACGTTCAGTGTAGTCCGATACATCATATACCTTTCAAAGGAATAAGATTTATCGAGGAGATTTCTGGTTGATAGCAGCAGTGCAATGTACAGATAGAGAAGTCCTAACTATTATTAGAAATACATCGACCTTCAAAGAAATAGTTAATAATGCTTCATCAACATATGTTTTGGTACAAAATCTGATTGGTAAAGCTTTAGACCAAAGAAACGAACTTTTGTTGTTGAAGATTCAATATAAATACAAAAGTTTCTTTCTTTATTACGAAATCCTGTAGAAAGAAGGAAATTGGTGGTATTCAGTTGTAACGTTAGCTATGTGATAACTATAGTGTAATTATTAAAGAAAATGAGATATATTTTTTAATTCAGAAGACGAAAAATGTCTTTAAATAGAAGGTATAAATGTCCTCAGACCATCCTAATTAGGACTATTTTAATATAGCTTTGATTTACAATCTAAACGTATCCTCAGATGATCATCTGGTATTCCTATTGTCTATACTTTCTAAAATATGGCCCCATGTACATAACATCAAAAGATGAGGTTTTACAGTTTTGTGAGGCTTTATTAGACCGAAGGAATATTCATTTTGGACATTTTTGTCCATTTTCCGTCTTTACTGTTTCCATAGATTGAACTTTGTTTTGTTTGTTATATGAAATAAGATTATTTTAAACTATACATAGAATTGTTTTTCTCTTCGAAAGCAACATAAATTTTCTTGTAGTGAATATTACATCCTAGAACAGGCATTCAAATAAACTACGGTCGTGTGGAATAGAAAACGAAAAATTACTGCCGTTAACAGTAAATATTATAGTGGTATTTTTAAACTTAATGCAAACATATGGGTATATTTCTTGTATTTTGCGATACCAATATTGACTAATATATACTAAATGGTGCTATTATTTCATGTATCTACAAAACGTGAAAAACTTAATGATGGTTATTCGCAAATCAATATCAATAATAATTGTTTAGGCTATTGACTATTTTTTAAATAAAATGTTTATCGGCAAGAAGTAACCATTGCCTTTTCAGTCTTTACATATGTAAGATAAGTTTCGTCAATAGAAAACTTCAATGTATAGTCTTGGTCGTAACTGTTTTTTATATGATACAGGTGCGTTGGGGTTGTAAACTGTAGGTTACCACCCTTTGTCAGATGTCAAGATTTCCCTGATAGGAAAGAAGGTCCATTTACAAAATGTAGTCAGTATATAACAACAAACGCCAAACAGCATTGTGGAGAAGTGTCTTGTGGGTTACCTAGTATAACATGTGATTTGTCACATTCTTATATGACCCGTTGTGCAATTCGCATGCAGGATAAACCATTCACATATTGGAGTACTACAGATTATACAGCTACATGTCGTAAGTAAATTACATATTATAAGATCCATAACTGCTTGGATATGATCATCCAGTGATCCATTGCGGGCATCATTTAAGTGAGTCAGACCCTGTCTATGTTTACTTATAGATACACCAATGGTAAAGATAATATAACCAATAATTTAAATTTGCAAAATATTTTTTTTATAACGTAACTTCCGCCTTGAATGCAATTCAATTCATATACTTTTGTGAATGTTACAGTAAACATTGCTTATATTCCAACGATTGTATTCATGATATCGATAATACCTACTTTATAGCTAAGCCTACATGTGAACCTGCACAACATAAGACGTTTAAAGACAGTACTACTGCCTGTCCTGCAACTCTTGCTGACCCAAATGCTCCGAAAACATGTGTGCTTCCTAATGTCAGTATATGCGCATGTGATGATGGGTATGCATGGGAGGATAATGATTTTGATAATGGGAAATGTGTTCCAGTTGGTAAATATATTTGTTAAACCTAATTGTTTATTTATTTGTTATTCATACACATGAAACTGAAATTGCATTAGAAACTGATCCTTGATTTTAAATTCATTGGAATTGTTTTGTTTTTTATTATTTTTTTATGATTTCATCAATCCGGCTTATAACTTCATATTTATCTAATTTAAAAAAAAATAAGCAACATGTCATTTCTAAAAACAACGTTCCATGAAAATTCAGCTTTTTCTGAAATTTAGAATCAAGCTTGATTTTAGCCTGCTATACGGTGGTATTTGATTTCCAATCCATTGCTCGTCAACTTCATGTTGAATACTTAAAACGTGTGCATCAGTTGTGAGCAATAGCTCACAGTTCAACTGATTGATTTTGAATGAATTTAACTCTTTTGCATCTACCAAAGTTTAGGTTGTATGTCAAAATACATCATATACAACATATATCAAGCCATTACCTTTGATAAACTGTTATTTTGAAAATTTCCCATAATTATTTCATGCATTTTTATCTTCGTGGTCCCTGTTGAGTAGGTCTAGAAGCATCTAACTTCACTACGTCCATCCATTCGTCTGTCCGTCCGAAATACATAGATGATACCTAGTTTATGTCATACGTTACTGCAATAGTTTACATATTATTTTTATTTACACCTATGACAGTTAACAAGTTCATACTCATTTTAATGATCAGATCAACCGAAAATCTACAAATAAATCAAGATGCCTGAAATAAGTTTTACCCTTTTTTTAAAAAATCTTTAGTTCAAAAAGATCAGCATTACACACATATGATTTAAACAATTGTTTTTACGTTCTATTTTGGTTAAAATCTTTCTAATTATACCTTGTATAGAGAACCTTCATACATCACAATTGAACAGCTATACACAACATACACAACAAAGTCAAATGACTGAAATGATTTATTGTCCTATAGTTAGGATATTTACTACTTTTTTATATAGAAGATAGAAACTATAAACAGCAATAATTATCAGCATAATAAGATCAACTAAGTCAACATGACCGAAATCGACAATCGACTGATATTACCATTATATGTGAATTTTCATTAATTTGCGTTGTTTGCTTTGTGTATAAAAACCTATAATGGACAAAAAGTGTAAACAGCATAAAATATCAGCGAAAAAGAATTGTCATATAAGTCACCAAAGTTGAAATTGTCAATCAATTTCTTATTAGGAGTTATTGTCGTTCGTTGATAAAGTTTACCAAATTTTCCGTGTTGTCGCATTGTTACCATTTGAGCGCTTCAGGCTCCTGTCAGCCTCAAGTAATTTTCCAATAATTTCTTAATGAATTTGAGCCATCTAGTGGAAAGCGTATACACTGCTTAGGTTTATTAAAAAAAAATAGTTTGACAATTCTTCTATAATTTAGTGACAGTTCAGTATCAACTCTGAGGATTTCAATATTCATTCCAATGGTATGAAACTGTGTGAGTGAACAAATAATAATATTTTAATATGTAATGCAAAAAGTTATTGTTACTTTCATCATTTATATTAAATACTTAAAGGATGTAAGAGTTTATGAAAAAATTAAAAAGAACAAGAAGCATTGTGTCATATATTTGCAATTGGATGTTGTGTATCGTATAACGCTGTTTGTTTGACTTTTTATCAATTCAAACAATATCTTAAAACCAGATCCACTTTAACTTTACATTGAACCAAACACAGGTCCTCAACCTCTATCTGCACCAGAACCAGAAACACAGCCTCCAATGCCACCACCACCCACACCTCAAGTACAGCCTACACGACCACCAGGACCTCCAGTATTGACTCCACCATCACCCACACCTCAAGTACAGCCTACACGACCACCAGGACCTCCAGTATTGACTCCACCATCACCCACACCTCAATTACAGACTACACGACCACCAGGACCTCCAGTATTGACTCCACCATCACCCACACCTCAAGTACAGCCTACACGACCACCAGGACCTCCAGTATTGACTCCACCAGCACCCACACCTCAAGAACAGCCTACACCAGTACCCGAACCCCAAGAATTTCCAGTACCACGACCAGGTAATATAATGATGTAATGTTTCGAAGGTTAGCGATTGATTCACTCGTTTCAAAGGACTAGCTTTGACTGTTTCTGTCACTTGGTATCCCGTCTTCATTCCATCGCAAGGCCGTCAAAACTTAGTTAAACCACCTTGCCCTGGTAACAATTATCCGTATATTGTTGAGTTTCAGATTATTTTGTCATTTGTGGGTAATGACATCTTTTTATTAATTTCAATAGATCAGTGATTTATCACATTAGTTAATATATAAAACAATTTAAAAAAAACAATAATTTCACATGTGGCAGAAATCATGTAATTTCGATCAAATGACGTCATACAATAATAGATGTAGTCAAGATGTTGCCAGTGACGTTTAATCAAAACGATTTGAGAAAGCTTAAAAAATGAAAGAGTCCCTTGAATTTCTACTTTATTCATACTAAAATAATTAAACAAAACGAATTAGTAATCCTAGAATTCAAACATGACTTGGCAATATTGATAATTCATTCATACACAACGCGCATTCGGTAATTAATGATTTTAATGTACAGTTAATGGAATATTTCATTTCTATTGATTCCCCACTTTAATATTAATCCATCATCAATATACTCGAACTTGAAAATACAAACCATTAAGTTAATCAAGTGGATATATGTGTGATGTTAAGCTAAGTTAAAATGTTTACTCAAATGTTATTTTCGGTCTATGTTGTCGAAGTATAGGTCATTAATTAATTCCTTTAGGAATTGTGAAAACATATTTTTGTTTTTGCATCATGCACTGGTAACATTTGTTTAATTGTCAAAATAGCTAAATCACAAGTGATTAAGAAATTAATTTTATTTTTGTTAATGAATAGTTAACAGTTAAACTTTACTCTTATTAACGACATTAGAATACTCAGCTTTCAAATAATTGTTTAAATAAATTTTAAGTTCGAAATTAAACGAATTATTCCGTTTGCAGTGCGCTTGGCATTAGTTTCTGAAACAACTTTCATAAGCTACATTAAAGTATGTGAATATTAATGAGTGCCAGGAAAATAAAGAGTCAGAAAGATGAGAAATGTAAAAAACAAAAAATTACAATATATTCATTGCATTGATTTTTTAACTAATTGTTTGATGGTTTGATAAATTGTATTTTATTCGTCATTTACTCAGAAAGTAAAGTTCCCATCAGCAAATTTATCTTTATTATGCATGGACAGTTTATTTAAATTATTACGATTTCTTAATTCACTTCATTGAAAACAATTACAGTGAATGGAGGTTGGTCTGAGTATGGTTTATGGGGGAAATGTTCTAAAACTTGTGGAGGTGGAATGCAGTCAAGAACTAGAATCTGTAATAATCCAGCTCCATCTGAAGGTGGTAAGGTTTGTGAAGGTAGTGACGAGGAGACTCAGCCTTGTAGGACAGACAAATGTCCAGGTAAAAACTGTGTACAAATGCCATTTATCAAAATATTTGGTATAGTATAAAGATAAGAAGATATGGAATAAATGCCAATGAGACAAATTTTTACAAGAAAACCCCTTTTCTGAATATATCATTTATGTAGAATTTAGCAACGATATGTCACCGAACGGTCTTCAACAATGAGCAAAACCAAATAATACTGCATAGCAAGCAAAAAAAGGTGTTAACATGACAAATATAAAACAATACAAACGAGAAAACCATCTACCAAATTTATGTTCAAAACAATAAACGAAAAACAATTTCAGGTCTAGGATATTATAGCATAATTCAAATTGCAATGCGCATGTTTCTTATATACTTTTCATTAATATACTAGATGGCAAAACATTAAGGATGAAAGGGTTAAATCAATACATTGAATACTATTTGCCTTTTTGAAGAATTTGCTGAAAGAAAAAAAATATTAGCACTGTATTGATTATTTAACCAGTGTTTCGTTAAAATTTTGTATTGTTACTTCTTTTCTCAGTGTGTAAATTCAAAATAAGCTTAAATATATGTATCATGCAGGAAAAAGTGAAAACTGATATTATAAAAAATTGGAAAAATTGTTCAACTAAATGAAAATTAAATGTTCAATTGTTTATTTAATTTCCTATTGAAAGCAAGAACAATTTATATGTTGAAGAAATTTCATACCGCAATCGCAATTGTAGTGACCGAGTGGAAAATATCAAATCGTACATTTTTATTGAATACTGATCTCCAAAAGTCGAATCGTCAAATAGGAGATATTGCCGTTGAAAGATGATTTCTTACACATATCTGTGTTTTTTCTTTTAACTATTTCAAAGTATGTGGATATTAAAATGATGATGATATATGTATTACAATGTTTGATTTGACAAATCTGGATAACAATTGTTTTAAGATTTTAACTTGATTAAACTAAAATTCATACAAAAAATTAGATCTTTATTTGTCATACGACATTTATTCAGTTCTTTTTTTCGTGTTGGCTGTTTTTGTCTGGTTTACAATGTAAAAAGGGAGGAAGATTATATAAAGGGGGCATTTAAAATTCACAAGTCCAGTAAAAACAGACAAAACCATGACAAAAATTAAAACGAAGAATGGACAAACAAAAATAACAACACATTACATAGAAGACAAAAGACTGAGCAAGTAGAACCCCGACAATCATCGTGAAGAACTAAGCTTGTAAATAGCAAAATGGAGACATAAGTATGAACATGATTAATGCGATATGGAGGTTTACGCCACTTAGACAAAATGGCAATATCATTAATAACCAAAAGACATGTAGTGTGTTGTGGTCAACGTTTAGTCTTCAAAATAACCACGTGTCTATACAATATAATAAGCTCTGAATCGTCTTAAGTATTTGTTGTTGTTTTTGGGTTGTTTTTTTTTATTTATTTAATAATGTCACCATTTATCTACGTTTGTTATTATTTGATGATCGGTTTCATTAATACCCTATCGTCTCATCTTCTCCCCTATAGACCTCCAAAACTATTAACAGTTTACCTTGTAATATTTAATGGTAAAGTCAGTTTTTCATGAATTATAAAAATGATAATGAATTAATACAGACATTCTTATGTTTATAATGTCATTGACCAGTACTGATGCTCTTGATCATGTTGAAAGACGACTGTTTTATTATCCGGCACCTTCTTTATATTAACAACTACTAATCACCACTAAAGGGCCGATTAAACATCTATTCAAACATAATTTCAAATTATATGTTTGTATGATTTGCACTGAATATTGCTTGCGTGTAGCGGTTTTATCATCTGACATATGATGAATATATGTATCAAAAAGTAAGATAAGTCATTCATTGTAATACTTTTTTCTATCGATATATTTCTATTAGAAAATGCGATATTTACTCTTTGTACAGGAGATTGTAGTTCAACCAGTGAGTGTCATGCAGATGGTGTCTGTGATAATGGGAGATGTAAATGTAAAGAAAACTTTAGAGGAAATGGTTATAGTGCTTGCAAACGTAAGTACTACTTGCTGAAGATATAGTAAAACATACTTTTACAGTAAAAATTCGAATTTTGCTTTCCATTATTATTCATGTTGTCTGTTGTTATTAAGACATATTCTCTGAAGAAATGTGTTTACACACACTTGATTACATTTCAGATTCCAATCCTGCAATTAAAATAGAGAATCGTTGTTATCAATTGTTTATTTCCGATTTTTACTTAAAACATTTGAAAACAAATATCGCAATGAAAAAAAAAAGACTATTAAACTAACTCTAAATCAATTAGAAAGACGAAATATACATCTTAAGCGTTAGTTCTGTGGTCTCGTTTCACACATCTAAATAAAGAATAAATATTTTAGTTAATCATAAAATGAGGGGGGGGGGGGGGGGGGGGGTGCTATCAGATTATTACATGACAGTGTTCAAATCAGATGTATTTTCAGCCCTAGGTTAAGAGCAGAGGACTCGAGGACTGAAAATACATCTGATATGAAACATGACATGTTATGATCTTTTTATCATATACTTTCCCTCTGAAAAATAATAACCGGAAGCAGTTAATCGATTTTTATATCAGCATCAATTTCGAAAAATATGGAGTTTACGCAAATGTAGTGATACTATCATACTGTAAAAAATATTTATTCTAAGTATATGATTATTATTTTTTTTTATCATCAAATTTGAGCATATCAAAAATTTGATAATCCCTTATTCGAATGCTAAATCACCTCATTTGGTCAATACAAAGGATCATAATGATACTAGAATAAGCATCAAGATGGTGTCAATCTTTAGCGATTGCAAACTTCCTTTTATATATGCGTCCGTTTGTCTTATATCTAGTTGATATCAAAGTGTTGTATAAAGTCAAATGATGACTGTTAGGACTTAATTGATTTAACTATCTGTAAAACAAGGTTAGATCCACCATTTTCTTTGTAAAATCACTGTATAAAGTCAGGAATATGACAGTTGTTTTCTAGTTGTTCCGTTGGTTAATATAGTCGAGCTTTTGGTTTTGTCACCACAAAATGAAATTCATTAAACTTAGATTAACTTACAGTCGGATATATTAATAAAATTATCACAAATTTGATATACTGTATAGATCGTAACTTCCTCATGAATAGAACATTTAAAATCCAAGTATCCAAAAATAAAAGAGTTTACAGTCTAATAAATCCAATAGTTGTACATTTCATAGACTTTATAATTAATAAATTTTGTGTGTCCGAAGCGCTTTTCTGGATTTACCTTCATCAGAAATGCTCAAGCCTTAGCATTTGAGAGCCATAAAGGAATAAATACGTAGAAACGTTCAGAGTGATATGACCTAAAGAGACATAAAAAGACTAGCCACAGTTATCTTTTGTCTGCTTTGTCTGTGGGAGATTCAACCTAAGTTTCTTAAACCGGTCAATTATAGAATGTTATACAATAACGTTATACATGATGTCAGCTGATGATACTCACGAAGTAACAATCCATTGGTAGTGGTATCGACTGAGAGCTAGTACTTGTTCACAAACAGAGCTTTAGAGTTTTTAAAAATGGTTTAATTTGACATTCATGAAATTGACTGTCCACGATAATTTGCATTTCATAAGTAATTATAAGGATCAAACATTTTGTTGATAATTATTGTCAAAGATAAGCACACAATAAAATTAAAACTTTTGAAAATTCGTTCTTTTCTCTGGGTCTCTCTATTTATAATGATAAAACACTAAGTTCTAGAGAATTCTAATTTCAGATAAACTTGAAAGTTCTAATGTGATTAAATAACATTCTTCTAGAACATTTTGAAGCTTTATCACTGTTCATCCTTACATCTGGTAAAAACAACTCACATTTGTTAAACACAACCGCACATTTGGTAAACACAACCGCACATTTGGTAAACACAACCTCACATTTGGTAAACACAACCTTACATTTGGTAAACATAACCTCACATTTGGTAAACACAACCTTACATTTGGTAAACACAACCTCACATTTGGTAAACACACCCTCACATTTAGTAAACACAACCTCACATTTCGCATTAAGCAATCAATTGAGTGTTGTTAATTAATTGTTAATCAATGTCTATCAAACATAAAAAAATAAAACAGATTTTGCGTATCATTATATTTACAGGTATTATAACAATCACATACCTTCACCTTAAGTCTTCCTTTACTTTTTTATTGTATTTTTTTTCTCAGAAATCTGTTTTGACTCTAAATGTGCCAGGTTCGCTTCGTGTAAAAATGGCAAGTGTCGGTGTAATAGGGGTTATGTAGGCAGAGGCCAAAGGAAATGTAAATGTAAGTATTTTTAAAATGTCCTTTAAGAATACTATCGAAAGTAGAAGAAGGTGCCTCATATCTTGATCCTTTCCTCCTTTTCTACGGTCACAACTACTGACTAGTTTTTACTGATTGTGTCTTTTTCCTGATTGTGAAATTTGGTCGACGCATCCGGTCTCGATCCTTTTGAATTCATGTGATTTCCTCAGTGTTTGGTTTGTTACTTTAATTTGTCTCTTCTCATTCGATTTACGAGATTTAAACATTTGTACACTACTGACGCCTTAATTTGTGACATCATTGAATACGACTTGTAAAATTGATAAGTATCTCTGGTGGAATAAGAACTGTTTACCCCTGTGGAGCACCTTCTTTCACTTCGTTCTTGGTTTGGTTCATGTTGCTCCTCTGAGACAATAATGACAATGTTTTGAAACTCTAATCGAATAATGATGTAAAACCCTTTACACAGAAGCATCTGTTTTTTATAATAAGATAGAAACATTGGAACCAATGGTGTCATGTCAATTCACGTTGAAACCTTTCAGAAATCTATATATATATTTTGGTTATTATAGATTATCTTGACCAAACTTACTAGATTTGCTACATGTTTTACTATAGTAAGATAATGACACTTTATGAACGCATTTCCCCCCTTAAACTGTTTAACGGAAAGCATAGTAGGTAGGATTGTTTATCAATATCGGTAGTTGTACATACTGTACAATCATTAGGGCCCTTGACGGCGGTGCCATGTGGTAATAACTCTTGTCTGTCTATCCGTCCGTCTGTGTGTCTGTCTGTCACCACTTCAAAGGTGAAGTACATGGCTGCACAGATGCATCAAAAAATGAAAACAACACGTTATGAATTTATTGAATTAGATTTACCTTCATCAGGAACGCTCAAAGCCGAATGATTGAAAGCCAAGGATGTATAAAACCGAAACAGCAGAAGAGCTTTATAATCAAAATGACCTAAAAAACATAGTCAAATCCTTCTAATGCCAACTTTGCCTGAGGGAGTTGAAACCTTAGTTTCTTTATACTTTTAAAATTTAGAAACGGGCAAATTTGGAAAGGTTTATTATTTATCATGTCAGTACCGAAGTACTAACTACTGAGCTAATGATACCCTCGGGGACTGATAGTCCACCAGTAGAGGTATCGACCCAGTGTTGTAAAAAATGAAAACCACACGTTATAAATTTAGAAAGTAAAATTTAACCCTATAAGAAATAAATTTTAAAGATTGACAAGAGTGATTTTTAAGATCCATCATAAGAATTCCTCTTTGGATTTGAAATGGATTATAAACATGACCAACAATTGTTTACATTTGTCAATTCTAAAGTCCTCTCCATGAAACTTCGAGGACCAATCCTTTGAATCTTAAAAGGTAAGTAAATCTGGAGAATGATTCAACGTTTTGTATTGGCTTCAAACGTTCCCTTTCAATCATGTGGGAAACCCTATCTCAATTTTTAATCTAAACGTACAAGAATGATCTGAATACCACTTGCCCTATTTTATGTAACAAAGGTCTTTTATATCAATATTTTATGTTGCTCTGATCAGACAAACAAATATTGATGCCTTTACAGTTACCGATGGTAATCGCTTGGCGACAAAGACGGAATAACTATATTTTAGATTTTTGTTTGTAACCATTGACGGGCAAATGCCGAATTGCCATCCTTCTTCATCAATAGTTTGTTAGTCACGGTCTTTGACTACAGACAAGTAGTTGCAACAAGAATTACATAAAAAAAAACGTCAAATGATAATATATTCGATTTATACTTATGTATATACTTTTTATACATTTTATATAAAGTTCATGGGAATCACCAAAATACTTTACAATACAGCAGAGCATATCTAATTAACAAACTACCAACATATCCGACTAAAAACAACAAAAATCGGCAAACAAGGTCAGCAGTCCTTTTGCAACAAATGCTATTTCAAGATGTATGAATTGCACACATTATTGTTTTTCAATTTACGGAATTCATTTGCGCCAATTTACCTGTACATATTTTTATATACTTACTGTACATAATAATCCTTAATAAATGGTTGAAACTGTAAATAAAATTTATGGAAATAATTTATCTAAGGTCAACTTTGCTTGAGGAAGTTGGAATCTTAGTTCCTTAAAATTTTCCAAATTTATCAACGGATTTTTTTTAAATAATTTTTGTCGCAAACGGATTTCTCTCCAAACAACAACGAGCAACACATGATCCAAATAGTGTTACTTGGTAAAGGAAAACATATTTGGAGTTAAACCAGTTTTGTGTGCGCAAAACCTTTCCCTTAACCTGTATATGTAACAGCCACTATGTTCCGTCAGTTACTTTGTTCCGGCGGAACTTTTCATCTAGTTATTTCGTTCCGATGGAACTTTCCAACTAGTTGTTTTATTCCGAGTGCAGTCGAAAAGTTCCGGGAAAAAGTAGCTAGTTGAAAAGTCCCGGAACAATGTAGCAAACGGAATAAGTTGCATTATCATGCAAATTTAGTATTCATAGTACCCTCAAGAGAGGGAAGAATACCCCCCTCCTCAAGTGAGTACTTTTAAAAATATCAATTTCAGATTAATGCATAACAATAAATTAGAACTTATTCCGTTATGAAGGCAACATTCTGACCGAATTAAGTACCATAATAATGAAGAGGGGGAAGAATGAGGATCAGTATATAAGACACTTTTGTTCCCCTTTGAAAAGGTTCAAAGATAATATGTTGCGCTTTTACTTTGCATCAATTCTCCAAATGGAACTTTTTGACTGGTTGATAAGTTCCGTTGGAACTTTTGGGCTAGTTTGTTAGTTCCGGTGTGACTTATTGGCCAAAGAGGAACTTTGTGGCTAGTTGATAAGTTCCTTTTGACTTTTGTAATCAGTATCTTGGTTTCCCTTTGAAATGTTCAAATATAATATGTTGCGCTTTTACTTTGCATCACTTCTCCAAATGGAACTTTGTGACTGGTTGATAAGTTCCGTTGGAACTTTTGGGCTAGTTTGTTAGTTCCGGTTTTGACTAATTTGGCAAAAAGGAACTTTCTAACTAGTTGATATGTTCCGTTGGAACTTTTCAACTAGTCATTTTGTTCCGGTGGAACTTTTAAAGCAGAGGAAGAACTCCGGAACTTTTCGGCTAGTTAGTTCTTTCCGCCCGGAACTTTCCAACGTCGGAACAAAAGAGCATTTGCATATAGACCCTATGTCGTAAAAATTTAAATATACTAAAAATGCATTGATGAATCATTGGCGAACGTCACGTTGCAGTAGTGTATGTATAGTCAGGTTGCAAATATGTTAAGATTAAATGAATGTACCCTGTTTTATACTAGACATACACGCCGAGTCAGACTGTTAAATTCTTATCTGACAAAATTAAGGTACTCAGACACATTATTATAACCAAGAGTCGACAAGTCTTTCATTTTACTTTTAAATGTCGCTACTATTTGCTTAAAAACAGCAAATGCATTTTTAAAGTGTATTTGACCATGCTATATCTTCACCATGATTTGATATTTCTTGCCTAGTTTAAGTACGGTATGTGTTTTTGAGAAAAAAATATAAGTTTTATGTAATAAAGGTAGGTAAAACAACAAGAAAAATTATTCTTGAGATAGTAATTTACTAATACTAGTGTTTATCACTTTGTTACAAAATATTTTCAGTGAAATGTGGAAAAAGAAAATGTCATGCTGAAGCTAAATGCCAAAAAAAGAAGTGTGTTTGTAACAGTGAATTTCCTTATGGCAATGGAATCAACAGGTGTTCAGGTAACTATCACATTACATAAATCAATTCAAATGAAATGTTAACCTGTTGGAACGTAGGTGTTCAGGTAACTATCACATTACATAAATCAATTCAAATGAATAGTTAACCTGTTGGAACGTAGGTGTCCAGGTAACTATCACATTACATAAATCAGTTCAAATGAAATGTTAACCTGTTGGAACGTAGGTGTTCAGGTAACTATCACATTACATAAATCAATTCAAATGAAATGTTAACCTGTTGGAACGTAGGTGTTCAGGTAACTATCACATAACATAAATCAATTCAAATGAAATGTTAACCTGTTGGAACGTAGGTGTTCAGGTAACTATCACATTACATAAATCAATTCAAATGAAATGTTAACCTGTTGGAACGTAGGTGTTCAGGTAACTATCACATTACATAAATCAATTCAAATGAAATGTTAACCTGTTGGAACGTAGGTGTTCAGGTAACTATCACATTACATAAATGAATTTAAATGAAATGCTTAACCTGTTGGAACTTATTACATATGTCTTCTGCGATTCTTAAACATATTGCTAAATTATCTGTATATTACTCTAATTCATCTGAACCATTTTTGGCTAGTATTTAAATTAATGATCAATTGTGTTTTTGTTAAGAAATCAAAAATTCCAGTACTTCTAAATCTCGATAAAACAATTTTGAAAATACTACTGCAAAGATTATAAAGCTGTCAATGGAAGGTGTGATATTAATGATTTCATAATATATAATCACATCTCCCTTTCGCCTTCCATCAAACACTAATGACAGGAGACAAAATTAAAAGGTCGGGGGAAAAAATCGGGAAAAAACGCAAAATGCTATTTGCTATATATAGATACTCGACTTTACAAAAATGATCGATCAACTTTAAAATTATTATTGGTGACCAAAACTACCTTCGAACACTAGTACAGTTATTTAAACACAAAATTTGTTAAAATTTAAAGAGAAAATATATTTTGGAAAAACTGCCAAGTCAAAGTTGGTGCAAAGATCTGCTCACCACTCAATGTTGCATTCTTCATTTGAGAACGTTTTAATGATTAACCAACAGGAATCTTTTTACACGGTATTTTGGCATTTTGATCTTACGACAATCTTTGAGATGAAATAAAATGTCTAGACATAAATATTTTAAGTCTAATGAAAAAATAATACCTGCAGTTAGTCTACATGACTTCTAATCTGACTTATAGTTGTTACTCCGAACACCAAAGTCACAATGTGTAAAAGGTAAACAATTATAGGTCAAAGTAACTAGACAATGAGATCTACTATAAGTCAATAACTGACGAAAATTCTTACATAAGACATATACATAAACATGTCCTGTACTCTTATGTCTGTATATTATTATGTTTGCTATCCTTACATGTGTGTTATCCTTATGTATGTGTGTCATCCTAATTTATGTGTGTTGTGTTATCCTTATCTCTGTGTGTTACCCTTCCAATGAATAAAAAGTTTCTGATTCTTCTCGTTGAATATTACTATGTTCTTTGTTATATTTCAGAAACATGTAAAGGAAAGAAATGTGTTAAAGATGCTGTATGTCCTAGAAATAAATGTGTTTGCAAGAAAGGATACTATGGAATTAGAGATAAAAGTGGAGAGCTTACTGAATGTAGAAGTATGAAATTCTACGACTGGTTTTAAGGGGTTAACTTGTGCAGATTAAGTTGTTTGCATACTTATTGAACATTGTCATGTTGAATTGTATGATCCAGAGAGTACCTTGATATTCAAAATTATCTAAATGAGTTACACTGCTTTATTGTCATGTAACCGGTGATTCATTCAACTCCAAATATCTGAAAATGCAAACTTATAAATCCTTAAAACAATTTATTTTTTTCGTATTTTTCTGATTAATGATTTTTTTTAAGTTAAAATTTAGATGCAGTCAAAGATTACATTTATTCAGACAATAACTTTGTCAGACATTCATGCAGTTTTACGAAACTTTGACAGATTGCTACTTCATGATCAAAAGAATGTATCAAGAACAAAATGTTGAAGAAAAAAGTTTTATTTAATTGTTAAGTATTTTACTGATAAATGGACTAAGCTTCTTGCACTTAACATACGGATACGCTCTATAAACATTAATGTTTTCTGCATGAAATTATTGTTTAGCTTTGGAAGGAGTTAACGTTTGTTGTTAATAGATCGAAACTGATAATTGGAACATTTACACATTGAAAATTGTATCCACTGATCATTGATTTTTCCTTCAATGGATTTAATTTCATGCAATATTCTATGCTCCAATGTTCTATACAATATATACAATTTGTTCTTATTTAAAGATTGCACACAATTAGACCATGCGTAATAGTAGCAAGAAATTACCAAAAAATCAGAACAGCAAAAACGGTTTAAATTGTCTCTTATTTGTTAAATTCCACTGCATATTATTTGAAATCCATACTAATGGATTATTTATAAAGGAGATCTCTGTGCTTAACTTTAAAGCTAAGTTTTTAGTTGTATATACAACATACTTTATCCTTCATTTCATCACTGCACGAGATTGTTATACCATAGCATTTATATTCATTGGTATGTGAAATTTCAGTTCATTAAAAAGTTATCTGAATTCTCGATTTCACACTTCTGTTGTCGATTTGTTACAGAGTTATGTAGAAGGAAGAAATGTGACCGTGATGCAACATGTAAAGGCAGGGGATGGAATAAAGATTGTGTGTGTAATTCTGGCTTTATTGGAAATGGAAAATCATGTCAAGGTTTGTATTTTCATTATCATATTCCTAAATTTAATAAGCTTCTTCAGTCTTTTCTCCGAAATTAATAGATAATTTAACATAAAGTCTTCAACAATAGATAGGTGCTAGACAATTTATCAAGAATTGAATCGTCTTTTATAAAAAAAAAAAAGGATCGTTTATCAATTATACAGAAACTATCTAAGCTCTACCATGAACACAAACTTCCCCATTCTACAAAATCACTAAGATATAATATAAGACAACCATCGACGAGATTACTGACATGAAGCAAGTGCATGGATTTGCATCGGGTTAGAACTATTTTGCTAAGATTTCGAATCTCTCCCTTAGTTAGTGTCGATCAATAGACGAAAAAGTATAGCAAAAATACCGAACTCCAAGGTAGAAGAGCATCCGGCAACAACATAAACAGTCAAGAAAGACACGATCGTGTACAAAAACCCAGAGCTGCAAAGAATTTCAACCCAGAAGAAAAAGAAAACATTATATCTTGCTTCAAATTATAAATTAGCGAATTTATATTAATCCAAAATATACCATTCGCAGCATACATTAAAAAGTAAAATAACAAAAATACCGAACTCCAAGGAAAATTCAAAACTGAAAGGCACCATGATTTTAAAGGTCTGAATCTAAACTTATTGTCAAGGTTCCATGTGAATTAATCAACATGTGTAAGTACTGTATTATTAAACAAATTTCATATACTAATATGGTAGGCGGTGTCGTCATTTGAGTACAGAATTTCAAAAAAGCGCTTCCGAAGCACGAAATTCATAAATTGTGATTTTCATTTCATGTCATGTCATCTCAGTAAATAAATACTGGAAGAGAGCCTTTGTCACAGGTATTTATTAGGAAGCCTTTCTGAGAAACCACGTGCACAGCTAAGAAAATAAATAATGAAATCGTAATTCTCCCTCATTTATCTCATATTATGGGGGAATTAATTACCGTTGTATTTAACTTCTTTGTAATTTTAGAAAAATGCACCTGTGCCGCTTTTGGAGATCCAACCATTCTTAGATACAGCTATTCTGCACTTTCTTTTGCTGGAGAGTGTAAATACACTTTGTCAAAATTACTGCTTCCAAGGAACCGTTGCATGTTTAATGTTGAAGTAAATTATGACAAAGGCAATAAAAAATCTGAAAGCGCATCTAGTGTTAGCTTTGTTGAACTTAACATGTATGGAATATCTGTGCAACTTGGACCAAAATTGGAAGTCAGAGTACGTAAAGTTTACATGAGAATAATTATTTGCTTGTTTTTAATACAAAATGGATGTCACAGCCATGGTTTTACTTAGACTTGATTGAAATATTTATCCCATGCACTTGTCATATGAAGAAAACTGAAATATACCTCTGAGATTACCTATAAAATTCACCTTTTTTACATTATCAAACCAATATCATAATATGACTGGTCGCATTGAAGTTTAAATATTAATACAGACGCTATAATAAGCAAACTTTTTGCATATTGGTACAATAATGGCTCCCTCTCACTTTGTGAAACCAGGAATATTTATGTTTACTCTGATAGTATTACTTAAAAATATGTAAAAATCAGGTTTCATGTTGAAAATTGATGAAACTTGAATAGTTACATTTGTACCTGCACTCAGTGACCATGTCATATTTTCGCGATAGCAACCACTGCATGACAGAGTTAACTAACTGTAAAATACATTTTGAAAAAGCTTTCTTCTCTGAAGCTGTTGGTCCAATTTAAAAAAAAATATATTGGTTGTCAAGTCTCAAATCATATTGTGAATCCAATTTTCCTATTTATCTAGTAAATAAGAATCAGCAGTATTTTACCGATGTTCAATACTCGTAAATCCATTTTGAATATCAAGATATCAAAAACTTTAGAAATCGCATTTACTCCAAACGGAGGGAGCCCGAAAGTTGCTCGCGATATGCATGCATCACCCATAATGCAATTTCAGACTCATAATGTCACGATAGTGGATCGGCCATAGACATTTTTACTTAAAATTTAACATATGGTTGAAACAATATTTTCTCCATTTGTTATGATTAACCTTAAATATGTCTATTTTTTCACTTCGGTTTTCCAGGTCGTTTCGTTGGGTCTGTATTTAGTGAGCTATATTTTCCATTGGAAGCATTGAAATATTGCAACATAAATATGTTAATTCATTCAAAATTCGTGGCTAATAAATTGAATATTACCAGAACAATTATCAGTACTTATCAAAGGAATTGTTGGGAGTTTTTGTTTTCGTCAGATAACAACTTTTTATGTTGTAGTTGTCATTCATTCATTCAAACTGAACAACTGATGAAAAAAATATTACAAAAGAGAGGCTGTAGTTAAAAGTAATAATCTGTATTATCTATATTAATTAAGACGGTGCAGTGTAATAAAAAAAAGATCAATTCTGGTGATTGACTTACTGTTTCAAATAAAGAATGATTATAATCAGCTATATTATTATGAACATAGGTGTTAACCATTTAATCTTTAATGTGACTTCTTTTATTGTTTTGACTTTTTTTCTTTAAAATTCTCAGTGACCATTAAATTAATGCTTTGTGTTCTAACAAAAAGCTACTGCGGACACAGTTTTTTTTACAGTGGTTGCTTAAACAATTTTAAAGACTATATATAGACATAAAAAATCAATGATCACTAATAGTTGCGTAAAGCATGTCTAAGGTTATCTCCTATCTTTATCATATATGCAGCTTTTTCATAAATTTTGGTGTTTTCACTCACCAAAAATAGAAATTTCACTTTTGTTTTAGAACACATAAACAATAGTTTAACAACCATTACAACTATGTTTAGAACAAGTTAATGATAAAAATGTCACATTAACTGAAGTTTTCATCATATATGAAATATAAAGCTATTTATCATTACATGCCTGATGATAAGGCGTTCGACTTTTTACACATTTCATATAGGAAATCTAAAATGTGATGAAAGATCATTCTGATGGAACATTCCCGCCTTACATTAATTCATTCTTATCGTTACCTTCCTTGTGAATTTATACTCATCTAATAAGATATTCACATTGGATGAATGAATACATTTTTGGGGCCCTTTATAGGTTGCTGTTCGGTGTGAGCCAAGGCTCCGTGTTGAAGACCGTACTTTGACCTATAATGGTTTACTTTTACAAATTGTGACTTGGATGGAGAATTGTCTCATTGGCACTCATACCACATCTTATATCTACATACTGCGAGGCTCCGTGTTGAAGACCGTACTTTGACCTATAATGGTTTAATTTTACAAATTGTGACTTGGATGGAGAGTTGTCTCATTGGCACTCATACCACATCTTTTTATATCTACATGCTGCGACTTGGAAAAGTGTTAACTCCATTGGTATTCTGAAACATACAAGCGTCTATCATTAGCACAATAATTAATAGGATGAAAAATCTAATATATCATAGAATATTTGATATCGTTTATTCATAAATAATCTTTTTACTGTAGGTGGACCGTGAATTAGTTTCTCTTCCATACCGCACGAAAAACAGATCTTTATTTATTCGATACATGGGCTTAAATGTTCTTGTTGAAACAAAATGCTCCGTTGAATTACAATGGAATGAAGCAGGAATGGTTATCTTATCCGTACCCAAAAAATTGGGTAACCGAGTGGAAGGTCTTTGTGGACAATGTAATGGAAAGAAAAACGAATGGCTACTCAAAGACAAGACCGACGTTTCCAAAGATAGTTTGAAGTTTTCAAAAATTGGGGATAGTTTTGCTGTAGCAACAGGATCAGAAAGGTAATTTTGATTGCGTTTTGTTCTTGTATGAACGAATTGTGTTTCTTGAGGATATCTGATGGCACCACTGTTAGGCATAGTATAAAGTGTTGCTAAACTAGCTAAGGTTTCAAATTATAACCACATTAACAAAAGAGATGCGAGGTAAACGTCAATAAGATAATAGTATTAAATGATTTTTGATGTTTAATGCCAGAGTCAGTAAACTTTGCTAAATCATGGCGGTATAACAGCATACCAAACAAAAAGACATTCATAAGTCAACACGCGGTCTTTGAAAAAAACAAATGTTTATGTCTAATGTCAAGTTCTGAATCTCACACAAACTGAGTTGTCTAGTTATGGAGACTTGAATTTAATTTGTTCATAAAGCCATGAAGCTATATTGAGTAATTTGTCACATCTCTCGAACATAATGATTTTGCTGTAGTAACCGGTTCCTTAAAATGTTAACATCTTAATATATCAATTGTTCTTGACTTGTTCTAAGTAATAAAAACTAGACTTTTAACCAGTTTCAACTAGTTTTACCCAAACCTTCCTGTTTACTAAGAAATCTGATTAAACCACAATGTACCTTCAGTTATATCCAGTATCATAAATCTTTATCCATTTTGATAGCACTTGACAGCTGCAATAATAAAATATTTACCGATCTCAATATGTTATAAATGATATATGGGGGTAAGCGTAGGCTTAGTTTTACACTTATCTTTTATAAAAATTGCGGTTTTTATCCAACGCAATCATAGGTTTGAACGTTGTTTTCAATTTAGACTTATTTATATTTTTTCGTTTGGGCCTGTATTATATTTGCCTTCGGGTTTATATGATCCGTTCATCCTATTTCGACTCTTCAAAATTCAAGAGTCTATCCCAAATTCAGTTAAATTATATGGCCTTCCAAATACCTTTCGAATCCTAACATCAATGAAGAGACATTAATTGTCGAAATCCGGATATGGTGTACAAATTTTTGCACCTCATGTTTGCGGTATACCATATTTTCCGCAATTTTATTGTTTTTCTGTTTGGTATTATATTCACAATAAAGATCCATTTTGTTACATCTTGTGATCCGTTTATTTGGCAATCGCCAATGGCAGTCAGCAGGGTTTAAAAACATCCGTTGTTCGACCTATTAGTCAAATGCGTTTTGTTAAAATATACTTTTTCACTTTTTTTGGTCTTTTGGAAAATGTTGTTTGTGCTGTATTTAGACCCCTCTACCAAGAAATTTGTTTTGCATGCACACGTATAAAAATTGCGGTTTTTATCCAACGCAATCATAGGTTTGAACGTTGTTTTCAATTTAGACTTATACAATTTTTATACGTGTGCATGCAAAACAAATTTCTTGGTAGAGGGGTCAAAATACAGCACAAACAACATTTTCCAAAAGACCAAAAAGTGAGAAAGTATATTTAAACAAAACGCATTTGACTAACATATATATATGTATACGTGTCCAGCAGATACTGATTGTAAAAGAGAGGCAAAAGATACTAAGGGAACATTTAAACTTATAAGTCGAAAGTAAACTGACAACGCCATGGCTAAAAAGAAAAAGACCAAGAGACAAACAATAGTACACAAAACACAACATAGAAAAATAGACTGAGCAAGCAACACGATCCCCACCAAAAAGTGGGGGTGATCTCCGGTGCTGCAAGTTAATTTACTGCTAAAATATTTTCCACGTAAGTACAGTAGTTTATCAAATCTGACCTTTTTTATTTCAGTTGCAAAACAAGTGAAACTCCAACATGTAAAGTAAAAGATCGTGTATTGAAGAGAACATGTGGTTTTTTCAAAAAGCGATCATTCAAGAAATGTGCATCCGCAAATAAAGAACTTGTTGAAATACTCATGGCAGCATGTCGTCGGGATTATTGTGCTAATTACAAAGACAAACCCGTGATGAAGGAAGTTAGCTGTAGAAGTGAACATGGATTCTATACAATGTGTCATTACTATGGATTTGGTGGAATAAGATGGAGAAGTGGAAAGTGCAGTGAGTATCTCGACTGAATTATGTGCTTTCTTTTGTTCTTTTGCATGCTTTATACAAAACCAAGAAGATGTGGCATGATTGCCAGTGAGACAACTATCCACCAGAGACCAAATGACGTAGAAGTAAGCGACTATGTGTCACCGTACGGCCTTCAACAATGAGCACAACCCATACCGAATTGTAAGCTATAAAAGGCTATTGACTGTTTTACATATCAATTCTCTTATATTAACAACGCTTTATTAAGAACACATCGTCCTTGTCAATAGATTGGTTGAAATCAAGGAATCACAATACTTTTCACCATGTCATTAATATCGTTTTTTATCTGCATGGTCAAGTTTTCAGCTGATTACAATCTGATTGCAATATTCAAATATGATTAAAATCTGATTGCATAGATGTGTTCCAAACATAAATTGAGCAAATAGATTTTTTGTGAACTTTCGGTATTCCTCAGTACTTTTTGCTATTTTAGACCTTCTTTTAATCAAATTATTAATTATGCTCTTTTTATATATTAGGTGTAGAAATACTTATCTTTTATCTGAAAGTCGTAAATCCATTCAAAAAATTCAAACAACACTTTATAAATTGCATGCGTTCGAAGCGCTTTTCTGGATTTACCTTTATCAGGAACGCTCAAATCCGTAAGCCAAGGATGTATAAAAACCGGAACAGTTTATGAGTTATATGACTGAAATTTTTTTTTTTTTAAATAGCCAAATCTATCTAAGGTCAACTAGATAATGTTAAGGATATATGCAGTATCATTTGGTAAATCAGCAATAACTGCAAAATCTTTAGCAAAAATTTTCATTTGTTCATTTTAAAAACAGCTTAAGTGCCAGTATCCCTAAGAATCAGGCAGTGGTGAAAACATGACAAACAAAAGCCAACTCAATTTTACATTAATTTAATATCAAAATGTATAATGATGCACGAATATAACATTTGTCCCCTTTTACTGTTCTGGTATTTCTAGTTATAATTTGTTGAAAAGCACAAGAAATTAAGGGGAACTAACTCCGTAATTTGCTATCAATCTAACTAAATGTTATCTGGAGATATCTCAAATTACCAGACACGCAGAAACGAAAGTCCTACAATTTCCAATTTAGGATGAGGGTGACTTCAAAATAAGATGGTTAGTTCGGCAGGGTTTTATTTTTACCATGTTTTGGTATTCTTTTAAATTGCCTCATTCTTTAATACAAAGACTGGCACTTAATTTTTTGTGATGATAAATCATTACACGGTAATAAGCTCAGAACATATAGACAGCTTAAAGAAAATTACAAATTGGAAACCTATTTATTGTTGAATATTGATAGAAAAGTAATAGGACATTTTGCCAAAATTCGCGTATGTAATAGTGTTCTTAAAATTGAACAAGGTCGACACACTAAAACTCCTGTAGAAGAAAGAATTTGTCCCTTGTGTCTTTTAGAAGTAGAAGATGAATTTCATTTCACTATAAAATGTACAAAACTAAATACAATTAGAGAACAATTATTTTCCAAAATTAGTGAAATAGTTCCCTCTTTTTTAAATATGACTAATGACAAAATGAATGAAGCAAGATTTAAATTTTTGTATACGTACGGTGAGACTGATATAATTAGAATTATTGCAAAATTCATAAGCGACATGTACAATTCTAGAAATGCTTTATTGAGTACTAAATAACTTTGTGGAACCACCCCCTCAGCAGAGATTATATACATTTATTATTGTAAGAATATTTTTTTTTAACAATGGAGGGGATATACAAATATATATATACAATGTTTATAAATGTGGTCAGATATATGTTTGTATGTTTATGTATATGTCTTGGTAACAATCCTATAATTTTGGATTTTAAACCAATAAAATATCTTATCTTATCTTATCTTAATCATTGTAAATGACAGTGTGATGATTATTTTTCTTTTATAAAAATAAAAACTTTCACTGCTGCCAACTAAGGATTTAACAGGTTAATTATGTTATATAATGAGTCTTTTCCCTAAATTCAATTTATACTGTCATAAAAAGAAGTTGATTTCGTCCATCTGAATGCAATAGATGTCTTGTATGAAACTTTCACGTTAAGTTCTTGCAGAAACGTGGAAATTAAAAGTACCTGTTTATTGTTGGGCAGTATGTTCTGTAATAGGCAGACTGCATGCAGCCTTGAAACTACTGTAGCATCTGTAATTGATTGATAGGTATCTGATATTGATATGATTTTAAGTCAGCAGGTCTTTTAGATATTTCAAGACACAGAACCTGCAAAATGTGTACAGATTGTGTCAGAACATCCGTTAGGTTTACCCTAATTTGGACATATTTGATAAGTTTCTAGCTAAATATTTGTTAAAAAAGAAACCTTTATAAGTGAATATATCTAATAGTTATATCATTTTAGACAAAAACAGATATTTGTGGATCTTTTACATCTAGTTTTAGGTACAATGGTATTCAAAGTCATCTTAACATCTTTCAAATTTCATATATGAAATATTTACATTCAGAAAAGAAGAAATGTGACCGGAAAACGGAGAGATGGGCTGTGAGAGCAACGGCCTGTCCAAATAACTGTGTACAACGGAATATAGCAAGGAAATGTTTCCGCCCAAAAATTGAAGATTGTGTCTGCAGAAATGGACATATACGTAGTGGCGATAAATGTGTAAAGCTTTTGAAAAAGAAAAAGAGATTTTCAAATTGCGGATGTGAAAAGAATGGAAGATATATTAAGGTAAAATTTGTCTTTAAGACGAAAAAGAGTAATTGTTAAGAGAATATATTGGGCCCATATTCTACAAAATAATAAGCATCAGGTTATTGTTATGATTTCATCAGAATGTAGTTGTTTTCACTTAGGTTTACAAAATCATATTTTGTTCATTTTTTACAACTTATTTGATTACTTAATCGGTGTTTCATTGACCTAAGATAATAGACTTTGGTGACCGAAAAGGAAGAAGGTACCAAGGGAGCAATTATTACATAAATAATACCACTTGTATTGCATCAAATGCGCATTTCTACTACATGTTAATGTCAATTCAGTGATACTGGAGATCAAAATTTTTGAAAGTCCAAAACATAGTTCAAACATTGGAGAACTTTTTAATCCAAAAAGGACCAAAAGTAAAGTCAAATTTAAACACGGAATCAGAGCTCTGCACGAGAGAGATACATTCCTAAACTTGAAATGATTTTTTGAATTTTATAACAGCAAATTATTTTTTTTTATTCAGAGTGGTGAACTGTTGAGATCAAAAGATTGTAGGACAGAATTCACCTGTAAACCTGGCAACAAGAGAGGTTCACTTAAAAAAACCAAAAGTAATGTAAAGTGTCACAGAGAAGGGTATTGTGGTATATATGCAGGAGAAAGATCATGTGTCTGTCTGCCTAGTTTCCTAGGAAATGGAATAGACTCTTGCACTCGTAAGTATAGTGACGTATTAACTCTTTTCTAGGATATATATGATGTCGATTTTCAGTTTGAAAGATGAATTGTTCCAATAAATGAAAATAATACATGTGGTTTAAGGATATTAAGAATACGAGGAAGAACGACTTCCCATTTCACAAGGTATTCACCATGAATTTGTTAATGATTAAAGTGTCTTAACTCACTGGTGACATGTAAACTCTGTCATAGATCGCAAGCATATATCCATTAATGTGCATGTAATTTTATTTTGGTTTGACTATATTCATGGCTTGCTCACCTACTTCTGGATTTGACTTGTAAACTCTGTCATAGATCCCAAGAATATATTTGTCAATACATGTATACCTGTATTTTATTACTGGTTTGACTATGTTCCTGCCTTTGTTACTTACTTCTAGATGTGACTTGTTAACTCATAGATACCATGCATATATTCATTAACGTACCTGTGTTTTGTCACTGGATTGACTTTGTCCCTGGCTTTATCCCTTCCTCCTAGATGTGTAAACTCTGTCATAGATTCCAAGCATATCCATTAATGTATCTATGATTTTATTACTGTAAGACTAAGTTCCTTTTTTTGCCACTTTTTCTCAGTGTGTGATTTGTACACTGTGTCACTGATCCCAAGTATATATCCGTTAATGTATATGTAATGTTTTTACTGGTTTGACTATGTTTCTGGCTTAATTTTTCACATACTTCTGGATGAAATTTGTAAACACTGTCATTGATCGCAAGAAAATATCCTTTATGTATCTATGTTGTATCACTGGTTTGACTATGTTCCTGGCTTGTGGTCCTTTAATCAATAATATTGAAACACAAAAAATGTATACTCTTTCCTCGTGGAAGCAGGAACATATATTATTCTACTGCATATACATATTGATAGTTTATCAATATTTGATTGGTTGAGACTATCCCATGTATCCCACAAATCTTCATATTCCCCTCTGAAATGTTGGGACTACATCGTGCGACGTTACGCGCGGTTAATGAACATAACGTTTTGACCGTGTTTTTTTTTTAAATAGCGATATCATAGCGATGTCCTAAGTCAGGAATCTGATGTTCAGTAGTTGTCGTTTGTTGATGTGGTTCATAAGTGTTTCTCGTTTCTTGTTTTTTATATAGATTAGACCGTTGGTTTTCCCGTTTGAATGGTTTTACACTAGTAACTTTTGGGGCCCTTTATAGCATGCTGTTCGGTGTGAGCCAAGGCTCCGTGTTGAAGACCGTACTTTGACCTATAATGGTTTACTTTTATAAATTTTGACTTGGATGGAGAGTTGTTTCATTGGCACTCATACCACATCTTCTTATATCTATATATAGTAAAAATTATTATCGTGTTCTAAATTTATTTCAGACGTTAAAACAAAAAGACTAATAATTAATTTTTGATCCGTACTGTTTATCAATGTTTATGTCGTGTTTAGTTATAAAAACAAGCGGATAAGAAAAAAATGTATGTAAACTAAGATTTTATGTCCAGGTAGTAAACAAAGCATAGACAATGGAATAAAACATTCATTTCCCTTGGCTTCGGGAGATATGAAGATTTGCTCACCCTGAATATATGAATATTCTTGGGTGAACAAATCTTCATATCTCCGTCAGGCACGGGAAATAAATGTATAGTATTTCCATCTTCTAATATTCTGATTAATTCAATTTTGCTTGCAATTTTAATTTCATTTATTTTTCATGGATTCCAACATGACCACTACTTGTCAGATAACAATTTACATTGCAGCTGAATGGACATTTAAGTAAAGGTGTTTTCTCTATTTCAGACAAACGATGTATTTAACAAATCTATTAAATATTTAAAATATAACACGTGCACCTTCTACTTACAGTTGAATATTCACAATATATAACTGATGTTTCATTTTTTCTTTTCTACTTTCACTTTTACATGTTTCTTTTTTTATATATTTGTAGCTGCACGTAACTGTGACTTCAAGGAGGACACGGAAAATTGTGTTAATACAATCAGAATGAAAGGGGAATGTTTCTACAGATCTATACACAACAACCAGTGTAAATATCATGTTATGATGGGTAAAAACAACTTTAATGAAGACATCACTATTGCGTCCTTCAAAACTGAAAGAGGATTATTGAAGAAGCAGTTGAAAAAAGGGGATAAGTTCAATAACTGTGCAAAAGTGTCATTGAATAAAAATGGATATGTCACTATTGTGGAGAAGATATGCGAGTGCCCTAAAGATCATCCATTGAATAGTTAGAAACTTAGTTAATTGTATTTTCTTTGATTAAAATTGCAGATTATAAAATAAATTTTGTTATTAATGTCTAAGGCACCAAATTTAACCATGTTGGTAAGGCTTGCAAAACAGACTTGCTATCCTTAGTCAGTCATAAAAAAATTATAGTTGGGACTTTGAACTCATAATGTCTCATGGTAATTTTCATTCAATAACTTATGATAACATGAATACTTTGCCTTATCTGCTGTTTTTAATTTTCTTTTCCTTGATGTTGGTGCTCTGTTATCTCATTTTTGTGCAGTGGATATTCTCAGTGGTTAAATATTGGCTCGTTGCTTTTGCTGATGTGTCAGATTTCAAAGAAGTAATATTTGATTACTATAGCCATTTTTATCACGGATACATTTATCAGAAATCAGTCAACACGCAATAACATCTCAAATACAGGGATTTATTGTACACAATTATATCAGTGTATTATTCTTAAAGCAAATAATTATTTCCCTTCTATATTTTTCGTTCAATAGACTTATCGATATAGGTTTTATATAAAAAATAAGGAGATGTGGTATGATTGCCAATGAAACAACTATCCACCAAACTTCAAATGAAGTGGATGTAAGCAATTATAGGCAACCGTATGGCCTTCAACAATGAGAAAAACCCTACTGTAAAGTCGTCTATAAAAGGCCCCATCATGAAAAATAGTAAACAATTCAATTGAGAAAACTAACAGCTTAATTTATAACAAAACAATTTACGAAAAACAAATATGACAGACATGAACCAAGACAACCACTGAATTACAGGCTCCTGACTTAGCACAGCACATAAATAATGTGGCAGGGTTAAAACTTGTTTGTGAGCGCTCGACCCTCACCCCTAACCTGGGACAGTGATGTTACAGCACAACATAAGGAAAACTATAAAAATCAGTTGAAAAGGGCTTAACTCATCAGATCGAAACAAAGCAGAAAAACATTTAACAAAAACACAGACCGGACGTGGCAGGATATTTATACATCCCTTACAACAGAAAAGACACAAAGTACAGATCTGAGAGTAATCACAGTTACTGACAGCTAGTTCGAAGCCAATAACAACTAATAAGAAAAAATAAGTATCTAAGACTAAAATATCAATCAGTACACATCCAACATCCAATGGATTTATTGTAAAAACGTCATTAATAGTCAGAGAAAAACATGACCTTGTGCAATGCATATAGTATATCGATATAATGTGCCTCCTTTTTAGGGATACTTTTTTTATGTCAATTTTCTTGATTACAGTTTAAAACACAACTAATACCTTTTTTATTATTTTCTTTCCTGTATTGACAAATGCATCTACCCAGATGTAGAACGATTGCGAGTGTATGATTTCTACATCGGCAGATTAATAACTCTTTGAGCTGCTGACATTCTGTGATGTCAATTTAAGATAGTACTGCTTTACTTACACCGTTGTTTTTGTTGTCTGTTATACAGGTTTTACAAAGTCAACATGACATGTATGTTTATCTTTGAACCATTAGATTATGATATATCACTAATTAAGATGGGAAGTGTCGAGTACTAAAAACCGATTTTAAGCCCGTCACACGTTAATGTGTCTTTCCACAGTTGGTCATCTTTAGATATATCTCAGTCATCAAATATTACCATTAAGATCGTTTGAAGGTATTTTCTCCAAAAGTATGTAACACATGACGTGGTTGTAAGACAACATGTGAAACAATTCAAACTAGAAAACCAACTGCCTGATTTACGATAAAACAATAAAGGAAAAACAATCAACGACAATCACTGAACCAATGATTCCTGACTTAGGACAGGCACATAAAAAAATTGGCGGGGTTAAACATTTTTCGGTGCGCTCAATCGTCCCCCTAACCTGGGAAAGTCGTGTAAAAGCATTACATAAGAACCAACTGCAAAAAACCTGTTGGAAACGGCTCGATACGTTCGATCGGCAAGAAGCATAAAAAATAAGTAACGTAGAGACAAAAGCCACAAAGTGCCGATCTAAGCGTATTTGCAGTTAATGAAATCAGTTAAAAGATTCATAAAAAATTTTGAGCATGGAACAGCGTACCCAAATTATGTCACTGGTTTGGACGGCAACTAAGAAACAATAAAGCAGTTTACCTGAAATCATGTGCCATTTGCAATCAGAAAATGAAATAATTGTTTGACACAGATAAACTGTTAAATACATACAATGCATGATAGAAGGAGGAGTAGTGAAAAGCGCCATTATTTTGGGCCCTTTGATTAAAAAATTATCAAACTTTTTATAACTATGTTAATTTTAAGAATAAAAGGTAGAGTCAAATGCATGACGCAATCCCTATTCTCACAAAACATTAAATTTTTAGTCTTACTTCTATCACTTCTTTTTATGTGGGATGTTCGTGTAGTGTAGAAAAAAAGAAGTAAATGATACCATGTGGCAATGCTCACTCAGTCTTTAGTTTTCTTTGCTGTGTTTTGTATACTTTGTTTGTGTATTTCGATCGTTTATCGTTTTTTGCTATGGCATTATCAGATTGTTTTCGACTTATGAGTTTTAATATCGCTTCGGTATCTTTCGTCTCTCTTTTAAAATATAAGTAGAAAAATAAACTGTTAACACAGAGATATGTCTCACCTTTATGTAATTTGATAATGCAAATCTTAAAATGAAAATAGCAATACTTTAACATGTAAGTTATGCAAATATTCAAAGTCAATGAACCATGACTGAAGGTACAGGGCTAAAGAATCTCCATGGAAATGAAATGTGCCAATGCTAATACAACTGCATACCAAATACCATTGACTTTTCATAAGTCGTTCCCTTTAAACAAACCTAAACACAAACATTAACTTGTAAACTATGTAAAAGTTTCAAAGTCAATGAACCATAATTAGGGGGTGGGGTTATATAATCTCCATGGAAATGAAACTTGCAAATGCCAATACATTTGCATACCGAATATCATTGACTTAACATAAATGGTTCATCTTTAACTGACCTAATCACAAACTAATACATGTAAACTAAGCAAAAGTTTGAAAGTCAATAGACCATGACTGAGGGATAAGGACCAAATATTCTCCATGGAAATGAGATGTGCTAATGCTTATACAACTGCATACCAATTATCATTGACCTACCACTAACAGTTCCCCTTAAACTGACCTAATCACAAACTAATACATGAAAACTAAGCAAAAGTTTTTAAAGTCAATAGACCATGAATGAGGGGGCGGGGCCAAATAATCTCCATGGAAATGAGATATGCCAATGCTTATACAACTGTATATCAAATATCATTGACCTACCACTAGTGGTTTCCCATAAACTGACCTAATCACAAACTAATACATGAAAACTAAGCAAAGTTTCAAAGTCAATAGACCTTGACTGAGGGGGCGGGGCCAAATAATCTCCATGGTAATGAGATGTGCCAATGCTAATACAACTGCATACCAAATATCATTGACCTACCACTAGTGGTTCCTCATAAACTGACCTAATCACAAACTAATACATGTAAACTAAGCAAAGTTTCAAAGTCAATAGACCTTGACTGAGGGGGCGGGGCCAAATAATCTCCATGGTAATGAGATGTGCCAATGCTTATACAACTGCATACTAAATATCATTGACCTACCACTAGTGGTTCACCATGAACTAGACCTAATCACAAACTAATACATTGTTGACGCCGCCGCCTCCGCCGCCGCCGCCGGAAACAGCATACTTATGACTCGCTTTTTGACTCCGTCAAGGCGAGACAAAAAACACAACGGCAAGTTTCAGCAACTCTCATAAGAAATTCTGGGCATGAATCACGGTACCTAACTTTTTATAACTATGTTAATTTTAAGAATAATAAATGGCTATGATGACATTTTTTATTAATTTAGCACAGAAATGTCAGTATTGTTGACATTCTATCACACCATAAGACAGCAAAGCCAAAAGGAACTACATCAAGAGAAAATTTTAATACGTTATTACTGATATCTGGCAGATTTATGTCTTGTGAACATCTGAAGGATAGTCTTAACATATTTTATTCTGCCAACGCAACAAAATGTCAGGTCCATAGTGTTTTACCCCTTTTAATCAGTCAGTCTATAATTCCGTCTGTTCAACATAGTGTACATTGTTTGTCCTGTTAACTCTTCCTACAGTTTTCAAACTAGAACTTTTATATTATGCAGGGTGTAATATCTTATATTAAAATTAAGGGTGTGCATATATCAGGATTTCAATTTTCTTATTTTTACGATAGCACCAAATCTATTTCAAGGTGTACTTCAACATCAATGCTTACTAAATCGAGCAGTTGCAGCAATATACGTATGCATACATATTTCCAAGTTCAAAGGGCTTATCTATAGACTTTTCATACTTTTATTATCTATGATATGTGCAATCTTTGAGCCTTTAAAATTCTTTAAAACCATTTTTGAAACCCTCTGAAACAAGAATTCGAAGCGAGTTCCCCATATATGACCTAACGTTGTAACTGAATCAATAATATGTAAAAAAATATCGAAACTTCAATAGTATCTACAATTAATTACTCAATTCCATACCAAATCCAGCATTTCATCCGAAAGGAAGCTAAAAGCATGATTGAAATAAAAAACAAAAGTTCAAAATTTTGTCAACCAAACCATTTGTGTGACCTGTAGCTACTTCTTATATAATCCCGACTAACAATGAAGAAGAAAACTGTAATTCTTATAAATTTTAAATTCAAGTTGCAGAAACTAAGTCATTATAAGTCTACTAGAACAGGCTTTATCAGTTGTTTGTAATCATACAACTATATACAATCTGTCTGCTCCATGTTTGCAACGACCACTATTTACAAACAAACTGCCATTTTCATAAATTTTCTTTCTTTACTTAAAAGTAGGTCGATTGGATGAAAACGCATATGGAATAATAAGAATATCACAACTACATACTAACAAGAGGCTCCAAGAGCTGGTATACCAGTATTGTGATCGCCAAGTTCAGGTCACTAGTTCTTTTATGCAGTCGTCGAAGGTTGTGGTCTGACTATCTGAAATGTTGGGTTACTGGTATATATGGCTTCTTTGTTATATCACTCATATGCCCACTGAGAATTTGTGAAATGACTGTTTTGACTCACCAAGCGAACATTCTAGAATGAAAATAAGATTTAACTTTTGCAGGTCACATTGCACAATATTTGTAGCTCTTTTGATTAGTCTTACTGATGGAAGAGTATTTGTGAAGTTTTTCACAACACAGGTTGTATCTCTAGAAGCAATACTGCGTTAAGACACTTCAGCTGACACCAGCAGATTCCTTAGACTAATTGGTTGCATGAAAGCTCTCTCAAGGGGTCAGGAAAGTTCTTGGATAGTTTGGGTTATAATCCACATAATTAACTAATTACATAACATCACATATGCATATAGAATAGTCAGCAGGTTGGCAGCTTTTGAGGGACAGGTATTGGTGGGTGTCAGTAGGCTTAAAAAAAAGTCTGGATATCATATCTGTTAGAGAGCTGGAAGTATCAAGGAAGTTAAATTTGATACTGGAATGAATGTTATTGGCATGAGTGATATTTACTTGTCATTTAGTATTTAAGATTCTGTGAAAATTTCTTTTAAAATAAACTGTTAACACAGAGATATGTCTCGCCTTTATGTAATTTTGATAATGCAAATCTTAAAATGAAAATAGCAATACTTTAACATGTAAGTTATGCAAATATTCAAAGTCAATGAACCATGACTGAAGGAACATGGCTAAACAATCTCCATGGAAATGAAATGTGCCAATGCTAATACAACTGCATACCAAATACCATTGACTTATCATAAGTCATTCCCTTTAAACAAACCTAAACATAAGCATTAACTTGTAAACTATGTTAAAGTTTCAAAGTCAATGAACCATGATGAAGGGGTGGGGCTATATAATCTCAATGGAAACGAGACTTGCAAATGCCAATAAATTTGCATACCAAATATCATTGACTTAACATTAGCAGTTCATCTTAAACTGATCTAATCACAAACTAATATATGTAAACTAAGTAAAAGTTTCAAAGTCAATAGACCATGACCGAGGGGGCTGGGCCAAATATTCTCCATGGAAATGAGATGTACTAATGCTTATACAACTGCATACCAATTAACATTGGCCTATCACTAATGGTTCCCCTTGAACTGACCAAATCACAAACTAATACATGTAAACTAAGCAAAAGTTTCAAAGTCAATAGACCATGACTGAGGGGGCCGAGCCAAATAATATCCATGGAAATGAGATATACCACGAGTAGTACCCCATAAACTGACCTAATCACAAACTAATACATGAAAACTAAGCAAAAGTTTCAAAGTCAATAGACCATGACCGAGGGGGCTGGGCCAAATATTCTCCATGGAAATGAGATGTACTAATGCTTATACAACTGCATACCAATTAACATTGGCCTATCACTAATGGTTCCCCTTGAACTGACCTAATCACAAAATAATACATGTAAACTAAGCAAAAGTTTCAAAGTCAATAGACCATGACTGAGGGGCCGAACCAAATAATCTCCATGGAAATGAGATATGCCAATGCTTATACAACTGTGTAACAAATATCATTGACCTACCACTAGTAGATCCCCATAAACTGACCTAATCACAAACTAATACATGAAAACTAAGCAAAAGTTTCAGTCAATAGACCATGACTGAGGGGGCAGGGCCAAATAATCTCCATGGAAATGAGATATGCCAATGCTTATACAACTGCATACCAAATATCATTAACTTACCACTAGTGGTTCCCTATAAACTGACCTAATCACAAACTAATACATGTAAACTAAGCAAAGTTTCAAAGTCAATAGACCATAACTGAGGGGGCGGGGGCAAATAATCTCCATGGTAATGAGATGTGCCAATGCTAATACAACTGCATACCAAATATCATTGACCTACCACTAGTGGTTCACCATAAACTAGACCTAATCACAAACTAATACATTGTTGCTGCTGCCGCCAGAAACAGCATACCTATGTCTCGCTTTTTGACTCCGTCAAGGCGAGACAACAAGTCCCTGGTAAAGGAGTTAATACACAGTGTGAACACACAATGAATGGAGACATCAATCAGTAAGCTGAGGAATTAACCAAATTTTGATTTTGTTTTGACATGAAATAAAAAATGCAATTTGACCTTGTCTTCGTTATCTCAAAGTCAGTCTGACAAGAGAAATATTTTGAGATATCCATAGTTCGACTCAAACGAATCCCAGAATGCTGGCAGACAAAGAGACACAACTCTTGCTTAGCTTGGTAAGGCTAAAATAAATCCATATATATGGGTTGTGATCGATATTTTGGTCTGAGATAGATGTATCTGTATGGTATTCTCTTATAATTATAATAAAATTATGTTGTTTTTGCCTCTTTTTTATTTCTTTGTACAGTAACAAAGAATAATTTTGACATTGATTTAAAGGCAAGTTGAAAGAAACCAACACAAATCTTATATAACACAAGTAAATAATTTATCAGATTTTAGAAAATTCAGATTTCTTTTCTTTTTCTTTTATTTTGATCTTTTACCGCAAGAGAATTCAAAAGATTAAAGACGCCAATTGAGTTTTGGATTGCTCACTTAATTCTCACTTTATGCACAACCAAGCTCATTAATGTATGATTACGGTTGATGATTATAAAACTTTTAAAATAATTTTTCATAATCTTTAACAATGTATCGCTAATTATTTATTATGGTGATCAAAGAAAATCTTAGGTAAACACTCTCAGGAATAGAATGTCAAAAATCAAACATGTCAATATCTGGAAATTTAATTACAGGTGTGCTATCAGATAAACTGGTCAATTCATTTAAATCCTGAGGTCATGTTTTGACATATGTGTATTACTTTGACACAATGAATGCAAATTATATGCTTTTGTTAAACTTGGGATCGTAACTTTGGTTCGACACAACCGAAATTTCGACTCCTCCAATTCTGACTCATCAGGAGTCAAAATACATATATTTGTATGGAACAAAGTTCAGGACCCCGGAAAAATTACGACTCAACCGAGTTCGAGACAAAGAGAGTTAACTGTATTTACACTAAATGTTTATCTAAAGATTAAATAAAATTGTAAATCCTACTAAATAACAGCCCCTTTCAAAGATGGGTAATTATTTTATAAATCTAAGAAAGCAGTACAAATATACTATCTTAATGTGACCGTAACTTTCAAGATTTATCTATCATCATTTTATGACACAGCCATGGGAAACAACTATGTGACTATTAAACATTATTTCAGTGCATAGATAAGCTATTTCTTTTACCTTCCTTAGTTCTGCATTCAAAGTTTTTACAATATATGGAATTTGAACTATCAAAAATTTTAAACCTTTATTTCAATAAATATGCAGTAACAATATACAAATAAAACATTTGAATCAATTTTTGAAATCATACAGAATTGTTTTAAAAAGATGTATAAAAATAGATATAGTTTCTTTTACAAAAACTTGCTTAACAGTTTACCCTTGTTAGACATCTTGCTTACATGAATCACAAAATATTCCCCCTTGGATTATAAAACACTATATGAAGGTATAAATTGGAATTCTGTTTTGCTTTTCACAAAGGATACTTTTAAATAACAAAATGCTTAGAAGCATGTCAAACTCTAAATGTATCCATTGAATAGTATATTTTTTTAGTTTGAATTATCTGCCTTTGGAACTCCTTCCATTTTTCTACTATGGTACTTTCTTTATTTCATTGATAAAAATATCTACCTGAAAATTGAGAAGTCCATAGGTTTTGATAAGAACATTTAATTCTCTAGTTTTCACAATATGTTGAAACTATCTGGTAAGAAGAAAGAGGGGGAGTTTATTGATACTATTTGAAGAAGATTTCATTGCAGTCTGTTTAAAATTGCACTTTTTTTATGAAAACTTGCATTGTCTCAATGTAAAACCAATGAAAGTTTAATAGCCATAAATAAATCAATCTAAATTTAAAATGTTTAACAACATATATGATTAATAAAAATTATAACAAACATAACAAACACCTGCATATATTGTCACATTATGGACTAATGAGATCATTTGACATACAAAGACCAGAAGTCAAACCTCTACATTCCAAAGAATCAAATATGATTGTCTATCTAAACTATATCAAAAATCTAAGTAACTGTATTGCTCACATTTATGTGCAATTTCTTGGAGGTCATTGACTTATTACAGGTTTACAAAAAATCATTAAAGTTTGGTAAAATTATCTTATTCTAAGTAATACAGGTGCCCTGTTTGACAATGAATTGTCTTAGCAAGATACCAAAACTATATTGTTTTCTTAAAGTTTGAAATGATTAGTTGTATATGATGTAACTGTATGATTGTCAAATTTATGATTTCATTAATGGGGGCTGGCTATGTTGAATGAAAATTGTGATCTTCCAAGACAAATTAAAAGGATATTTATTTGGTTGTTAGGGTCAAATAATATTTCTTAAAGAAAGGATTTTAAAGGTTCTCCGAACAAAGTTTGTTAAAATCTCTAATCCCTTATAAAGCATTTGTGACTAAATTTGAATAAAAACTCTAAGATTTTAAAGAAAATAGTGCTATGCCATTTAAAAGAGCACCTTAATATGTAGGGGCATATGTACAATCAATTGCATGTCATTAGTATCCACTGGCACAAAATCTAATCATATCCTACAAAATTTTATTCCTGGTATCTACGAGTTTATACCATTTGGAACTCTTTTAGATACCAAAGCCTCAAAAACTGGCATAGCTTAAATGACCAAGCTAGCTAGAGATTCCTTTTTCTTATTACATAAAATGATAAATTCTTTTGATCAGATGCCTATTAATATCAAAGGTTTCATAAAAAATATTTATCATACAGTAAAAATTTTCAATTTTATAGTGTAAATTTGCAAATTTTTGTACAAATATACACGTACTAGAATTACAAAATTATACAATAAAGATACAAAAATGAATATTGACATGAAAATGCACTTTAATATATTCATGATAAATAACAGAATAAGAAGCTTAAAAGAGTTTTTTAATGAATTTTTCTACTGAACAGTTTAATTGTTTTATTGTTAACCTACCAACTCTTTTGATTTGAGCCCCATTGATGAGTCTTATCTAGATGAAACATGTGTCTGGCATATCAAATTATAAAGTCTGGTATCTTTGATTGATTGATTGATTGGTGTTTTAATACAACTTTCAGTACTATTGGCTATTTCATGGCCACTGACAATAAGCTGCTACGATATTGTATTAAGTTGACTTTTTTTTTAATTTGTATCAAAATAAAAATTCGTAAACATAAAACTCAGCAGACAGCTAAAAAATGCAAAGTAACTCTTTACATTTCATATTTTCTTGCAAAACCGAATTAATTCAAGTCTTAAATCTAAAAATTTTTTTAAGCTTTTCAGTTGGTAAACTAAGTCTGGCTAATCCAACATTATACAGAGCTTTCCCATACCCAGCATAACCTTTAATTAGATAAGAAGTAAATCAATGGCTTTCAACTGTTCATAAGATCTGAAACTACTCATAACACAAATACACACACAAAAAAATGCTTAATATCTGCTATAAAAACTATATACAAAGCACACAAAAATTTACTGTTCAGATTCAAGGGCTACAATTACATTAACAAGTAGAGGAACAAATCTAATCTGGAAAATGAGTGCCACATGTGCCTGTTTTACTCCTATGTTCTATTTATGGTAATGAAAGCCATGGTTGTTAATTGGTTTATGATTTTCAAACATGGTATCCCAAGAATGATTGCAGTCAAGTTTGATTCTAAATGGTTTAAGAGATGAAGGTTTTATAAAGGTGAACAATACTAAACAACAGATGCAAAGTGCTGTATAATCTCCTACCAGTCTTCAGAGAAGAAAAACATAATTAGCTAACATAATATGCCAAATGAACACATTGACTCACTAGAAGCAAGTGCCATTTCAAAATAATTATCTACCAAATGTTTCAATTCTTAACCACCAATAACTCATAAACTCATAAAAACAAATAATAAATGTTTAAAAACATCGAAGACAAATGCATAATAAAAGCAAACAATTAGTCTGGACACATTCATGATTTTATAGTTCAATCAGCAATTATATGGATTATTGTTTGTTCACTAACATTAAAGAGAAATATAAAACAGAACTTCATACAGCTACATTTGAAATCATTAAGATCATAACTTTTAACAGGTATGTTAATATCAATGATGGTGAGGGAATGGTCATTACAAAGATCAATATAATCAAATTTAAAAAAATCTTTCTTTAAGTCTAATCAATCTATTTTACAAATTGTTTTGTAGTGATGAGTCAAAGAGCGTTTGAACTGTCCTATCATAACTGTTCACAACCTTACAACGTCTTTTTTTGTGTACAAAATGTTTTTTTTTCAAATTCAGTCTTTGCAGAAAAGTAAACAAGTTTCAAACAAACATTTTTAGTAAGTATTTGTAACTTAATATAAATTGTAATGTTATTATATCATGACATTAAAAAAATCTAAATGTGGAATACCAAGAGTTATATTTTAAAGATTCTCCACACATCCTGTTTTGCTGACAATAAATTAGTAAAAATTTAAAGCTTACAAAATATAGATAAAAACATTGAGTTTTTTGTTTGTTTTGGTTTTTATCAGTCAGTAAGCAAAAATGCAACAAAAAAAATTGTTATATCATATTCAAATGTATCCCCTTTTCTGTTCAGAACTTCAGATTTCCTGTGCACTATCCTCTGTCATGGCCACTTGTTGGATGGGCATAAATATATCTAAAACAATATCTATATGGTCCCATGTCTCCTTCATACAGAATGTAAATCACATGAAAATATTTTATCCTATTTGAGTCACATTTCACCACACAATACATTCTTTTTCAGGCATCATATGCCAAGACTGATCCTAGCCATCTTTCAACATCAGTCACTTTCATTTCTTTCCTGCTTGCATAATCTATAATCTGAAAGAAGAAATAAAAATGCATTGTTTAGTTTTAGTATATTCTTTTAAAAATATTACCAAGAGTGCTTCAGATTCTGAAATGGGAAATCGTCACAATCACTTATCACATTTCCATTTTGAAGCTTCAGAGAATTAAGGGCACATAAAAACAGACTCTAATTTTAGAATAATGGACAATAAAATTTTTCAAATTATGTTAAATTATTGTTAAATAATGGTATGATTAGTCTGTTTGTTAAAGTGATCACACTTCAGTTTATTGGAAATTTTTGTGCGAGTATGAGTATAATTTTCGTTTTTTCGTGGTAGATATTTTACTGCAAAATATACCCTACACGAACATTTCTCTTGTAATTAAATGCATTGTTAAAGACAATGACAGGCAAATAATTAACACAGCGAAGATTTAACTGTCCCATCTAAGGCCAAAATCACAATAAAAACCTGACACGAAAATAACCTGATACAGTGTATATGATATATCATAATATTCTGTTACTAGCAACAAACAATTACTAACAGGCAATTAGAAAACAGTAGAGTTTCTGCATCCTTGTTGCAGGGCTTTTATTATGATTGCTTCATTAGAGTCTAGTGTTGGTGGCAGATCTTTGATAATCTTGATTTAATTTACTTAAATTTTAAGACTCTGAATTATTTTATAGAGCTTGACAAATTGTACAGACGCTTTTGTTGCTAAGATGAAGTTTCATTGAGGTATAATCAACATTTCCCTATATTCAGACTTGTATTTAATAGTTATTCTGTTATTATTGTGCACTGTCATAGGACTTTATGAAACAAAGACATTACATGTATATTTACAGTTAAATCACATGCAAAATCCAAACATTAATCCAGTATAAAAATGTCCCTATTGTACAAGTAAAGATCATGTCATAAAACAGAGGAAGACGAAATTAACAGATAAGTTCAATACCTGATCTTTAGCCAACTTTCCAGTGGCAAAATAAGATGATTTTCCATGACTAAAATATAATCCTGATACAGAAGCTGCTGGGTCCATGGCTAGAGATTCTGTTAACTGTATTCCTACATCTGAGGCTTGTAGTAACTGCCACATAGTCTCTTTCTCTGTATGGTCGGGCTGACTAGGGTATCCTGGTGCAGGGCGAATTCCCTAGTAATACAATTCATGGTTACTATTATTATAAATTAGATCCATGTCTCAAAAAAATAATAAGATGGTGCCTGCTTTACACAAAAAACATAATTTCTCTTGCAACTGAATGAATTTTTCTGAATTACTACAAGAATAGATTATCAATTTCGAATATTGCAATTCAATTTATTTCTCTAAGACATAAGTGACTTTTAAAATTATCCCACCTTGTATCTGACTTTGAGTAAGTCTTGTGTTTCCATTACTTCCTCCTTTGAATAACTCCATAATTCTTTTCTCACTTTTTCATGTAACTCTTCAGCAAATGCCTGTAAATATCAAAAAAGCATGCTATTATCATTTTCAAAAAATCTGATAAAATAGATGGTTAACATAGTTTTTTTATATTCTATGTATCATTAATGTTCTCGATGAAAATTTTCACAATATTACCATTAGGAATGGATGAAGTGTTAAAAATAAATGTAAATACAAAATCATTCAGAATTTCACACTGTTGAATGTAGCTGTGAAAATTGTGACTGAACTATTTGTTGGACGAATGGACAGACAAGGTGAATGTAATATAGCCCCCACTCCAAGAGCAGGAGTATAAAGGAGTGGGTGTATCATAATCTACTGGGAGATGTGGACTGAATATATCCTATGTGTTGCAAACTGAATAATATAACATTCCCCTTTTGCCAGCAGAGTTAATTAAATATGGTCATCAACTACAGTGGAAAAATCAGCACAACAATACATCAGATCACATAAAAACAACCAGATGTACTGCAAGCTATTGCTCACTAATTATACTTCAGTCCATGTTGTTGACAATTTAAAGATACAAGTTTTTTGGCAAACATCATCAGAGGAAATAAAAAACATGTCATACTATACGGCATAACTAGGTGAATCTTCGTGCCATTTATCAAGAAGCTATGACTTGTGGTTGCTGAGAAAAATGTGATGAATATTTCATATATAAGTGCATGACATTTTCAAGACATAAGTAATAAGTAATTGCCAAACAGGAAGTTATACATGAGGGAACTGAAAACACCTCACACAGTATGGCATAACTAATTGAAGCTTGGATCAAAATATAAAGAAGCTAAGACTTGTATTTAATGAGAAAAATGACACAGAAATATGTTATGGACAGACAGATGTAAGTAACCCTGTAGAACCCTTCCTAAAGGCAGGGATATAAAATAACATTAAATTAGAAGAATGAAAAATGGATCAAAACTATAATGGTTAACCTACCTCAGCTAGTCTGTCAGCTAATGCCTTTGTCATTATGATTCCATAATCGTCATACTGTTTTTCATATCTATAAAGATAGAAACTATCTGACATATAGCATAGAAAAATAATACGTACCCATCACAAAGGAGTACAAATTTTCTTGTAAATCTGATGCCTAAACTGCATATTACAAAACTTCTATTTTAAAAGATGCTGTAAATTGGGATATTTTTTACTTGTGGTCATATTTAGGACTTTAGTCCCTGTGATGAATTTTCCAAACTACACCTCACAGCAATATAGCCTTTTTGGGCTGATGCTGCATAAAGCAAACATCAATCAATTAATCCAAAATACCCAAAAATAAATAAAACAATCACAAAATGAACTTCCTTTTCTGCATGATTTGTTATTTCCCTGATTACGATTTATTAAAAAAGGAGGGTTAAGTATGAAAAAAAATTTTTCAACCCAACCACATGTTGCTGTGTGTCCCTTTTAACCCAACCACATGTTGCTGTGTGTCCCTTAAGAATCTCCTCATTGTTTATATTCTTGTGCTTATTAATAATTCAGGAAAAAGGTATTGAAGGAAGATCTTTAGCTCTTCATATACAAATTGTCTAGACTTAAGACAATTTAGAGCTTGACAAATGGGATAGATTCTCTTTTATTATTGAAGACTATATATTGATCTCTAGATTTTTTTTATAATTTCATTTGGTATTTTCTGTTGCTGTCTCATTGACATATACAGAACATCTTCTTTTTTTTCTGTCAACAATAAAGAATTGGATGCTTCTTTTTATAATTTTTATAGGGGTGTAAAAGCATTGACCTAAGACTTTTTTGTATGAAGCATGGAAGCGCTTCATTTTAAAAATGTGTGCACATTCAATGCGTTTACAACCCCCTATAAAATTATAAAAGAAGCATTCAATTCTTATAATTACATTTTTTTTCTACAACCATGAAATTAAGACTTGTATCAAGAATTTTGTTTTGTCTATGTATTGTTTTAACATTGTCATGGATAGCACATGAAATCATCTTACTGTTGTATTTTTTTTATACAGAAATAAAATTTGATATAAGAGTATCTCACGGTTATTGTCAGCCAATCAAAATTACTGATTCTTATGAAACATACGTGTAATGTAATTATCTAGAAAATAAAAAATATAACCATTACTTTTATAAAAACTGCCAAAATATCTAAATTAATGGAATTACATAAAAATTCTTACTGTAGCAACACTTTAAACATTTTATACGTATTGTTCTTATTATGACATATCTAAAATTTCTAAATGTTTTTAGTAAATCAAAACATTTAGACATTCTTTGACAAGACAAGTCAAATTATTTCAAAGGTATATGTATATCGTTAGGAATAACTCATTAAAGAATTCCACACTAAATAAACTTCTAAACTCACTCTTTACATATTTCCTGGACTCCATGACCTGTTGTGACAGCAAACAAACCAATGTAATCTACTAATCCGGTCTCTTTTGGAGCAATGAAATCAGACAGACACAAATAGGCACTCTTATCATTTACATCCTTCTCTGCCTGCAAATGTAATATCACATCATAATAAGGGTATAGGAAAATTCAGGAAATTGGTAGATCCTGTATTTTGTGCTTCAATACTGAACAGTTTGGTAATATATGTTAGGAATGATATCTCCTGAATATTTATTCAACAGTTTTTTTTTATATCCGAACTGAGTTAGTCTCTTTTGCCATGTGGATGAAACAAATAGTCAAACGTGTTTGCTCATGTATTTTAGGTTATGGAGTGTTTGTTGATGAAGAATAGCTCATAGCTTTTGTACTTTTGTAAGTTTTATTTTCAGCAGAGGAGTGTTTGTTGTAAAATTATATATTTATTCCACTGGGGGAATATGTATATATAAGTTTGAATATATTACATGTTATTATACCTGCATATATGTAGGCCTGTGCCTTCAAGGAAATTACCTTTTTGGGTTGACAATTTTGGGTATTCACCTTTTCTACAGGCCATAATTGTATATTTTCTAAGTTCATACAACATTCACCTGGGATATGTTTATGCTAGTTTGACTGTATTACCTGTTGTCTTAGTCCACGTAAGACAGTTATGACCTGACCATCATCACCATATACTTCTATATCATCTCCTATACTGTTAGCTCTGTAGAAAGCTACAACACCATGAGCTTTCAGTCGCTGGTCATTTATTATCCTCTTCAGTAATGTTTGTGCATCATTGTACACTCTCTTTGCTTCTGGTCCTTAAAAATTAATTGAGAAAAATTTAAGTCCAGAAATCTTTAACCAGACAGTCAAAAAGTAAAGTACAGTTTCAAATTAAGTAGTCTTTCAAAACTATAAATAGACCTACAGTAATCAAATAGGTAGATCCATACTTGCCAACTCACATGATATTCGCGTGTAATACACGCTTTTTCGACGGTTTACACACGAGAATTTTGTCACATGGCGTGTACACGCTTTTCGTCACTTTACACGCCATTACACGCTTTTTCGTTGTTTTGATTTTTTTGGTCGTTAGTGAGATCAGGATTCACTGGTGTTTAAATACCGAGAATTTCGAAATAATTGTTGAGTCGCCATTGTTTATTTACGATATGGACGAACAACAAAAGCCCTTCACTTCAGGTAAGTTTGTAAGTAGGTTTTAAAATTTGTGACTTCTATCTCTGAAATTCACTTTGGGGAAATGTCCAGCAGAAAGAGGTCACTTTCTGGACCTGTACTGTCATCTAAAGAGCAGAGTGCTAAGCGAAAACGATATGTGTGTACGTACCAAAAAAGTTGGGAGTCCATGTTAAAATGAATCAAAAGAAAGTGATTGAGGGCCGAACAATGCATTGTGCACCCTATGTTACTCTCATATTTAAATTGGATCATCTGCAAACATTATCAATCATTTGAAATCATAACAACATGTGTGAGAGGATGTAACTATTAGATGTATTCAAATTATAAAATATTTTTCTTTTTAGTTTCAAATCTAGCCAACAGATTTCCACAGGCCATATGGGAAGGGAATATCACAGGCCACTGTTGAATGCAATAAAAGTTTACAGTAGAATATTGTTTTCTTTTTATATTAACAAATTTGTATAATGTTCATTTTAAAAAGTCCGCATCTACATCACACATTTTCACACGCTTTTTGACATGTCATGTCATGTCATGACATGATTTTTCATTGTCAGAGGTTGGCAAGCATGGGTAGATCTGGTCAACAGAAGTAAAAGCAATGTAAAAGTATTTACTTGATTTAAAAAAATAACAAGAGAAAACTGACATGTCAGCACGGGTCCTTCTTGCACATTTTAATGTGAGGCAAAAAGAATGATGCATACCAAGCAAATTTCATAAATTTTCTTACTTATACTTTTACATTTTTTTCGTTTACAAAAGACATTTCTCAAAATTAGTGATTTTTTTTAACTAAAACCTAGTTTTTTCTAAAATTAACAGGCCCATTTTCCCCAAATTATAATAAGGACATCACCTACATATTATGCACACCAACTGTGCAAAAGGAGTAAATTCATGATGAACATGTGATGAAGGGTTAAAATTGGCCATAACATTTTGATGTGTTTTTTAATCAGACCAAAATACTACAAATTTCACATAGAAATAGTTGTAATATTACTATTAATACCAAGTAACTTCATTTTTGCACAACACATTAACTAGAGGCTCTAAAGAGCCTGTGTCGCTCACCTTGGTCTATGTGCATATCAAACAAAGGACACAGATGGATTCATGACAAAATTGTGTTTCTGTGATGGTGATGTGTTTGTAGATCTTACTTTACTGAACATTCTTGCTCCTTACTATTATCTCTATCTATAATGAACTTGGCCCAGTAGTTACAGTGGAAAATATTATGTAAAAATTTACAAAAATTTACAAAATTTATGAAAATTGTAAAAAAATGACTATAAAGGGCAATAACTCCTTAAGGGGACAATTGAAAATTTTGATCATGTTGACTTATTTGTAGATCTTACTTTGCTGTACATTATTGCCGTTTACAGTTTATTTCTATCTATAATAATAATATTCAAGATAACCAAAAGCTGCAAAATTTTCTTAAAATGACCAATTCAGGGGCAGCAACCCAACAACGTGTTGCCTGATTGGTCTGAAAATTTCAGGGCAGATAGATCTTGACCTAATGAACAATTTTATCCGCGTCAGATTTGCTCTAAATGCTTTGGTTTCAGAGATATGAGCCAAAAACTGCATTTTACCCTATGTACTATTTTTTAGCCATGTCAGCCATCTTGTATCGGGCAGGGTCATCGGACACAATTTTTAAACTAGATACCCCAATGATGATTGTGGCCAAGTTTGGTTAAATTTTGCTAAGCAGTTTCAGAGGAGAAGATTTTTGTAAAAGATTACAAAAATTTACGAAAAAATGGTTAAAAATTGACTATAAAGGGCAATAACTCCTTAAGGGGTCAATTGACCATTTTGGTCATGTTTGACTTATTTGTAGATCTTACTTTGCTGAACATTATTGCTGTTTACAGTTTATCTCTATCTATAATAATATTCAAGATAAAAACCAAAAATGGAAAAATTTCCTTAAAATTACCAATTCAGGGGCAGCAACCCAACACAGGTTGTCCGATTCATCTGAAAATTTCAGGGCAGATAGATCTTGACCTGATAAATAATTTTACCCGTGTCAGATTTGCTCTAAATGCTTTGGTTTCAGAGATATAAGCCAAAATCTACATTTTACCCCTATGTTCTATTTTTAGCCATGGTGGCCATCTTGGTTGGTTGGCCAGGTCACTGGACACATTTTTTAAACTAGATACCCCAATGATGATTGTGGCCAAGTTTGGTTAAATTTGGCCAGGTAGTTTCAGAGGAGAAGATTTTTGTAAAAGATTACAAAAATTTATGAAAAATGGTTAAAAATTGACTATAAAGGGCAATAACTCCTTAAGGGGTCAACTGACCATTTTGGTCACGTTGACTTATTTGTAGATCTTACTTTGCTGAACATTATTGCTGTTTACAGTTTATCTCTATCTATAATAATATTCAAGATAATAACCAAAAACAGCAAAATTTCCTCAAAATTACCAATTCAGGGGCAGCAACCCAACAACGGTTTGTCCGATTCATCTGAAAATTTCAGGGCAGATAGATCTTGACCTAATGAACAATTTTGCCCCATGTCAGATTTGCTCTAAAGGCTTTGGTTTCAGAGATATAAGCCAAAATCTACATTTTACCCCTATGTTCTATTTTTAGCCATGGCGGCCATCTTGGTTGGTTGACCGGATCACCGGACACATTTTTTAAACTAGACACCCCAATGATGATTGTGACCAAGTTTGATTAAATTTGACCCAGTAGTTTCAGAGGAGAAGATTTTTGTAAAAGTTTACGGACGACGGACGACGGACGCAAAGTGATGAGAAAAGCTCACTTGACCTTTTAGGTCAGGTGAGCTAAAAATGACAAAGTATTGACTCCTTAAGTATGCATTATTTGTGTTGTAATGTCAATTTTGGTCTAATTTTCGGTAATTAACAGTTTTTAGCATAATTTATTTTGGCCGCCACCCATGATCCAGAAAATTTTTGTGTCTAGGGAGTAGGGATTCAATATAAACATTTGCAACTTTTGGTTACAGAACATTTCGGATCCTAGTTTGCAGCCGAGGGTTTCCTAAAGCTTTAAGGTCCGACAAACGCACAAAATCAATGTATTTTGCTAATATGTCCAAAATGGGCTGATTTTGAATCCAAAAATGAACTCTTGTGAAAGGATTTATTTTAAAAAAAAGAAGTAAGGCTTTAGAAATAGAACCATTTAGAACCAAATTATGTCCAATTTGAAATTTTATGATAAAGTTGAAATTCAAGGCCATATTTGGCCTAAAGTGAACCTTGTCCTTTGATTGGCCTCCTACCTATACTTTTTTTAGTTATTGCATTTACAAAAGACATTCCTCAAAATTTGTGATTTTTTATCAAAAATTTTGTTTTTCCAAAATTAATGAGCAGAATTTTACCAAAATAAAATATGCACATCTACATATTATGCACAACTGTGCAAAATTTCATTGGCCCCCTACCTATGCTTTTTGAGTTTTCTCATCTGAAATTTTAAAAACCAAACATTCGAGCTAACTTAGAAAGAAAAAAATCAGGATGTCACATTCTTCATTTAACTCACCAACTTGTTTATCATTGAAGATTTTAGGGTAACCTCTGTTTGGATATTTTCCTCTCAGTTGCCATACATCAAAGAAAGGTTTCCAGTCTATGTATGGCACCAGATGATTTAAATCATAATTTTCATATTTCTTCACTCCACAAAATGTAGGTCTTCCTAGAAAGAAAAAAATTGTTGCTTACAATTTCTATCAGTGGAAAATATGAATGCAAATCCTTAACTATACTCTCTTAGCTTATCAGAGTATTTTCTTCTTTTTCATTACCACTGGTATTAGGGATGATAATAACCTGCGCAACTCTTGTCCAAAGAATGTAAAAATGCTTTTCCATAATATTCCCATTTATGCATTGTTGTCTGTGATAATGTATGTAGATCTTATTTTTTAATTTGATATAAATTTTTCTTTTTTTCAAATTGACAAAATCATTTCTTTCCAATGCTGAAAAAAACAATATTGACAAACGGATATGATGACAGTAGTCCAACTGGACAAAGAACAAAGACTATAGTGACAGAAATCAGGGATGATAGTTAATCATGATTTAGAACTTCATTGTTTGTATCAATTTTCCTTTAAAATCATAATCATAATCATAACTGGAGGTACTGTGAGCAAAGCTAACAAAAAGATACCAAAGCCCCTTGCTGAGACCATTGGGTAAGGGAATCAAAAAATAAAATTGAGATCAAAAACAGAATAGGTGCACAAAAGCATTATATGGTTACAATTGTTTCAAAAATTTGTAATAAGGGCTACCCCCCCACCCCCAACCCAAAAAAAATGTAAGCATTGGCAAAATCCAAAGGTAAGGAAAACCCTAAAAATGGATCAAAAACCAAATAGGTGATCAATAGAATTTTATGGTTAAGATTGTGAGAAAGTTTCAATAAATTGTAATAAGGGTTTATGGAAGAGTTGTTGATACAGGATCAGTTACAGAAACAAAAGTGGAACAGATGGATCAATGGCATCTTTGCTAGCCAAGGGTTACTATCCATTCCTGCTCTCCACCCTTGGCAGATTAAGATAGAATTTCATATCCACGAGGTAATGGTTTCCATTGGTTGCAGTTATAACTGGCTGCCTCCGATCAAAAAGCACTTATAAGATGATCACATGTAAATGAAGAAAATGTAAATGAACAATTGCCCCTTGCTGATTGTGCAACAAGTCTTTATACCCAAATCATAGGACAATATTTAGTGACAATTTTAAAGTTCTTAATCAACTAATAGAATTTCCTGGGTACGTTTCTAGTGGAAATGTTGGATATCAACGTATATGTTCTGTTCCTCCTTCATGAAATTTGTAAACACTAGACACAACCATTTTTAAACCTCCACACCCATTGAAGAGATTTCAAGTGCTGACATTGGTCAAGAATGATGAAGTCGGAATGGGCGTGACTTTATCTTCCGTTAGATGGCCCAGCATTGTATTCACAAATGTTGGCTTGATCTGCCAAGGATGGAGAGGAGGGGAGTGGATCGTAATCCTTGGCTAGCGAAGATGGATCAATGGATGGACTACACAATCACTGTATACTGTGGAGTATAATAATATCTGTAAATTTCATGATTTATTGTTATGTTCTGTCAAGAAGACATATTAAGAGGTATAGAAAACATTTCCTTTGTTGGTAGGTGCAATAATTATTTCACAAACAAACAAAGTTTAACAACTGACCTACTGGTGGGTCAGTAACCCAATCTATACAAAACTTCTTTTCTCTAGCTTTCTGTAAACTCAGATATTTTCTGTCCTGCAAGAGAAGATTATAAAATTTAGATATTGCAGAGACTTTATATATTATCACAGTTTACCACTTTTGTTTTGTTCCAAGAATAATCAACAATTATAAAATTTAGATATTGCTGAGACTTTAAATACTATCACAATTTACCACTTTTGTTTTGTTCCAAGAATAATCAACAATTATAAAATTTAGATATTGCAGAGACTTTATATATTATCACAATTTACCACTTTTGTTTTGTTCCAAGAATAATCAACAATTATCTTTATTCAAGGTGAACAACAAATCTATTATCAATCTAACAAAAAGGCTATTAGTTCCTTCAGCGCAGACCTGTATTTATCTGCTATGATGCAACATATGACGTGTCCATTAAAGTAAACACCAGAAACTGCATTAGCCTTTCAGAAATAAACATAAGCTTGGTATTTGACAGACATTCGTCTATTATTGAAGATCATATGCTGACCTCTGGATGGTTCTAGTTTTTTTTTATTGTGGGTTGCAGTCTCATTGACAAATAGGCCTCATCTTTGTTATCCTTATAAAATAATTAATTTTGAATTTGTATACCTTCCTCAGGTTAATTTTTACCATTAAATGTTGACAGGTTTTTAAATATATTTTGGTTATTACACAAATATAAATGTTTGGTTTCTTTAGGGTTGTTCCAGAATTAAAATCATGGGGGGCATGACACGCACTTTTTTTAGACCCCAACCACCCATAATAAAAAATGGTCATTTTACTTACAACTCTAATGTTATTCTAAGGAAAATGCAACCATCTACAATTAATTAATTTAAGTGCCCCCCATCCCCCTCCAACAATCAATTTTGGAACAGCCCTTACCAGAAACTAGGATAATTTTTTGGTAAATATTCTTGTGGTTTTAGCATTAACAACATTTTTGTTGTTACAGAGAGTGTATGGTAATAGATAAGATTTTTGTGCTTCGATGAGTATTCTTTCATTGGTATACTTGTGTGTTGCTTAGATAAATGTTCAATCATAGATAGCTTTTGAATGGGTTTGGCAAACAGTTCTGTTATCGTTTCTCTTCTGTGTGGGTACTCATTCATAGTTTGCCTTTGTACAGTTAGGAAAAGTGTCCAGTTTTTGTTAACCTTTGGTTGTGAAAGGAATTCCTTGTAGGTTTTTATGTTGCTTGGATAAGTCTTTTATAATTGTTAGCCCTTTTTGCAGTTTTGAAAAATATCTAATTATTATTCAGCCTTCTAGCTGATTGGATAAGCATTTAGTCAGTCAGGTTATTTAGTTGTTTAGATATTTCAATAGTTATCCAATCACAATTAAACTTTCTACCTGCTTGGATAAGTATTCGATCAGTTAGGCCTTGCATAAAACATTTGATTTTACAGACCAAAAGTGATTGTACTAGTCCAAAGTAAGTTGCTGTTTATTCCCAAAATATGAAATTATGATATAATAATGTATAAAATATATAACATTTTTTTCTACACAAACTACTTGTAGCAATAGTCTATTTTTGGTGTCAAAGGAGCAAAGAATTGTAATTGAATTAAAATACCAACAAATTTATGAACAAATTCATTTATTTGAACATTATGGTAAACATTCTGTTTAGATGATATCACAATAAAGCAATGGATATTCTTCCTTACCTTTAAAGAATCATAATGTTCATCTCTTATTTCTTCATATTCTTCCTTAATATCATCTGTGAATTCATCAAAATTGTCCATATCCAGCAGAGAGGAACACTTTAAGAGAAATTTTGTTTAAGATAATGTATGATGTTATATATATATTCACATATTTTGATCATTTTCACCCAAAAATAATATCTGAATTACGGCATTTCATGTCAAATTGATGTTTAATCGTTGAACTTACAAATCTATTGCCAAACTAGTGGTGGGTTGCTTGAGAAGTTGTCTCATTATTTCTTTAATAATGTGAAAGAACAGACATTGAATTTATCCATTTATTAGATAACAGTTTTCTAGTCAAGATTCACACGAATTATATTTTAGCTATATCCTGTTTCCCTTGATGAGGACAATAATTCTGAAATCATCAATACATTCAATTAATGGTCAACTATGTGAGGACAAGATATTTATCTTTTCTATGGCTTTAAATTAATATTCTGTTTTGATTATTATAATGAAAGAACTATAGTGAGCAAGCTGGCAATACCACAAGCCATACACTTATTTCTATTTAGTAACAGCTTACATATATAATGACAAAGTTATCCTACCCAAACAGAAATTTTGATTCTAATTAAAACCCATCAACACAGTGAAGGATTGAGTCCATTCATTCAATGGCAGGATTTGTATCTCAAAAAATGTGTTGTTCTTCTATTTCAATGCAGACTTTTCTGTCACTGTATGGTAATGTTTTTATTATTTGCAAACTTAAATCCATTCCTAGTAACTGTGATCTTGACCTTGGCGGTATTGAGATAAAAAATCAATAGCGATCTACCTCCCCCCATTTTCACAAATTTGGATAATTCCTCTGTGTGGTAATTACTTGCTTGTTAATTTCAACACAAAAAACCAGGTAAGATGTACCAACATATACTCTCCAACTAAAAAGAGATAACATTCATAATGAATGATTCCATTTGATATTGCTGAAGGTGAAGCATACAAAACTAAAGGCATCTTAGTCTTAACTGAATACTGAACACGAGATCAACTGCCTATGATTGTTTATTATACTTAGTCTTAACTGAATACTGAACACTAGATCAACTGCTAATGATTGTTTATTATAGCTTCAAAGCTATACTTACAACAACTACACTTTTGGATGCATCTAGTACATGTATTGTTGGTTGTGAATATCTTGGTGCGATCTTTACAGCAGTGTGTGTTCTGAAATAAAATCAACATAGAATCAACGTTTGTTTATGTCTCCCATGTTTCCTCTAATTACAAAGGATAGCAGCTATAAAAACAATATTATCTGATTGCACAAAATTTCACATGAGATGAAACCAATCTGTTAAGTTCTACTCCATTCCAAAATCATTTAAATTTTGTTTTTAATACCATATAATAATACTATATCAAAATATTTTGCAAATGTTTTAACCATTTCCTTGCAGTGTTCTTGTCCAGTAATTATGAAAAAAGTATTCTTATAAGTCATACTTAGACGTAGTGGCACCTCCTATCAACAATGGCAATTTCATTCCTATTCTTTCCATTTCCTTAGCAACAAAGATCATTTCGTCAAGTGAAGGAGTGATCAATCCTGACAATCCAACAAAATCTGGAAAGAGAAAAGATTGAATGAAATCATAATTTTAACAATTGGTTCTTAAAGGTATAACAATGTTAGGAAGTACTAAAAGTAGATACCTTATGCATAAACATGTTCAATTCAAAGGTCAATACCTAAAACTTGGTAATGTTAGCCACAGTTGCTAATAGTTACAAAGGAAACATATTTGAAATAATTGTACAGTTAAAAATGAAACACTTTCAGTTTATAGATTTTTTCTCTCACAAAATACATGGTATTTTGGTCACTTTTTTTCCTCAAATTAAAACTTTTATCCAAGAGCTCTGAAATTTTTTCAAAAATATCCGTATGTGTTGTCAAATCCTTAAATTCATACATAAAGTCATGGCAAAAACGAACCTGTATCAATAAGCATTTTAATATGGCTGATAATCAATTTACTCATGTAATTTGACATGCTATCATTTTGTGTTTAAATAAAGCATCTGATCATGTACTTGTTAAAAAAGGGGGAATAAGGGATAATTTAAGTATCTCTCTATCTATAAAAGCTTTCAAGATAACCAAAACATTGTGGAGTTTGCTAAATAGGACATTTCAGGGGCAATTACCTCAAAATGTGATGTCCAATTTTACAGAAATTTCATGGAAGATAGAACTTGACCTGCTGGTCCTTTTTATTCTGTCAGTTTATTTCTAAATGATTTAGTTTTTGAGATAAAACCCAAAATCTGCAACTTACCTCCTATTTCCTTATTTTTACAACAGTGGCCATGTTTGTTCATGGATCAAATCCATTGCTACAATATTTTCACACGATTTCCTTAGAAACAGTCAGGTCAAGTTAGGTAATATATGGCGAGTAGTTTCAAAGTAGAAGTTTTTTTTTTTAATTTACAAGGACGACAACATACGCCAAGTGTTGGCAATATCTAGGATGGCACTTTGGGCCAGGTGAGCTAATGAAAAGTTAACAATTCAAAAAAGTTGCAATTTTGGACAAAATCCATTAGAAATGTTTCATTTTAATAAAATGTCAAATTCAATTTGTCTGAAATTCGGATTTTCTTTTCAGTCATTTGGATTACAAATCAGTCAATGCAGCAAATATGACCATTTATAAACTATTTATTATTTCTTTAATGCTGAATTACCTTACACCACTGTTTTTGGCAACAAATACTGTTTTCTTGTCTAGTTTTTGTTATGCTACATAAAGGGTAAAATAATTAATAAACTGTAACATACACTAAATACTTTGCTACAAATATCACTGCAAGTAGATATCTTTACCTGCTTTTTCCTGTATTGCTGTCTCTAAGATCTTTTCACATGGTGTCATTACTCCTAAATCTATAACTCTGTAATTTAAAGTGTTAACTATTCACATCATTATTGGCGAGAATAAAAGTTTAATTTAGAATTTTTTTTTAACGAAAGCATGTTACATTATCACTGTACCTATAATATGTCTTCACTTTTCCATGGAAATACCTATTGATTTTGTTCTGATTATCATTTTTTTCTTTTTCTTCCACAACTTTCATTTCTTTCTAGAAGATTTTGTTTCGTAAGATGTCGCTTAGATATTTGGTATTTGATATCAAACAGTTTATACGCTTTTAAAACTGACACTGTTTAACCGAACACTTCTTCTTGTAAGAGTTATCTCCCCAAACACTGTTTTACTTGTTATCTCTACTACTTCGCAACCATAAAAGAAAGCGACAAATTTATTTTTCCAAATTGCTTGTTATTTCTTCAGGATTTTTTCTAATATTTTGACCAAAGCGATCTTGAGACTCCATATGAGATTATTTCACCTTATGTATTTGATATAAGTGATATGTATTTGTAACTGGTAAACCATTGGTAATTGAGACCTGGGGTCTTTTGATTTGGGGTCCTTGGTCCATCAAAGAGAAAATTAGGTCAAGGTCATGTTTTGAATTTTGATTTCGGCTTATTATAGCTTCTTTTCAGATACGGTATAAGATATCGACAAAATGTTTTTACTAAAAATGTTAATTACGGCATGTTGTAACACATAAATTTTGGTTGAAAGGGTACGTTGACATTTAATTGGAGTTCCCCTCTTAAATTGTAAATTAGCTGTATGGTAATATAACTCATTAAACAAATATAGTTGGGACCTAGGGTCTTTTAAATTTGAGGTCCTTGCTTCATGACCTTAAAATTGAGGTCAAGGTCAAAGTTTAATTTGACATTCTAGATTTTGACCTTTGCTGTTACTTCTTATTAGGACATGATAAATTCACAGGGTCTTTAACATTGGGTTGCTGACTCATGACCTTGAAGAATGTCAACCTGAAATGACCTTCAGTAAACTGGAAGTAGCCATTTTTGCACTTTTTTCATGGAAAAGTACCAAGAAACCATATTTTTTTCAATAGGCATTCTAAAACCTATCATTTGAGACCGGAAGTAGCTTATTATCTCCCTTATTTCAACCAAGGACACTCCCCAACATTGTATACAGGAATAGAATTCATGAAAAAAATCTGTTTTGTTGATCTTGTATGGCTGATAATTTAAAAAAAAAACATATATTTTTGGAATCAGTGTGAATAAAACTATCATAAGAGACTGGAAGTGACATTTTCTAAACTGGAAGTAGCAAATTATCTCCCTTATTTCAGACAAAAGTATATAGAAACCATATATTTTTTATATCAGTATGAAGAAACCTATGATTGAACACCAATAGTAACGTTGAATAAACCTTAAGTAGCTTCTCATCAATTTTCGTTTAGAAATTTAATGTGGAGTGACCTTCAATTGGTTTTTAATCTAAACTAAAACTGTTTTTTTAATGTAAAAATAAACTTTTGACTCAGAGTTGTGTCTGCCTGTAATTTTGATAGTATAAAGCAAATGTTGCAATTAAAATGTCAACACTTTTAAATGTAAACAATGCAAAACTTAAAACCACATCTTCATATTTTTACATTACAAAATAAGTCAAAAACATTATGAATTAAATTTTCATCATATTCCCAGACTAATTATCTATAGACCAACTTTACACTCTATAAATTACTTCATCATAACTGATTTGTATTACTATTCCAATGTAAAACAAAATCTTTAGAAAAAGGACTTTTTTTCTGAATAAATTTCTTGCAACTTACTTGTAATTATTACATCCTAATACCACACCTACAATGTTTTTACCAATGTCATGTACATCTCCTTTAACAGTGGCCAGGACTACAGTCCCTGTATACTGACTTCCCTATTAAAACACAAAGTCACACTTCACTCAAGTCACTATTCACAAGTTTTCCAAAATTTAAGACAACATACCTCCTGCAAATCGTGTTTCTACAGGAGATGCCCATAATTTGTATACAGTTCAGATATGTGTTATAATAAATTGTGGAAAATGGTGCAAATGCAAAATTACCAACATTTAATAGAAAGAGCGTTTTGTACCATGATGTTACCAAAAAATAGATTATTTCTAATTTATATTGATCATTTATTCAACTTTAATCCATAAATGCTCATAATAAGTCTGCAGCACAGTATATTTTTAGTTACTATTTAGACCCTCTTATTAACTAAACTATTAAGACAAACTAAAAACAAGGATCATACTTCATCATCATCCCCTCCTAGTGCAATCTTTTGTTGTCTTTCCTCCTCCATGAATGGTATGAGGTGTCCAACAGCTTTCTTCATCACTCTGGCAGATTTTATTACTTGGGGTAAAAACATCTTCCCAGCTCCAAATAGATCTCCAACCACACTCATACCCTGTATAGATATATTCCACCAACATAAATAAAGATAGTTTCATTGTCATTTCTATTTTCCAGCAGTTCAGTTGAGGTAATTGTGACAACTTTAAAAATTTTAGCTATCTAAGTTGAAAAGTATGAAAACCATACACACAGATATGAATTCAATTAAATTCTATCAAGATTTAATGTGTGTACATTTGAAGGACTTATTATACTCTCGTAAAATAGTTAAAAGATAATTGTACTGATAAGTCAGGTGACCAATGGAATATAAACTTTAATATTACCTTCATCAAAGGTCCTTCAATAACATTTAAAGGTCTAATAAATAGCACTGATGAATAAGGTGTCCAATGGAATATAAACTTTAATATTACCTTCATCAAAGGTCCTTCAATAACATTTAAACTTTAATATTACCTTCATCAAAGGTCCTTCAATAACATTTAAACTTTAATATTACCTTCATCAAAGGTCCTTCAATAACATTTAAAGGTCTAGGATAATTATCTTTATTAGCTCTGGCTTCCTCTGTATCTTCAACAATGAACTTATCTATACCCTAAATATAAAATGTACATCTAAAATATTAATTTCATTCAGTTTCATATTTTTCCCGTTTAATAAAATCAGTAATACATACAAAAAATGTAAAACTAAATGACATATATGGAACCTTATACATAACTCATGAATTGAAAAAAAACTTCTGCTAAATTTGTTTTTTGTATGACACAACAGCCTGGATCTTGTTTCATCTATATTAGTAAAGATCTGTCAATCTGAATTCAAATCTTAACGTGTAGGATGAATGTCAATGAATGATTATTGTATAAATGTATCCCTTCATGGTAAAATTTTACTTACTTTCACTAGTGAATATTGCAACCTTTCTTCCACATCTTTTTCTCTCCATTCATCACTAACCACACCTTTCTTGGCATCTTTGCTCATTCCCTTTATAATTCAAATAATATGTTGTTAATAAACAATAGGGGTATTACATAAAAACACAAGAAGTTCACCTGTTTATGTAAAAAGGTAATGCTTCATGTGAATATGCAGCAAGCAAAAAGTAGAAAAATAATTGAAACATTAAATGAGTACTGCCATCAAGACATTTTGTATGGACACAATTTGTTTATCTTAAAAATCCTTTCAAGAAAAGCACATTAATTTGAGAACAGACATAGAACTAAGTCTAACAAATGTATAAATATAAATCAATATACGTTAAAATGTCTTTTGAAAAAGTTTTAAAAATTTATAACTAAAAATTTCAAAAAGAAAAAAAAGTTTTAAAATTCTATATTGTCTTGTGATTTCACCATCTTGGGACTTTCCAAGATTCTTATGTTGTTATGAGCAACGTCCATTATAGATATACATATAAACATATCAACTGTTCAAATAGACCTATTATTAGATGACTTAATCCAAAAATTTTATTTGTATATATATTGATCACAAATTAAGTTCACCTGAGCATATACTAGCAATTTTTCAGTGCCATCTGGATCCTTATTCCAGAGAAGATTTTCACACATTTCCAATAATTTGGGTTCAATATCATCATATACAGGTAAACATCCAGCATTTACTATTCCCATGTCCATTCCATTCTTTAAAATAAAACAAATACAGATAAATAGTGAATAATAGTAAAGAAAATCATTAAATCTATAGTAATAAACATGAATTTTTTAGCAAATTTGAAAAGAGAAGACCTATATCATGCCCCTCGAAAATTCCATATTGGTCATAAAAATCCAATGATTTGAAGACCAATATCATCATGACCATACCAGATAATGACATAAATTACAATTGGTAAATAGTGTGCATGATAAACAGAACAGTTTATACATTTTTCATATCAAATGTTAACTCTTAAGCTCCTGGGTTATCAAAACTAGAGGCTCTAAAGAGCCTGTGTCACTCACCTTGGTCTATGTACATATTTAACAAAGGACACTCTCCAACATTGTAGACAGGAATAGAATTCATAAAAAAAATCTGTTTTGTTGATCTTATATGGCTGATAATTTAGCATATTTAGTTTCTCTATCTTCTTTTTTTTTTTTTTCCTCAAAACACAAAAGAGGATAAAAAAAATCCTCATTTAAGGGCAATCACTCCTATAAAGAGTGACAGTCTACTAAACTATATCGGCAAAATTTGACTTGTTAGTAGATCTTGACTTGCTGTTCATTTTTGTGATTTCAAGAGTATCTTTATCTATTACAATTTTCTATCATATATGGCAAAATGCAAAAAAAAACTAGAGGCTCTCAAGAGCCTGTGTCGCTCACCTGTATTTACTGACGCTTTGGAAATCATGTAAAATAAGGTTAAAATCATAATTAATAGTATTAGATATTAGATATTATAATGATATCTAAGATAATAACAAAAAACTGCAAAATTTTTGTAAAATTACTAACTCAGGGGCAGCAACCCAACAACCGGTTGTCGGATTCGTCTGAAAATTTCAGGGCAGATAAATCTAATTCTGATGAACATTTTTGCCACCTGTCAGATTTGCTCTAAATGCTTTAGTTTCAGAGATATAAACCAAAAACTGCATTTTACCCCTATGTTCTATTTTTAACCAAGTCAGCCATGATGGTTAGAAGGCGGGGTCATCTGACAAATTTTTTAAACTAGATACCCTAATAATGATTATGGCCAAGTATGGTTAAATTTGTCTCAGTAGTTTCAGAAAAGAAGATTTTTGTAAAAGATTACAAAAATTTACAAAAAATTGTTAAAAACTGACTATTAAGGGCAATAACTCCTAAAGGGGTCGACTGACAATTTTGGTCATGACAACTTATTTGTAGATCTTACTTTGCTGAACATTATTGCTGTTTACAGTTTATCTCTATCTATAATAATATTCAAGATAATAACCAATAAAATGCTTCGTTGGGGTGCAGCTTGATACGACCGCAGAGGTCGAACCCTGAACAGTTGGGGCAAGTATGGACACAACATTCAAGCTTGATACAGCTCTGAATTTGGATTGTTATTAAATATTTGACACAGCATAGGTTTCTGACACAGAAAGAATGTGGTCTAAGAACTTGATTTTTTTTAATTTACCTATTATGGTCCAATGTCCAAAATCAAAATACATGGTTAGATTCAGCATATCAAAGAACCCCATATATTCAATTTTTGTTAAAATCAAACTAAGTTTAATTTTGGACCCTTTGGACCTTAATGTAGACCAATTTCAAAAACGGGACCCAAAATTAAAAATCTAAATACACGGTTAGATTTGGAATATCAAAGAACCCCAATAATTCAATTTTTGATGAAATCAAACAAAGTTTAATTTTGGACCCTTTTGACCTCAATATGAACCAATTTGAAAACTGGGCCCACAAATAAAAAATCTAAATTCATGGTTAGATTCAGCATATCAAAGAACCCCAAGAATTCAATTTTTGCTAAAATCAAACTAAGTTTAATTTTGGACCCTTTGGACCTTAATGTAGACCAATTTCAAAAACAGGACCCAAAATTAAAAATCTAAATACACAGTTAGATTTGGAATATCAAAGAACCCCAATAATTCAAATTTGATGAAATCAAACAAAGTTTTATTTTGGACCCTTTTGACCTCAATATGAACCAATTTGATAGCGGGGCCCACAAATAAAAAATCTAAATTCATGGTTAGATTCAGCATATCAAAGAACCCCATATATTCAATTTTTGTTGAAATCAAAAAAAGTTTAATTTTGGACCCCAACTTGGACAAACTTGAAAACTGGGCCCATAATCAAAAATCTAAACACATGTTTAGATTCAGCATATCAAAGAACCCCAAGAATTCAATTTTTGCTAAAATCAAACAAAGTTTAATTTTGGACCCTTTTGACCTCAATATGAACCAATTTGATAGCGGGGCCCACAAATAAAAAATCTAAATTCATGGTTAGATTCAGCATATCAAAGAACCCCATATATTCAATTTTTGTTGAAATCAAAAAAAGTTTAATTTTGGACCCCAACTTGGACAAACTTGAAAACTGGGCCCATAATAAAAAATCTAAACACATGTTTAGATTCAGCATATCAAAGAACCCCAAGAATTCAATTTTTGCTAAAATCAAACTAAGTTTAATTTTGGACCCTTTGGACCTTAATGTAGACCAATTTAAAAAACGGGACCTAAAATTAAAAATCTAAATACACGGTTAGATTTGGAATATCAAAGAACCCCAATAATTCAATTTTTGATGAAATCAAACAAAGTTTAATTTTGGACCCTTTTGACCTCAATATAAACCAATTTGATAGGGGGCTCACAAATAAAAAAATCTAAATACATGGTTGGATTCAGCATATCAAATAACCTCATATATTCAATTTTTGTGGAAATCAAACAAAGTTTAATTTTGGACCCCAATTTGGACCAACTTGAAAACTGGGCCCATAATCAAAAATCTAAATACATGTTTAGATTCAGCATATCAAAGAACCCCATATATTCAATTTTTGTTGAAATCAAACAAAGTTTAAATACTGGACCCTATCTTGGACCAACTTGAAAACTGGGCCCATAATCAAAAATCTAAACACATGTTTAGATTCAGCATATCAAAGAACCCCAAGAATTCAATTTTTGTTAAAATCAAACTAAGCTTAATTTTGGACCCTTTGGACCTTAATGTAGACCAAATTAAAAAACAGGACCCATAATTAAAAATTTAAATACAAGGTTAGATTTGGAATATCAAAGAACCCCAATAATTCAATTTTAGATGAAATCAAACAAAGTTTAATTTTGGACCCTTTTGACCTCAATATGAACCAATTTGATAACGGGGTCCACAAATAAAAAATCTAAATACATGGTTAGATTCAGCATATCAAAGAACCCCATATATTCAATTTTTGTTGAAATCAAACAAAGTTAAATTTTGGACCCCAATTTGGACTAACTTGAAAACTGGGCCAAAAATCAAAAATCTAAATACATGTTTAGATTCAGCATATCAAAGAACCTCATATATTCAATTTTTGGTAAAATCAAACAAAGTTTAATTTTGGACCCTTTGGACCTTAATGTAGACCAATTTGAAAACTGGACCCAAAATTAAAAATCTAAATACACTGTTAGATTCGGCATAACAAATAAATAAATGTGATCAAAGATTTTACAAAACTTATGCGCCATACTGTGCAATTAAAGATTACTTCTTGAAATTTTTCAATATTTGAAATTTGAAAAAAAAATAATATTTGAAGAATAATTCTTTTTAATTTCTGAAATCTGAAATGAGAAAAAATTGACCCCCCACAATTTCTTTTTACCCCCCCCCCCCCCCCCCCCCCACCTTTTTTACCCCAAAAAATTCTTTCCCTCAAGATATAGTCATAATCTCAATTCAAATTTCCAATGGAGTTGGCAACCATAATTACCCATTTAAATTTACCATAGTGCTAACTTAATCTATTTTATAATAGAATTAAAAATATAGTGTCAAATCTTTCATATGGATTTTTTTGTAAAAAGATGCAACATTTGCAGATATTTTTACTGGTCTTCCTTTATAAATATGCATTTCTTTAAACATAATTTAAAAGCAGTGTAAGGGAAGTAACTAAAACGTTGTATTTGGATTACCTCCCTTACACTGTTTTAAATTATCTTCATTGTTCATTAACCATTACTTTATACATAATTTAAAAGCAGTGTAAGGGAGATAATTTCAATGATGTATTTGATTTATCTCCCTTACACTGCTTTAAATTATGTTTTGTACTAAAGTATTTGTCCATTAACCAGGACAACCTTGTTTTTCCCCCTTTTTTGCCCCTAATTCCTAAACGGTTTGAGCCATAACCCCCCAAAGCAAATCCTTACCATCCCTTTGTGGTATGGAAACTTGTAGTATAATTTCAGAGAGATCCATACACCGTTGCACAGTTATTGTCTGGAAACTAGAAAATGCTTATTTTTGGCCCCTTTTTGGCCCCTAATTCCTTAACTGTTGGTACCATAACCCCCATAATCAATCCCAACCTTCCTTTTGTGGTATTTAACCTTATGGTCAAATTTCAAAAAGATCCATTCACTTAAACTAAAGTTAGAGTGCGAAAACCAATGTGTCTTCGGACGACGATGCCGGACGACGACGACGCCGGACGACGTCGACGCCGGACGACGACAACGACGACGCCAACGTCATACCAATATACGACCACAAAATTTTTTTGCGGTCGTATAAAAACTGCAAAATTTCCTTAAAATTACCAATTCAGGGGCAGCAACCCAACAACAGGTTGTCAGATTTGTCTGAAAATTTCAGGGCAGATAGATCTTGACCTGATAATCAGTTTTACCCTATTCAGATTTACTCTAAATGCTTTGGTTTCAGAGATATAAGCCAAAATCTACATTTTACCCCTATGTTCTATTTTTAGCCATGGCGGCCATCTTGGTAGGTTGGCCGGGTCATCGGACACATTTTTTAAACTAGATACCCTAATGATGATTGTGGCCAAGTTTGGTTAAATTTGGCCCAGTGGTTTCAGAGGAGAAGATTTATGTAAAAAGCTAACGACGACGGACGACGGACGCCAAGTGATGAGAAAAGCTCACTTGGCCCTTCGGGCCAGGTGAGCTTAAAAGGGAAAATCGTCTTTAAAGGGCAATAACTCCAATAAGGAGTCATCTGACCATTTCCTCCATATTGTCTTCATAGTAGATTTTGTTTTGCTGATCATTTTTGCCTAGCTTAGTTTCTACCTGTCTATTATAATTTTAAGATTTAAGGCAAAAACGCAAAAAATTGGTCAAAATCATCATCAAAGGGCAATAACTCTAATAAGGAGTCGATTGACCATTTCGACCATGTTGACCTATTTGTTGAATGTTCTTGCTGATCATTTTAAAGTTTCTCTGTATCTATTATAGTTTTCAAGATAGTAGGCAAAAATGAAAACTAAAGGCTCTCAAGAGCCTGTGTCGCTCACCTGTATTTACTGATGCTTTGGAAATCATGTAAAATAAGGTTAAAATAATAATTGATAGTATTAGATATTAGATATTATAATGATATCTAAGATAATAATAAAAAATAACAAAATTTTTGTAAAATTACTAACTCAGGGGCAGCAACCCAACAACGGGTTGTCGGATTCGTCTGAAAATTTCAGGGCAGATAAATCTAAATCTGATGAAGATTCTGCCACCTGTCAGATTTGCTATAAATGCTTTAGTTTCAGAGATATAAACCAAAAACTTCATTTTACCCCTATGTTCTATTTTTAACCAAGTCGGCCATGATGGTTGGAAGGCGGAGTCATCGGACAAATTTTTTAAACTAGATACCCTAATAATGATTATGGCCAAGTATGGTTAAATTTGTCTCAGTAGTTTCAGAGAAGAAGATTTTTGTAAAAGATTACAAAAATTTACAAAAAATTGTTAAAAATTGACTATTAAGGGCAATAACTCCTAAAGGGGTTGACTGACAATTTTGGTAATGCAACTTATTTGTAGATCTTACTTTGCTGAACATTATTGCTGTTTACAGTTTATCTCTATCTATAATAATATTCAAGATAATAACCAAAAACTGCAAAATTTCCTTAAAATTACCAATTCAGGGGCAGCAACCCAACAACAGGTTGTCAGATTTGTCTTAAAATTTCAAGGCAAATAGATCTTGACCTGATAATCAGTTTTACCCTATGTCAGATTTACTCTAAATGCTTTGGTTTCAGAGATATAAGCCAAAATCTACATTTTACCCCTATGTTCTATTTTTAGCCATGGCGGCCATCTTGGTTGGTTGGCGGGGTCATCAGACACATTTTTTAAACTAGATACCCTTATGATGATTGTGGCCAAGTTTGGTTAAATTTGGCCCAGTGGTTTCAGAGGAGAAGATTTTTGTAAAAAGCTAATGACGACGGACGACAACGACGAAGACGACGACAACGGACGACGGACGCCAAGTGATGAGAAAAGCTCACTTGGCCCTTCGGGCCAGGTGAGCTAAAAAAATGGTAAAATTTGTCATTTAAGGGCAATAACTCCTATAAGAAGTCATCTGACAGTTTTGACATGTACGGACAATTGGTAGAGCTCAACATTCTGAACATTTTTTCTCTTGTCAGATTTTCTCTCTTTATAATGGTTTTCAAAATAATAAACAAAACTTGCATTTTACCCCCTATGTTCTATTCTTAGCCATGTAGGCCATGTTGGTTGACAGGTGGGGTCATCGGACACATTTTTTTAACTAGATACCCCAATGATGATTGTGGCCAAGTGTGATTAAATTTGGCAAAGTAGTTTCAAAGGAGAAGATTTTTGTATAAGATTACAAAAATTTACGAAAAATTGTTTAAAATTGATTATAAATGGCAATAACTCCTTAAGGGGTCAATTGATAATTTTGGTCTTGTTGACTTATTTGTAGATCTTACTTTGCTGAATATTATTGCCGTTTACAGTTTATCTCTATCTATAATAATATTCAAGATAATAACCAAAAACTGCAAAATTTCCTTAAAATTACCAATTCAGGGGCAGCAACCCAACAACAGGTTGTCTGATTCGTCTGAAAATTTCAGGGCAGATAGATCTTAACCTGATGAACATAGTTTCAGAGATATAAGCCAAAAACTGTATTTTACCCCCTATGTTCTATTTTTAGCCATGTCGGCCATCTTGGTTGGCAGGCGGGGTCATCAGACACATTTTTTAAACTAGATCCCCCATTGATGATTGTGGCCAAGTTTGGTTAAATTTGGCCCATTAGTTTCAGAGGAGAAGATTTTTGTAAAAGTTAAGTTGGACGACATCAGACGACGACAGACTGAGCTAAAAATATGTTAAACAGAATACATTTCTTCAGTTATTTTGCAATTATAATCATCTCCAATTGGTATGACAAGTGTAATGATATTCTTTCAAATTATCAATTTACAACCAATATTTACCTATAACCAAAAGCTTCTGGTCGATATAGACATGCCCAGCTTATATGACATGTATTGTAATGATTTTATGTTGTTTTTTTTTAAATCACATTTAATATCTAGGCTTAAGCAAAAGCTTATGGTTGATATGGACATTTTGAGTTCATATTGGATGACATATTCTACTTATATGTAATTTACTCAGCTATTTTTCTTTACTTGTATGGTAGAATTTCATGAATTAAACAGACAAAGTTAAAAAGCCAAAACATTTGTCCTTAAAAAATATTACTTTAATTGTTATAGGTTCTGTACTGTTATGTACAAATCTTAATCAATTGTTACTATGAGTTCACTGATTTTCATAATTTGTTTCACTAGTACTAATTTTTTTTTTTCATAACTGTTTAGACTTTTACCTTTATAGCATGATAAAGAAATACACTGTGCATAGCTTCTCTGACAGCTTCCATACCACGAAAGGAAAATGAGAAGTTTGATACACCTCCACTAACTCTAGCACCTGGTAATGTTTCCTTTAATGTAAATGTTATTAAAATTAGAGTATAATTAGAACAAGGTAATGCATCCATATTTGATTGTTAAAAGAAATCTAGCCCAGGGCAACATAGCCTACATTATGGAAGAGTTAAGATATAAATCATAAATCCTGCAACGGAAATGTACAAATAATATAAATATCACTATAATCTAGTATTCCAAAGTATAGGCATTTTCATTTCATTAAATACATAAATATAAAATAAATAAAAACAAGTGAAACTGCGAGCTACTGCTCACTGATGATACCCCTGCCCAAATATTTTGGTTAACAGGAAGTTGTTGATTGATGAATCTGAAAACGCATCACACAGTATAGCAGACTTATATAAACCCTGAAACTAATTTCAGAAATCCTTGTGTTGTAGTTCCTGAGAAAGATGCGACGAAAAATATTCATGGAACGGAAGGACGGACTGACGGATGGACTGACAGATGGATGGACAGACAGAGGTGAAACAGTATACCCCCACTCCCACTTTTTTAAAGCGGGGGTATAATAATAATAAGTGAAAAGTTGGCAAAGTAAACAAACATGGTATACTCTAAAAGAGAATAGCAAATGGGAAAATATGGCCTCATGAGGTTCCAGGACTACTAATGAGAAATCCCTTTTTTATTAAGTTTACCCATTATGAAGGATATTTTAAAACCAAAAATATCTTTTTGTGGTTTTGAAAATCATAACAATATAGGTCAATCTTATAACTTTAAAAACATTTTTATTAGTGATTAATCTATATTGGTTTTTCGGCACAATTCACTCAATATTTGTCACTCATGATGTCTCTTTAAGATTATACAAGTATGAAATATATAAAACTTGACTTTTGGAATATCAATTTTTAATTGCCATTGAAAGCTAGAGTTTAGGTTATTTCGATTATATCTCTTTAAAATTATGTTATTCACACATAATAAAAAAGAAAGGATCCATCCATAACACAAAATCTGTACATGAACAGCAAAAAACACAAAAAGCACAGGAAAAGAGCTTTTATTGCTGTTCTTCATCTCAAAGTCACAGTGAAGCCTTTAACACAGAGAAAACTCTCACCTTACTGCAAATTTAAGACGGCCCCTTGCAACAGTTTCAGCAGAATTCTTTGCAAACTAACGATCAGTACATAGTCTCCAATTTTTGCAAATAAAAGAAATACTCCTTACATATTGGTTAACAACATATTCAGTGATATATATTACTACATGTATTTTGTAGTCTTACTTTTATTTTCTTTGTAGCTTCAACAAATGTGATACCATATCCATTATGTTCTTCCATCCCTGTAGCAATGGTCAGGATATTGGGATCAAATATAATGTCATTAGGGTTAAAACCAACTTTGTCTACCAATAATCTATACGATCTAGTACATATTTCTACTTTCCTTGCTGTTTCTGTGGCCTGCAAAATTACATGAAAAATAATTAAATTAAATCTACTTTTAACTGATTTCATAGTTTTCTTTTTTCTGTGGAAGAATATTTTGATGAAATTAGTAAAATATTAGTTTTTATTACAGTTTTGGCGAACACAATAGTAAAGAAAATTACAATTTTTCTAGTAGAAACAGTGAAATATTGAACAATAGAACAATGCAGATACTATTTAGATTAAAGCTATTTTCAGTGCATACAACTTAAAAAGATGTGAACAAGAACAATTCTAATTTCTAAAACCTTTTCAAGTTAAAAAAAATATACCTGTCCTTCTTCATCAAATGCCATAATAACAACAGCACCTCCATACTGTTTCACTTTACTGGCTTTGTCTAAGAAATCCTTCTCTCCTTCCTTTAAACTGATACTGTTTACTATACATTTTCCCTGTGTACATTTCAATCCTGCTTCAACTACAGCAAAGTTTGAGGAATCTATACACAGTGGCACCTAAATTTGAAATATGAATTAAATTAACATGTAAGTTAACAGCATGAATTTGCTCCACCATTATAATATAATTAAGCAATTGTGAATGTAGATCATGTTTAAAACTGCAAAAAACCAGAGTAAATAATAAGGAAAACCAAACATGTATGAAGACATGTAGTTAAAAAAAAACACCAGTGTTAAAAAATCTTCAATTAAAACTTATGTCAGATTCCTAAACTGGTGCCCATAGGGTTGTTTGTCTCATGGGCTGCTATTTGAGATGGTCAGACACCTCCATACACATTTTTATATAATATTTCGAGAAACCTGTTTATTTTAACTGATGCATAACAGTATTTAATAGTATGTTTAATATGTGCATGACTCTTTTATTCATCTGTTTTGTTATACATTTTTATATTTGTTTAAAAGCTTACCAGAGCTTACATTTATAGATTTTATACTATACTATTCAAAATAAAAAATTTCTATCTATCTGTTTTGTGCTGTGGGAATTATTTCAAGTTTTGATATATCAAGAAATTGCCAATGGTAGCTGCCTTAATAAAAAATAATCGTGAAATCAAAATTCTTCAAATTTCACAAACCTTCATGAATGCATTACACACATATGTAAATAATATGGTCTTGTAAGCACAATCACAAGTATATAAAACAACATTCCTTTCAACCAATAAATGACACTGTTAGCTAACATTGTTATATCAGGGAGGATTTTGCTTACAAATAAAAATAACTTTAAAATCATTTAAGTTTATCTAAAAATACTTGCATCCCCTTTCATAAATATCATTTTCTACTAGCTCTTACTAAATCCAGCACCTTTTGAAAAAAATTCAGCAAGTAAAATTACTGAAAAAAATCATTGCTGTATTTTACAGAAATTTACTTTTGCAATATCTGGTTCGGATGAAATTAGGTTGACAAACTTTGTCATAGCTTTGATCCCATCCAACATTCCTTCGTCCATATTTATATCTAATATCTGTGCTCCATTTTCTACTTGTGTCTTAGCTATGCTGAGTGCTTCCTAGAAAAATAAACAATAAAATTTAAATAACATAACACATTTAAAAAATTTCACATGCTATGATTTATAAATAAACTTTCTATAAAATTGTCCGTTTATAAATTAAGAAATCATAAAGAAACTAATATTTCAACTCCCTCAGGCAAGTTGATCTTCTATGGCTTTGGCTATTTTTTTGGTCCTTTTTGTTCATATAGCTCTTCAGCATTAGATGTTTTGGTTCTTAAACATCATTGGCTTGCAAATATTTAGCTTTGGGCATTCCTGATAAGGTAAATCCATTAAAGCTCTTCATATTCATGAAATTTATAAAGTGTTGTTTTTGTATTTATTGTGATAGTATAAAAAATTTAAATCTAAAACACATTTTCATTTGATTAAAGGTATGAACCTTTCAATTCTAAATGTTTCTACTATCATTAACATGTTATTCTGCAAATAGTTTTTGAATAATTAAATAAAATTTAAATAACTTCACGTCTACTTACATCATAATCGCCATTAGTTATAAGTCTAGCAAATTTCCTAGAGCCTGCTACATTACATCTTTCTCCAATATTAACAAAGTTTGTAAATGGTCCAATGTATGATGGTTCTAATCCTGTTAAACATAATACAATTTTTTTAACAATTACTAGGAATTGATATTTCTAAGAGTATTCAAATTTTGAAGATTATTCATTTCCTAGTATAATTTTCCTTTAATGTCCAATAGGAAAGCTTAAGGTGTCAGAATGAACTTTCAAGCTTGATACAATCAAAATATGTTTAGGGCTGTTCCAGATTTAAACACATGGGGGACCCCAACCACCTATAGTATAAAATTTTTATTTTACATATAATTCTCACAAAATTCTATAGAAAATGCAACCACTACAATTTATTCATTTCAGTGCCTCCCATCCCCCCACCCCATGATTTTAAATTTGGAATAGCCCTAAAATTTCAACCAAACTTTAATTCCAACAATACAAATAGATTGGTGTTTGATTGATTGATTGAACACCACTTTCAGCACTATTATCTAATCTGTGGTGGTCAATTTTTACTGGTGAAGGAAGCTGGAATACCTGGAGATAACCACATACCTTCGGTAGGAAAACTGACAATCTTAGTCAATTAAGATTGGAGTCAAACGCACCTACCACGTGTGGGTTTCGAACTCACAACCTGAGTGTTGACAGGCTAGTGATACAGTAGTTGGGCTATTAAGACCAATCAGCCACCAAGCCCAACACTCCCCCCCCCCCCCCCCAAAAAAAAAACAAACAAAATAAAACAAACAACTAAAGCTTAGGCAACAATTGCACTAAACATTTACTTCAAAATATACTGTTGACACAGAGATATGTCTTGCCTTATTGTTATTTTGATAGTAAAATGCAAATGTTGAAATTTAAATAGCAATACTTTAACATGTAAGTTATGTAAAATATTCAAAGTCAATGAACCATGACTGAAGGTACATAGTCAAACAATCTCCATGGAAATGAGATGTGCCAGTTCTTATACAACTGCATACCTACTTCTAGTGGGGTTCCCCATAAACTGACCTAATCACAAACTTATACATGTAAACTCAGGGGTTTATCTGGGTATTTTGGGAAAAAGGACCCTGGCCAGTTTTGGGAATTTTTTTACGAAATCTACAATGAAATTGGGAAAACTACAAATGTACCAAAAGTGAGTTTTAGTGTGTTAAGTTCATTAAAAATTATCCTTTTTTTGTGAAAATAAAGTAAGAAACTTTCAAAGGGTTCGTAGTTAAACTAAATAATAAAAATCATAGCATTAAAATTTCTCAATTAGCTGATGATACGACTTTATTTCTCAGTAATAAGAAAGAAATCAAAGCTGCTATGAATGAAATAGAAATTTTTGGATCATTTTCTGGGTTAACTTTGAATAAAAATAAAACAGAGGGTATATGGATAGGAAAACTGAAAAATAGTAAAGATAAGGTAGCCGGGATTAATTGGACAAATAAACCAGTCAAAGCATTAGGAATATATTTTGGTCATAACAGAGAAGAATGTGAAAAATTAAACTGGGAGAATAAAATTGAGAAAATGGATAAATTATTTCATTTATGGGGAAAACGTAATTTAACTTTAATCGGGAAAATTCTTATTATAAAAACATTAGTTTTACCACTTTTCACATTTCTGGCAAATACCTGTACAGTTCCAGACAAATTTAGAAAAGATGTAGAAAGTAAATGTTATAAATACATCTGGGATGGTAAACCAGATAAGGTTAAAAGAAATACCATGATAAAGTCATACGAAGAAGGGGGGTTACAAATGATCGACATACAAAGTTATTTTATGTCTCTGAAAGCATCTTGGGTAAGTAAACTCATTAGTAATGATATTTCAAACTGGAAGTTGATTCCATTAAAATATCTCAGTGTGGTGGGTATTAATTGGTTGATTTTTAAGATGAATTTTGAAAAGAAGAAAATTCTGGAATATATAAAACACATCCCTGAATTTTATAGAGAAGTATTTAAATGTTGGGTAATATCAGGTGGTGGACAGACAAAAAAACCTACCAACTTCACAGAAATAAGAAAACAGGTAATTTGGGGGAACAAACTGATTAATTTCGAAAATAAAACCATTATTTTTGAAAATTGGATTAAGAGTAACTTGATATTTGTCAATGATATTATAGATGACACTGGTAATATATCTCAACATTTTATTCTGCAAAAATTAGACTGCAAGAATAATTGGATTGCAGAAATAAATATTTTAAAAAAAGCCACCCCAAAAGACTGGCTTCAGATGTTAAAGTCTGAAAATTCTATTAAAAGTATTGTAAATATTCCTAGACAGAAACTGATCTGGAAAGGAAATTACATTGAGGCTTCAAGCTTTTCAACAAATATATTATATAAGTCAATTTGTAAAGATAAAATTGAACCATCAATTGGTGTTAGCAAATGGATGCGTATTTTACAAATTAATGAGAACCTTAGTATTAACCAACTATATGTTTTCATGTTTCATTATTTAGAAGAGAATAAGTTAAAAATATATAGATGGAAACTTTTACAATTCATATTACCAACAAAACACTTATTGTTTAAATGGAAACAGAAGAATGACGGTCTATGTAATGTATGTAACGAAGAAGAAGATTATAACCACTTTTTTATTTCTTGTCGATTTTTAGAAAAATTTTGGAAAAGTATTTATGAGTTAATGATAAAATCAAATTTAAATTTTAGAATATCGTTAAAGCAATTAGTCTTCGGATATAAAATTTTTGACAAAAATTATTTTGGTCTGAATTATTTCCTAACAATTTTAGGTTTTTCTATTTATAAATCATATTATGTATCTAATCAGAAATTGACAAATGTAAATGTTTATCAAATTTTTGTTCAAGAATACATTAAAAGATATAACGAAAACAGAACAATGAAATTTAATCCATTACTTAAGTCACTAAAAAGAAGTTTAGACGATTGAATAGAATAAAACATAATGCATTAAAATGTTGTAAAATTGTATTTCAAGAAATTTATACATATTATTATAATATATACATATATACCAGCAGCTGACTACTAACCTGGGTAATCAGTGGAATATAACAGGATACATCAAGAAATGCTTGGTTTCTTGGTGTAACAATGTAACAAGCATATTTGGTGAATAAATATATAATGTCGTTAAAAAAAAAAAAAAAATAAAGTAAGAAACTACATGATTGCTAATTATAATTTCATTTTCTGTTTTTTCTTTCTTTTTAACCTTAACAATAAGGCACTCAAGTTTATCTTAGTATTAAAATATCATGATTTTTAAAGCACACATGCATGTGATAAAAATGTACCACCTTGTTTATCTTCAAAGACAGTAACAGTTAATATGGTTAATATAATATAAATAATTCAGGGATAGAAATGAGATGTATTTTAACTGGCCAAGCAGGCTAACACTTTTTTTAATTCACTTGCTCTACCAGATTTTGACTGGCCCTTCAAAATTGGAAGAAAACATTACCTCTTGGATCTGTAGTTATTTGTTTACACTATAAAAACAACTTATTTCAACATTTTTAGTGATAAAGAAAAGTAATGTCACATTTTATTGGAATTTGACACGAAATTTGTGAAAAAAAAATAATTTTGAGTTTCTGTATAAAACATTTCCTGTTTCTTCTCTGTTTTTCATATATCTTTTGGTTTTCAATTCTTATGTTTATATTTCATAGCCATACTTTGTCATCTGCCTGGATTTAAAAAAAATTTATTTATTGTATTTGATCGGCAAACCCAGAATTAGTCTAACCGCTCCCAGAATCTGATTTGGTATTGTAATTGTCTACATTTCAGGTTTATGGCAGCCATTGTTTGTCGATGTTGTTTTTGTCAGTCAGATATTTTTTTACTCTGATTTACACATTACTAGTTGGCCATTTTCAGGATGTTCCAGTGCTTATACAACTGCATACCAAATATCATTGACCTACCACTAGTGGTTCCCCATAAAAGAGGGACGAAAGATACCAGAGGGACAGTCAAACTCATAGATCGAAAACAAATTGATAACGCCATGGCCAAAAATAAAAAGACAAACAGACAAATAATAGTACAGATGACACAACATAGAAAACTAAAGACTAGGCAATACGAACCCCACCAAAAACTGGGGGTGATCTCAGGTGCTCCGGAAGGGTAAGCAGATCGTGCTCCACATGTGGCACCCGTCGTGTTGCTTATGATAAACTGACCTAATCACAAACTAATACATTGTTGATGCCACTGCCGCAGACGCCGGTAACAGCATACCTGTCTTACTTTTCGACTCCGTCAAGGAGAGACAAAAATGTCTAATGAATGAATTTGATCAAGTAAGGGATCATGCAATGTGAATGTGACACAAATCATTGTTTTGACATAGTATCATTGTTTTGACGTAGTATCATTGTTTTGACATAGTATCATTGTTTGTTTTGATGTAGTATTATTGTTTTGATGTAGTATCATTGTTTTGATGTAGTATCATTGTTTGTTTTGACGTAGTATCATTGTTTTGATGTAGTATCATTGTTTTGACATAGTATCATTGTTTTGACGTAGTATCATTGTTTTGACATATTTTGACATAGTATCATTGTTTTGACATAGTATCATTGTTTTGACGTAGTATCATTGTTTTGACATAGTATCATTGTTTTGACGTAGTATCATTGTTTTGACACAGTATCATTGTTTTGACATAGTATTTTGTGTCATTCATATCTTGATGTATCATGTATATAATTTGATTCTGGTAACTCAGCAAAATCACATCCGACTGCATTTAAATTGAATTTTAACCAAATATTTACACTTGACAACAGAGTCCTGAAATATAGGACACATCATTATAGAACATATATTTTGTGACGGAGTGGTAAACAAAACCCTATCCCTGGTATAGTGATGGTATTATAAACAATAATAAACAAGAATGCATGCATTGTCCTAATAATTATACCCCCACTCATATTTAAAATATCAGAAAACAAGAAGGAGGTGTCTGACTGATCTTAAAAGTACTCATACATTATAACTCATCACTACATAGCTGCTGACTAAATGTGAAGTTATTATGTCAAGTAGTACTGAAGTATTTCAAGTCACTTCATCATATATATATGGAACAATTCAAAGTATCTGCAAAAAAATAGTGGGTGTTTGATAAATCCAAAAAGTGCTCACATCATGCAACTCATTGCTGTCAAGCTGTTAACCAAATTTATAGTCATTCTGTTAAATTATACCTGAGAAAAGTATGACAGAATATTTTTTTGTGGGAACAGATAGAAGGACTAACTGACAAGCGGAATGCATCATAGCCCCACCCTTAGAGTGAGGTATAATAATCTAATGAAGTGAGAATACGTCATTAAATTGTTTATAATTAAAGTAAAATCTGACAAAATAAATTACCACATAATTTCATGTATCCTGACTTGAGGTCTGCTGGAGGTACTCTGGGTTTTTTATTCCTCACTATATCAGCAATAGCCCTTAAAAACAGAAAAGAACATTTTATTAAGATTTTTTTTAATAAAAAAATTATGCATAAAATGTTAGATCATGTTCTATTGTGATTCATTGTTAGATTTATCAATCTGTATAGTTTCATTTCCTCAAAATAGGGGTTTTTACTTTTTACTACCCTCATCAAAATATGGAAAAGTGTATTATCAAAGATGTGTTCTCTTTTCTGGTTTAACACATTTTGTCATTAGCAGTCTGTCATTAGTTATACATAAAATACCTATTCTGTAAGGCATAATTGCAGATGTGACTATCTGAATAAACTGAAATCTATTATGTAGTTCCATATTTCAAATAATAATAATTTACTTTATATGTTCTGGTGTGGTTCCACAACACCCACCAACTATGTTTAAAAATCCATCTTCCGCAAAAGCCTACAAAATATATAACGTTAACAAATGATCTTATAATATACATAAAAACAAAAAACGGTAAACATTTTACAATTTGATGTTAGAAACTAAACTTTTTCATAATTTTTTCTTCTTCTGTCAATATATTCATATTAAAAAATAGATCTATGTTGAATTACAAATACAATATAAAGTATGTAATCTATCATTATTGTTACAGGATTGTTCGGGGTCAACACTACTTGGAATTATAAAGAGAAAAGTAAATTCTATTCTTTGACAGGTAGAAGAGGTGAGATTTTATTTTAGAAAAATGATGATCACTCACTATGCTATAAAGTTTATATGCCAAAATCTAAAATGTTAAGATAAAGTTTGTTATAGCTTATCCTTCTTTTTTGTACCCAACGATTTGTGTGGTTCTCCACAGCGAAATATGAACTATACAATATCTATTCAAATAAAGGAGCAGACGAATGAATTGTTTCCCTCTTCTAACATTAACATGTTGAAGTGTAAGTTGAGACCTCCCTTTGCAATACCTACTTTTATGTGACCAGCCATCATTTCTGGTGTTTCATCATAATCTCCAAATGTGTTTGGTAAACCTTGAAAAATTTAAACAAAAAAATGTTCCTGTTGCAGATTAAACAATACAATTCATATCAATGTTTCGATGTGACAGATCTTAAAACTGTAAATGTAATACTCCAATGGAAATTGTCTAAAGTTTTCTTTTTGTGGTCCATAATGCCAGTATTCAGGTTTTACAATAGCATAAAACAAATTGCTGGTTAATTTCATTTAAAACTAGACGTGAATGATTTTTCATTGATAAGGTAATGTTTAGGATGAAGTATATGTACTGCAATGGTTAGATTTACCAGGGTATCAGATAGATGTTAAAGTCTGATTTTACCTATCACCCAACCAGTTGACTATCAGCAGTCAACATGTACATGTTACCCCTTTTTATCAAAATATCAACAGGTTACCAAGCATTGGTTCTGACTGTTTGTTTTCATGTGATTTTGACCAATGACAAATCAGCCACCTTAATAAGATGATTATTTACCCAAGCAATTGGTGTGTCTGAACAGCCAATATTGCTGTGTAAATAAATGAAATCTAAAACCTTTCAATTCAAAAGGCTGGAAAAAATAAGAAGTGATGTTACACTAAATTGCGTATTGAAATGGATGAAAAGATAGAAGGATTTCCAGAACCACTTATGAGATTCCTGGCATTGGATAAATAATTGAATTCAAATTAGTTATTAAATCGATTAAACCTGAATCAATTATCTCAATCAATGAATAAATTAATTGTTGTTGTTTACTGAATGTCCAGTAGGAAATTTTTAAATTGTTTATGACATTACTATCTAATAATCTTTCTGCAGCATCTCTTTGAATGATCACAAGTGACCACACAATTTTGACTAATATGAATTATCAAGATGGATTAATTGTTGAAGGTCATACAGTTGCCAATAATTGCTTACATCCACTTAATTTGAACTTTGGTGGATAGTTGTCTCATTGGCAATCATACCACATCTCCTTATTTTTATATAAATCAATTGAATCACTTGGAGGCCTAAGTACAACATTACCTGCATTTGGATAACATATGGTGTATGCAGTAGTGTTATTACTGATTGCTTCTATAAATGGTCTCATTTCAACTGCTCCTAATGCACAATTTAAACCCAAGCTGAAAATTGAAGAAAAATCTCTTTTGATTTACTTTCTTTGTAATCATATTCATTTTGGTAACAGATATATGCTAGTTTTTAACATTGGTATCTATGTTGAGTTTATCAACCTCATGCTTTACTTCAAAAAGAAGATTCTGTAATAAAAATATTTTCTGCTATAGCTATACATAGAAATAAAACACTCTGTTTCGTGTCTATAAAAGATACTTCTATATTTTCTCCTTGCTCACAAATATGACATATGAGAGAATCTAGCACACAGATAAAAATATTAGAACAGGCACCTATTGCTTATAACAATAAGTGAAGGAAAAATAAATTCTTGATGTAATTGGAGTCAGGTCTTTTAATAAAAATATCCAACTTTTAATCATCCAAATCAACTTTCAGTTCATTGACTATTAAATATATTAACAAAATTGTATTTATCTGACAGCTTGCCTGCTGTTGACAAATAAGCCACACATTTCTTACAATGCCTGAAACAGTACAGGAACACAGCCTACGATTATTGACGAAAACTAATAAAGTCGCATGTTGCTCAAGGAATCAGAGTTCACGAAAATGGTCGGTCCTGTCGGTCCTGTCGGTCAAAATGAGGCTCGGACCAGTATTTTGAAGGCTATTGCCGGTCCCGATGACCGATGTAAAAACGGCTGTTGTAGTGCATATTTCGGCCCTTTTTTTACATCGGTTATTAGATGTACCGCAACTGTTTCCAACAAGTGTTTACATCGGTTATCAGATGTATCCGCTGCCAATTTCCGGTACTGGTTTACGGATTTATTATAAACAAACCAAAGCGGCGATCTACACGTGGCCTACTTAATTTGTCCATAGAGCCATCCCTGGCAAACAATCGGCGATTGAACCCTACAATGGAGCAAACAAATACTGTAACAGCCGAGAAAGTGATTCAGATGATGAAATGGTTAGTGAAGATGACTTTAAATAAGAACAATCAGAAGACCTGAACTGGTCCTTCATTGTTAATTTGCCGGTGGGTGCGAAGAATAAAACTAATATTAATAAAGTTATTTTTCGATAAAATATGTTATCAATTTTTTCTCAGGATAAAATTGACAGATTTTGTAGGACTGGCTAAAATTTTGTAGGACTGACAAATAATCATGCTTTGTCAGTCCCATGACCGACGGGTCAAAATAAGTTTTCGCGAACTCTGAGGAATCTCAAGGTGAAGAAACAAATCAGATCATACATATTTACACATTGTGGAGATTAATCTCTTATTCTTAAACTACCACATACATATTTCTAGACATCAACATTATTTTGCATATTGATGTCTCATCAATGGAAGCACAAACACCAAACAGACCAAAAACAAGAAAAGTCGTAATCCATTAAGGTAGACACAATGCCAAATTATACATACTTTAACCAATTCATAGCTTACCACATAGGATTAGCATGAGATACACTTATGATTAATGCTTCTGTTGTCTTACCAGATAATGTCGACTACTCTTATCTACAATGGTTCCCGATACTTACCACATAGGATTAGCATGGGATACACTTATGATAAATGCTTCTGTAGTCTGCCCAGATAATGTTCGACCACTCTTATCTACAATGGTTCCCGATACTTACCACATAGGATTAGCATGGGATACACTTATGATAAATGCTTCTGTAGTCTGACCTGATAATTGTGGCCCACTCTTATCTACAAAGGTTCCAGATACTTACCACATAGGATTAGCATGGGATACACTTATGATAAATGCTTCTGTAGTCTGCCCAGATAGTGTTCGCCCACTTTTATCTACAATGGTTCCAGATATCTGTAAATATAACATTTTAAAATATAAGTAGTCTTATCTGAAAAGTTAATGTAATGAAAGCACTAAACCTGACCATAAATTAAAATCGTATAAACAAAAATATTTTATCTTTTGATTGGGACACATTTAATGTATACATCTTACTAATTTTATTTTAAAGTTTCCAAAAATATCTTATACCACAAGCTTGAACATTAAAATGTATTAAATACACATCATACATGTACATAGTCAAAATTTAAAACATAATGATATTCTGTATAATTACAAAAATCAAGTCAACAGAAAGAAGTGAGACAACTTTCATTTTAATACAGTGAAACTTTACTAAATCAACTTTTAAATAGGTGTTTATGCAGGTTAAATAACTAAGTAATATTCACTGCATGTCCTGATACAAAAGTTCAGTTTCCACAGGTTTCCAGTTTTTTCAGGGTTTGGATTAGACAGGTATCACCATATACTAATCAGTAATTGTACATGGTGAACCAACACCTGGAGCGGTGATTGTACAGTAGGGTAACAATCGTGGATACCTTTAGGTAATCACAGTTGTCATTGAAAAAGTACTGATCAGTATAGATTCAAAAGTTTTCAAAGGGTTTAAACGACAGTAAAGTACATGTCCTATCCATGTAATATGATATAAATACAATGAAATAATCATATTTGTATCGGTTAATATAAGTCTACTAATAATTTCAAATTGAGACAGAACTGTTGATTCTTGTTTAGAGCTTTCAAAGATAAAAAATAGTGGCAGCTTACATCAATGGATTGTCTTTTTTTCTCCTAAAATAGGATATAAGTTTATCAGGGATGTAGGCTATATTAAATTAGTTTAAAACGATATGGAATATTTAATTTCATCTTGAGATTTTAAGAGTATTGGATATTTGGTATCATATTAAATAGCAAGTGTGTGTAAAAAAATTGTCATTGATCTAGTAGTTAAAATATAACTATATACATGATATAAAACATGTACATTCACATCATTTCTATGGGCAGTTTCTAAACGACAGAGAATTTCATTTCACACATTCTTCGTGTTCTACTATCATAAACTATTGGCTACTTACAAATACTGGACACTCTATGTTTTCTGTTTGGAAAAGCTTATTTACTGCAAAAATAGCTGCCTGAAATAAAGAATTATGTATTACCCATGTTGCTACTGCATATCCTAATGATAATAACATATTGTCATGGATGAGATTTTGTACCAGTGTGCAGAATGTATTTAATACTTTCGACTACATTGGTTGTCTTTGTGTGTATCCTTATTCATGTTATCATACTTTATTGATAGAGTAACAAATTGCATTTAAAACAATAACATAGCAGCTGTCAACATACTGATGATTTTCATCTAATTCAAATTTTGCACGACTATCCATGAATATGACTTAGCTGTTCAGTAATGTTAAAAGAAATTATCTGCATCTCTTATGCTGAGTTTTAAACTTGAGATATTTCAAAGTTTAACAAGAATTTTGTCTAATTAGCATGTACTCTTTCATATTTTTCTATTATCTAAAATGTAATGTATCAGTTTTTCAATTTTTAAATTGACCAACCAATTCAAACTTTTCATATTTTCCACCCTATATTATCACATAACCAGGATGTTAAGAATACATTTTCTTCAGCCTTACAAAACTCAGCTAGAACTGTTAAAACAGAAATATTTACTTTTCCATAAGCACATTAATCAAAGTTAATAACTTTATAAATTAAATGTGAATGTTATTGATATAAGTATGTTGATACAACCTGTTTATACCTTAGAGTTAGCTGTATCAAATATAGTTTCAATAAGGAGTACATCTGAACCGCCATCCAGTAATCCTTTAGCTTGTTCATAGTAGGCATCTACCAATTCATCAAATGCTGAAATTCAAAACAAAACTATATTCATAAAAAACATTAAGCCAAACACAACACGGAGAAGAAAAATTCTCAGCAAATTTAAATATTTACTACAAAAAACTTATTGTCAGTCAAGACTGTGCTAAAATAAATTAATGAATCAAGAGTTGTGTAAAGGTTACTTGACACTGCTGCTGGTGGTTAGTTTTAACTAAATGTCCTTCACACTTTAAGTGATGAATAAACTAAAGAGAAGAACAGGATCTAGAAAATGAAGTTTTACAGAACTATTTTAAATGTGCACATTATGTATGGTAATGCACAAGATCAAGAACTGTAATGAATAATATAAGATTGTTGATGTTATGACATCACAAGAATTTCATAATATGCATAGTTTACATAAAAATTAAGAAAATCTGTGAAATTATGCCGTTTTCCGAACATTTTCTTTCTGGAATCATCGGGTGCAACATAATAATTTAAGAGTAGCTGTATTATGCTCTACTTACATAATCTCAACAAATATAAAGTTGTTTCTTGTGTGTGCAATACTTTTCAAATACTTAAAATCCTAAATATACTTTAAAGATGATATTTAACAAAGGAAATCAAGAAATTTTACAATATATACTTATTTCGTCATGCTTTGTTGCCATGATAACTCATCAAATGTGACTTTTTTTATTATTCTGCCAATGCTTGAGTTTACCGGAAGTCTAAACATCACACAATCAGAGGTAAAAACCAAAGTTTTTACGAATGTTTTAGAGTTATCATTCTTTGGCTACTTTAAAAGAGTTGAATTTGAACAATATAGTTTTAATACATTCTTATTTATTTTGGGTTGGTGATAAATACAAGCCAGTGGCAGGTTTTTGGCTGACCCAGCAGTGTTTGAGAACCAGAAAGTTTACTTAACATGGCCCATTTATACCTTTACACTTACTTATATTTCTAAAATCTGGTTTTTCTACTGATGGTGAAATTGACAAGGTTCTATTTGTTGGTCCCATGGCTCCTGCAACATACCTCTGCACACCTGAAAAAAAAGTTGACTATGTTCTTCTAAAATGCTCTGGCCAACATTTGTAGATCAAAAGAAAGTCAGTATATACCTGTACATGCATGTTAAACATTCTCACCATATGAAAAATGCAAATTGCTCAGCAAATTATACTAAGTTAACTATTTACCAAGGAAACAAAAACATGCAAAGAATAAAAGTAATAGCGGGCAGTAAACTTTATTCTTTATTATTTCTCATTATCTTTTTATACCATCTAAATTAAATTTATTCACAAATTAAGAATAACCAAAATCCTTTATTTAAACTATAATGAAACTATAAGGAAAGAAAATGTGGGAAATAACTTGGACTCAATCCCCCTGGTTTATCTGGGATCCCATTATATGATAACTATTCTACTGGTACCTGTGGCTGCTGTAACATCATTGGCAGCCCTTTTTGCTATTTTTGCAGACTCATGATTCAGTCTGTATACCTAAAACATATAACAATTAAATGCTGAGTTGTTACCTTTCTGTTACTGTATTGAATTTCCTTTCAGAACAAAAATTAAACTAGAACAGACAAAATGCCTAATACTCTAACCCTCTCGTAAAATTTAATCCATATTCAATTTGTATATATATATATTTATATATATATATAAGGATCTAACAATGTGATTTTTACTGAAATGTGAAAATGCAATTTAACGATTTTCTTTCTATATAATTGTATACCATTTCAAGTCAAGTAAGCCATTTTTAAAATTACCAAAGGATGACTGGGTTACGCAAACAAACATTTTGTAAAAAGTTTTAAATAACACAAAAAAAGGCTCATGATCGGTTTTTTTAAGTCTTTAAAATTATGCTAAAATTTCAAAAGATTCGTATCAATTTGATGAATGAGTTGCCAAAGGCTATTCAGCAGACAACATCAATCAATTAAAACACTTGGAAGTGGTATGTTAAAGTAACTGAAGTTGGTTTACATAAGATTTCAAGTTATTAGATAGAAGCCTAAAATTTTCCTTTTTTCTGCATAGTTCATTAACCGCACTTGAAATGTAAAAGACATATGTCAACAAAAACAACAAACATTTCTATATACCTTGACCAGGGCTTGCTTGTACAATGGAACAGACACCAAAATGGTCAGAATCCAAATATGTGGCTGGCTTCATATAAAATGCTCGGCCTGAAGGAATTTCATATACTTACAAGTAGTTTTAAAAGAGAACCTATTTTATAAGCAGAAATGTTACAAGTGCAATATAATATTTTAATTCTGTGCAGCTGTATGAATGTTCAATGAAATCTCATTATCAGTCTACATGTATGTGAATAAGCTTAGAAATCAGGAAAAAAGTAAGTCATTTCATACCATATGTTCTAAACCATAATCTGCTTGTGCAATGGTGGTGCCACTGAATGTGTTTGTCTCCACGAAATCTGCTCCTGCTTCTAAATAATCCTGAAATGTAAGATCTCAAATGTAATTCAATTCTGTAATCATTCTTGCAATTCTCCAGATTAAATTTTATAAAAATGTCAGAATAAACAACTGTATCATGAGTCCTCATGTAACATGATATGCCCATCTCCATCTTATTCTAGCCATTAAATATCCATAAATCAGGGAACAAATTGAAAAAAACACATATGATAAAAAGGCAGGAGGCTTTTGTTGAAAGGTTTCTAAACTTTTTTTATAGAAAGGGGAAAATTGAGCAAGACATGAATTGTCCACATATTGCTAATTTATAAAAGAAAGTTCCATAAATTTTGGAACAACTTATTAAAAATCACCAAAATCTAAACATGCTAAATGTTAAAATATTTTCTGTGCTAAAAAAATATCTAATTTTTGAAAGTGGTAATAGGAAAACTATTCAACCCTCAGCAGGGTTTAAGCTAGGATTTTGAGGGCTTTAGTCACTTTTGCGCGAGATGAAATCAACCTTATTTTGGGTAACAGCAAGGGACCAAGGATGTATATTACTAGCTATACATCTTTGTCAGGCTTTGAAGGGCTTAGACATGCTAGCCATTTATTGCATGATTTGACTGATGTGGCCCTTAAATATGAAGTTTATGATATAGGATCCGGAAATCTAGTTCTTAATTTCACTTCAGTTTAGTTCAATGGATATTCCTGATCAACAAAAGTTGGATTCCATTTTTGTAAAACCAGGAATAACAGCATGAATGAACTTGTAACAACTAATTCACTACATAATCATTATCCTTATAAAAAATTTAAATCAATTTTGGAATTCATTTGTATTAAGTTGGAAACAAGGATTTGTACAAATCCTTATCATGCTTATTGGAACAATTCTAACAACTGTAAAGAGGTTGTAAATTAATCAAGAATAGATCATCACGTTTATTTTCGATTTTCAAATGAAATGAAAACAGGAAGTGACACATGGATAATAAATTCAGAATGAATCCGGATTCATCTATGGATTGGTTAGTGTTTAAAAAAAGGCAGGAAACTATCCGTATCGTTTTTTAAAATCAAATTTGCTAAGTAAGAGATATATATTTGTCTCTCTTTGGATTTGATACTACAGTTAAAAGGCTTGTATAGTCCGCGGTTTTATTCTCCAAAATTGAACCTGCCAGAAGGGGTGCGGACTATAGAGTACAATAAGCAAGAAATCAGAGAAAAAAAAATCGTGAGATGGTTTGTTTACGTTCCGCCTTGTTTGTTATTGATATTGTAGAGGGCGCTTTTATCATTTTTCAAACAAACAATTTTACCTAATCCATAGTAATAAGTTATTTTTATTCAATATCAAATTAAAACTGATAAACTTAAAAGTTAAACACTTCATTACAAATTTCTTGTTTCTTTTCAATGCATTGATTAAAATAAACTGGTATCTGCTTGAATGAAACGATACCAAAAAAGTAAAAAAGACAACCGTAAACCAGCTTACGATGTGAAAATTACAAAACCTAATCGGTTATTATTCGTTCCGTTTCAGTGTTTCATACTGACAAATATGTTTTATATTAGCTTAATACCCTTCAAACATTAATGTAATAGATATATTAAACACTGTTTAACATAAAGATGGAACTGTTTTACTTTCAAAGTCGTATTATAGTGATATCTATGATGTACATGTACGGATTTCGACTCTCACCGTTTTTTTTTCTTCTTTTACACATGCCATTCAAACTTCTGGTTTAAACATACACAAGTTTCTAAATTGTTTTTTGTTTGATTAAAACTTATTTTAACAATCGTGAAGTGTTCTAGAATCATTTACAAGCAGTTTCAGCTTCTGTTTGATGATGGAAAACAGGTTTTTCTAAGAAAATACCGCAAACGACCATGCACGATTTGAAATTTCCGGAGTTTCATTAGACCTTTTCTAACAGTTACAAAAAGTTTTTTTACCAGAAAGTTCAAGGGGAGAAAGGGGACTATTCAAGCCCGATTACGGTAAATGATTTCGTATTTTACATTTTTAGCATCTATAAATTCATAGGGAATACTGTCAAGCATAAGCAGTACATAGTAAAGGAAGCACCTGGTTGACTGGTGAAAACATTTCTGAATAAAGCTTTATCTTTTTAATCGAAATTGTCGTAAGTTTTTGATAAAAAGTTAAATCAAATTTATGACAAAAACACATTCAAATGACGAAACTACGACAAACAAACTGCAAGTTGTGATCCTTTGAGAAATATTGATATTAAAATGCGAACTGGATGGGGAAAACAATTTTTTTTCAAATGACGAAACTACGACAAATGAACTGCAAATTTTAATGGGGAAAATAATTATGATGGTCAAATATGATGTTTATAATTAACAAATTAGTGACCCATCCGATGGCGATAAGCGGATCACCTGTAATCACAACTTATAACACCTGTTGTAAATGTTATTTAGCTGAGTGTCATAAACTTGTCAGAAACATGAAGACAGGTAGAATTATAGTATTTTCATGCAAAAATATTTTTACACTTTCCAAATTTAAGTGACGAAATTGATTTGAAATACTTTCGTCATTTTGAAAACCGTTTCGTAAACCGTTTCGTAAATGACGAAAATGACGAGCGCTAGCAAAATCACTGCCCTCAGGAGGAAGTCTCCAACAAAAATCAAAAATGATGAGAACAAAAAGTTCTGCACTTTTAAATAGATATACTGTATATCTGAACAGGCTATAGTCTATTCAAAATATGTAAAAAAAAAAGCTGAGCCATTCTTGCATCTCTAGTTTTTATCGTAAGAATATGGATTTCAGTCAGAGTTGGTTCGCATCCGATCCATGATGCATGTCCGATCCATAGTTTGTATAAATATTTCAATGACTGACAAAAGAAAATAATGTTTGACAAGCAATTTGGAAAGGAAATTAATGTTTTAAATGCAATAGATGGATGAACCATGAACTATAGGCAATTTTTCGTTATATTCTAATAAAGTTACTAATTTATTTTACCGAAAAATCAGATTGTTGTGAAGTTAGCTCTCAATTAAAGTACGGGAAGCAATAAAAAATACTTGTTAAAAAGTTGTTTCTCTGAAATAACATACAACCAATCTGTAAAGTCAATGCTTTCAACCGTTTCTAAAGAAATAAATTGTTTGAGTCTTTGAATTTCTTTACTTATAATTGAGAAATTACCGTTTCATCAACTTGGTAAAAATCAAAAATTGCAGACGACGAGAGCGACTGGAAGCAATTGTTGTGAACACCCTAGCGACTAGATGTCACTTTTGATAGTCGGCAAAAGCGAAGTGATTGATGGGAAAGTGACTTCTTTGCCTTAGTCGTCTGGTAGCATGACCTGTACCAACTAAAAAAGTGTCTGAACTAATCAAGCTATTAGCATGAATATCATCAACATAAAATAACAATCAGTTATTTATAAATACATTTGTACCTTATGAATTTGATAAATTATGTCTGGTTTGGTCAAACTAAGCAAATCGTTGTTTCCTTTCAAACTTTTGGGATGATCAACAAATGCAGTACCCCTGAAATCTTCCTCCTCAAAACGCTGCTGCTGAATCATGGTTCCCATTCCACCATCAAATATCATGATTCTTTCTAACAATGTCTTCTCTAAAGAGTTTTTCACTGAAAACATATATTATTCTTTTTTAACATTATTTTTGTAGAACATGTATATTTATCAAAAAGTTTAAATAATCAACATACAATACACTCATTAATCATATCAAAGTGAATCCTTTGCCAATCATTTTTTTTTTTAAGAAAAAATCTTCATATGATATAAATTCAAGGTTCAAGACCCATTTCCAAAAGTTACTGAACCATTTTTGTCTTTTGATATAATAGGGAGGGAAATATTAATATGAAATGAACATGCCATTGTGTACTTATACATGAGGAAACATCATTCACAGCTATTTTCTTAATATGCCGATTCAAAATGTATGAAATATTTGCCACTGGGATAAACCGATAACCAAAATGCAGACGAATTTTGTAAGGGTGGATAACTCAACAAATATCAGCTGTTTTGATGTTTCATAATTTTTTTCTAAATTTTCTAAGCAAGTACAAACCATTTAAATAAATTTCCTGGCTGTTTGCGGCTGGAGGCATTTTTGTAGTGCGTCTGACTGTCTTGTTTTACTTCGATTGGTTTGAAAAATTATGTTTTCTGAGACCGTTGTCTTTTCACGTCCGAACAGTCCGCGGTTAGACAACCAAATGCCGGATCTTCTTACCCACAATTCAATCAAACATTTGCGCTTGCGTTACGAAAGCGGAAATTACGTCTATTTTGAGTCGTGGTGGAAAGAAACATTGAAACACAAGTCACTTTCTGTTTATTTCAAGTAATATTGTAACTAGAACCATTTTTATTATATGATATTTAATAGCTTAAAACGAACGAAACAATACCCACTTTAACTAATTTTTCAAAATAGTTCTCCTCACTGTATAGATACTATTTGACAGCTGTCACTCACTTTATACACAACTCGTGAACTGTCATTCTGATTTCGGGATTCATAGTTCGTTTGGTATTTTATTTTGCAATTGACATAAATTTTAAAATCAGTCCAGTTAGCAGTGCTATATAAGTAAGCTACACGGGGTTCTCTTTAAGGTGCGTACATGCTTCCTGGACTCATCATTTTCTCCTGGCACTCCATACATGCCATATCAATTATCATGAACCTGTGACTGTGTCAGTGGATCGCATAGAAGCTTTCATGTCGATCCGGCCCCATATTTAAACTTAAAGTCGATCAGGCCCCAATATAAAAAAAATTTCTATAAGGTATAAAAATAAAGATATATATGAATTGTAATTCATAAATGTTTATGAATTTTATAATAATATAAAAGATGAACGGTAAAGAAGTTGGCTTTTGACGAATATTTGTATATTTAATTGTCATAAGATGAGACATTTGTTTGAATATTTTTTTGAAATTTATATTAAAATTTTATGTAGAAAAATAATATTATTTTAATATGAAATATTTGAATTCAACTCGATTTATCACCTTAAATGAATACAGATGCTTATACAGTATAAAACAATTATGTTGATTATGTTTTTATAACAAGTTTTCAAGACAGTTGGGCATGCATAGTTATAATAAAAACATATATAACAGAATTTAGTACCATCATCAGACAGTTGTTGAATAAACATCCCAATTATAGACTATACTGATTTCATTTAAACAAGTCATAATTATATGTTCCATTGGATTGTTAATATCTATTTATCTCTTCTATGTGTGAATTAAATAAAAACGTTTTTCCCCCATGATATTCAAAGGTATCATGGAAAATAAATTTATATGTATATGCTGATGCTGGTTACAAACAGTACCAATCATACTAATTTTCATGTCGATTTAAAATAATTTTAAAAGTTACTCCAATATACATGATATAAGGCATACCTCACTAACCTGCTGTCACATGTCATTAATCATAGATACTTTTTACAAATTCCATTTATCCTGATTCAAATATGTCACCACTGTGACCAAATCCTCCGAAGTTTATGTAAATTATTCATTATTTTATGATGGGGCCGGATCGACGTGGGACAGATCGACTTAGGGCCAGATTGACTTGGGGCCGGAACGACCTTATACCGCATAAAAGCCTAAAAGTCCCCTTCACAGTTAATGTAGCCATATTGAATAGGGGGTAGATTTTTTTGGAAAGAGGTGAAAATAGTTTGAAAGTACGGGAAATCCTATGCATGTTTCCAATCAACTGTTCTGTTTCAATGATGTTTTCCGGTATTTTTCAAACTATTTGCACCTCCATTAATGAAAATCTGCCCCTATTCAATATGGCTGCAATAACAGTGAATGGGCCTATTATAAAGTTTCCACTGTTAAAATTTATTCAAAAACATCCTTTTTGTAAAAAAATTTACCAGAAATTGACTTCCGTATTCATTAACCCTTGCTGCTTCTATATAAATATATATATTACATTAACCCAAAGATCCTTGAATTGGTGGAAGTACAGTATGATAATTAAGACAGTTCCAATCAGAACTATTTGAGTAACTGGACAACAGACTCACCAGAACAAGCTGAGACTCACCATTTTGAAAAGTGATGAGTCCAAGGACTCACCTCAAAATATCCTAGTGAAAACCCAGGTATATTTTTCAGGATTCCAGCAAATCACTTACCAGATTTGTGTCTTGGTCATAGAAAAGATATACAGACGATACCTAGAGTATATCAAAACCCTTTAACAGGTCGGGATTCTCACTGTTCCTATGTTAGGGGAATTGTTGGGTGTCCACAAACATTTTTAACCTGCCACATTATGTGTGTGCCTGTCCCAAGTCAGAGGCCTGTAATTCAGTGGTGGTTTGTTGCTGTATATCATATTCGTTTATTGTTATACACATAAATGAGGCCATTATTTTTCATGTTTGAATTGTTTTACATTTGTTATAGCTTGTTATTGGATATGGGTTTTTATATTATACTGGGTTTTATACCCCAAAACAGGTATTGATTTACAGTGATAAAAAAATAGAACTTTTAGATTTCAGAATTTTTGCTGTCATTGCGCAAACATTAGGAATGCCCATCAGACATTGTCAGATATTCAAACAATACCAGAGAGGTAGTTTTATAGGTTTTAATGATTTGGAAACTAAAATTAGTGCAAAATGGCAATGAAAAAACATGGATCCCTTAAAATGATTACCGGCATAAAAAATGTTGTCACCAGACACCAGTTCCACACCTTTTGATGTCCCGTTGCGGCGGAGGGGGCATTAAGTGTAACCCTTGTCCGTCTGTACATCCAAAAATTGGTTTCCATTCTCTAACTTTAGTTTGCCTCAACCAAAAGTTATGAAACTTATACACAATGCTTATTACCATAAAACACAGATCAAGTTCGAATTTGGGTGGTGTCATTTTTACAGTTCTCTAGTTATGTCCCTTTATAACATTATATGCAAGCAGGGTATCATCTGTGTCCCATGTACATGGGACACATTCTCCATTTATTTCATAAATGCATCACCTTTTTTGGATCGTTCTCTAAAGTCAGTTCATGCATATAAGATCAATAATTATATATAAAACTATTTAGATAAAGGTTTCCTTGCTCATCATCTTAATCATTAACCATTTGTAATGCCTTCCCAACTTTTAAGAGCAAGCATAACAAACCAGTGATTAGATATAGGAAGATGTAGTATGAGTGCCAATGAGACAACTCTCCATCCAAGTTACAATTTATAAAAGTAAACCATTATAGGTCAAGGTACGGCCTTTACATTTAACATGTTTAAGCCTCGGGTGAAATTTTTTATTCTGAATACTGCAAAACTATTAATTTGTATATAGTTTGAGCATGTTAAGAGGAACTACTTGTGATAGATCAATGATATTTACTGTAAAGCTGCATTACTATCAGTACTTATCAGTATGACGCCTATTTCAAGGCCCTGCCCCCAAGGTCATGGTCCAGTAGCTTTGAATTAATTTTACAATTCTCAGTGTTAAGTTTTCTGCTTAAGTCAATTTGATAGGAATCACTTGTTTTTTTTTGTGATAGATATTTTCTATAAAGTTGCATTTTTAGCAGTACATCTCAGTTTGTCGACCATTTCGAGGCCCTGCCCCCTAGTTCATGGTCCAGGGAATTAATTAGCAATGTTGCTGTCCATCAGATGGTCTTTTTCTGAATTTTCTGCCGACAGGCGAGACATATCTCTGTGTCAACAGTTTCTTAATTAACTTGCTTATTGTCTAGTGTGCATGTGAGTAAGCTTTTAATTCATATCTCAAATGATTCAGATGCATTTTTGATGATGCTGGCTTCCAAAAAGTTGTTGCCAGAAAATTTGTAAGGGTAAACAAAATTTATCTGGATTCAAAATATTTACACAAATGTTCATGTTCCCCAGTCATGCCAGTATTTTTTTAAATCAACTTATTCCTTGATATAAAGTCAATTCATGCATACATTTGTTTGTACATGTAGCTCAAATATAAATAAAAAAATTCATATAAAGGTTTTCTCTCTCATCATCGTAAATTTGAAAAGCCTTTCTATTAAACTATAATAGCAATCATAACAAAATCTCAATATGTGTTTTAGAAGTACTTAGCTTTAAGTATTCATTATGATTCGAGAGGCCATTAGTACTTAATAAGTTATCGGATCCACAGAAGTCATTACCTATTCTATCATCAACATGATAAACATAACAAAGTCTAGATGGCATACTTCCATACTACACATCAATAAAAAAAGTTCAAAAGGATTAATATCTATAAATGTTTGTCACTACACATTGTCATGAAATTTGTTTATGTGTAAAGTATTTTGATCAAACTTGATGTAAAATGACCTATGTATTATTCAATTGACAGTATATTGTGTTATTATTACAAATGTAAAGATTTGATTATGATGTCAGTAGAAAAATTATTAAGATACTTATAAACTTCCTGTATAAATGTGATTACAGTATTACAAACCAGTAAGAATGCTGGTATAAGTTTATAATTTTTTTGGTCTAAGCCCATTTTTTAGCAGTTTATATGTAAGAAAACTTTGAGTAGGATGCTTTCAACAAAGATAAGGTGATATAAATACAGGATATATGTACTAAGTCTACCAAAACATCTTTATTGAAAAAATATATTGATCTTAAGCTGAAAAATAGCACTTCTTCCAACATGTCCAAGTGCTCTGACATTTGTTAATGGAGTAAGACTTAATACAAATATAATCATAATACTAGAGAGATAAATAACCAGGATGTTTGCTATGGTGACATACTATTTGTTTAATACCAATTTACATATAAGTATGTATACATACAATGTATATATGTATATTCTTCTTCATCTACTTATATGATAGAAAAACCTCCAAAATGGCAAAATTCAGTGATATTTCATTACTAACTGAGTACATACATTTTGTAGTTAGATGATTGTGTAAAACTATGTTTCAAACTTTCAGTGAATAAACCTAAATTTAATTAAAATATTTAGCAATGTTTAGCATTTTATTTCTATGTTTGAATTTTCTTTTTTTGACAGAAAATTAAAAGTTACAGATAGCCTTATTGTAAATGCTGTCCAATGATAGCTAGACGTAGGAGAAATAATTCTGGGTCTGAATTAAAACAAGAAAACGGTTTTGTACAACACAGTGGAAACACATTTGTAACCAGCAATCCAACAGTTCCTACTACCAAGGCAGTTGTTGAGCCAGAAATGTCATGTCGTGACCGTACAGGGGAGTTTTTATCAGCATGTAAAGTTTTACAAACAAGACAGGTAATTTATAATTTATAATCACTGTAACATATACATATACATAATTGCAGTGTATAATTAGCAGAAAACATGAGTGATTTAAACTTGTAAAATGCAATCAGTTACATGTACAGTACACACAGTTGATTCAGTCAACAATATATTCTAATATGTGATATTTAAGAACAATTGCTCTAATTCACAGTGAATCACTGAACACCAGGGTCCAGACCTGGAGTCAATTACATACAAAAGTTATTAATTATTATTACATACTGATTTTTAAGTTAATCACTTTGTGTGTACTGTGTGCTAAAATAACATGCATAATGATGTCAATGCTGTACAGACTTTAATAGATCAATTGTAATAGGCCGGCAATACAATTCTGACTATAAAGATATGTTATTATCTGAAGGCTTTATTGTAAATAAGACATCATAATCTCATAACATGCATAAAGACTCATATTATTATCATTATTCATAAATATTGTGTTGTGTATGCTCTCGGCTGTTAATAATTTTGTCATATTTTTAATCGGGTTTTCCGAAGCAAACTGCAGGTAGGTGGCTGTCAACAGTTTCTGTGCAATTACTAATGAATGATTTAACCAATGCTCTTTAAATTTTAAAATGTTGTGATGACAAAATGGAGATCAAGTTTGATAAACAGATTTTTCACTTTTCTGCTTAGGAGTTGTGGTCCTTGATATATTCATGATATTGGAAAATGGCACTTTATGTCATTTCTGTGCAATAAAATATGAACCCTTCAACTAATGCATTTCAAATTTTATTTTGTTGCTACTGATGACAAAATAAAGTTCATGTTTAATTTTGACCATTCTCACTTTTACCGTTCAGGACTGAAGATATGGTCCATGATACATGTTGATGGGAAAATGTCGTTTCCATGCAATTTCTTATGAACAGTTCTACCAATGCTTTTCAAATTTAATATGTTGTTACTTACATCAAAATAGCAGTCAAGTTGAAATTGAAGATTTTCACTTTGGCCTTACAGGAGTTATGGTCCTTGATAGATTGAAAACTTGCATTTGATGTCGTTTCTGTTCAGTAACTTGTGAACCATTCCACCAATGCTTTTAAAATTTTGAAATGTTTTTACTAATGACAAAATTGAGGTCAAGTTCAATATTGATAATTTTCACTTTTTCTGTTCAAGCGTTATGGTGCTTGATAGATCAGAAAATGGGTACATAACGTGGCAGGTTAAACAAACCCGAAAGCACCTTCAAAATGCAGAAAACACAGTTAGCTGTCAATTTGACAGCTCATTTCTTGATTAATGTATTTTTTGATTGCTCTAGTACATTTGTATGTATGTGCTTTTTGCTAATAACTTCATTCATTCATTCAATACAAGGATATTTGCCTAGAATTAATTAAGTTTTTCTTTGATTAACAGATAAATGGAGCCATTCAAAGACCAAGTCATCCTCTGAGACAAAGAAGTGAATTTACACAGATAGCTAAGTTTGTATTCAGTTTGGTTTTTTTTTGGTGTTTAGAATTTATCTAGAATCATTTATACTTGAAATTGTTTTCTTGTCAGGATTATGGAGTTTTGAATTCCACCACACTCTGCTATAAATAAAGGCTGTTGTATTAAACATATCTAACCTTAGAATCAAGGCTTCCAAAACGGTCATATTTGCCGGACAAATGTAAATTTATCGGACATTGTCTGACTGGGCCAAGCATGAAACGGACATTTTCAACGTTCATGTGATTACGAAAAATCAACCATTTTGACTTGACCTTGTGCCTTAAACAGACACACTTTTCAGTGTCATTAAAGTGGCAGTACTCTATAAACAAGCCCTACTATAATCCCCTCTCATTACAATCAAGGTTAAGTGTCTAACAGGTGAGATTTACCTGTGATCACCTGTGTCAGGTAAACTATTTGTGCCAGACATCAATCGATCTTTTTGGAAGTTATTTTTTATTCAAATTAAAAACATTCCTGGTCTAAATCTAACTACTTTTTAGCAAAACAGATTGAGACTATCAGAAAAACGTATTTAAAACGATAAGATCATAATTTAGACGCAACAGGTATACTATTTTGTACCTGACGTTGATCAGTCTATTTATTTAAAAGTTATATTTAGAACAGTTTACGTCAGAACAATGATTAATATCAAAAGTCAAGTTTAAAATCGTTTTTGTGTCACTCATTGTTTATATGGAGCCCAACTGATTAAAATGCTTGCCTTTTGTTACTGCCTTTTGTTACTAAGTCTTAAGGGACTGAAATTGGGATAAGACAAAAAATGTCCGGCTGGCTCAAATATTTTTTGGAAGCCCTGCTTAGAATCCTTTGATTTGAAGTTGGTGAGTGTCTTAAACTTATCGTGGCTAAAAGTCTTCCCTATTTGTATTTTTTTTGTAAAACAAAGGTGACTTATTATCTTTAGTGCATGCTGGTTACAGCTTATATTTATAGAATACTGGTATTTTTGTTTTAAATGCTGACTTTAGCAGCAAGAATATCCAGTGAGCCCATTGGACATTTACTCTAGACACATTTGTCAATTTTACTTTACTGTTTATAATCTATTGAACAACACTCATTGATGCATTGAATATTACAATGTATTAATAAAAGTGTACAATTTCAGGCGTATAGGAAGAGACCTTGCTAATACTTTTACAAAGTTAGAAAAACTGACAATATGTGAGTATATATCTATATAAAACACTTTGATGTGGAGTTGTAGTGGTTTTAAGCAGTATGAATAAGATCATTTAATTCAAAACACTAAGGACATTTTAATTATTTACCAGGTTGGTTATTGTTCATGTGGCCCATTTTCAATTTCTATGAAGAGAGAGTGGGGAATTCCAAAATTCAAAAAATAATTTGATTGCTTGTATTCTAGAACAAGCTTCAGAAAGCCTTAATTTTTATTGTGACAATTTTAAAATTAACATTATCATTCTATTTGTAGACAGTTTAAAGCCAGAATATGTACTTTTATAATGTGTAAATCTGTAATATATAGTAACAAATCATTTAATTTACTGTATTATAATTTATTCTATTCTATTTATTTTTAATTAAGTGGCAAAAAGAAAATCCTTATTTGACGATAAGCCAGTTGAGATACAGGAATTAACATATATTATAAAACAGGACATTGCTAGTTTAAACAAACAGATAGCACAGTTACAACAGTTTGTACAACATCACAAACAGCAGAATGGAAAACATCTGCAGACTCATTCCAATACAGTTGTCGTGTCATTGCAGGTATAATAATGCACTTATGAATGAGAACAAATTAATGCACTTATGAATGAGAACAAATTATATTATATAACGGTTTTACTGCCTGAACTACATGAAATTTTTATAAACTGAAAATGTTAAACACTGTGGGACACATATATAACGTTGCAGCTAGACTTATAGAACTGTGGGCAAATAATATAACACCACAGTGCTATTAGGGCCTTTGGAGAACACTGGATCATAATACTTAATGTTTCATAAAATTTGAATTATAATTACTTCTCTCACATACAGAACTTTTAGCATAAGCCTGATGATCCAGTTTCCACTTTGAATACCATGTCATTCCTGACACCAACTGTCTCTTAGCATGCTTAGTATTCACAACATCTAAAATAATTATCATTATAAGAGATAAGGTATGGTTGCCAATTAGACAACTATCAAACAAACAAAAGGACAGAGATGTAAACAACTACAGGTCACAATACAACCTTTAACAATGAGCAAAACCAATACTTATAGCAAGCTAGGCAGATGAGGAAATGTGAATCAATTCAAAGAAGAAAATCAAGTACAACATTGACAAAAAGGCACAGAGTACCCACATTACTGGGATTAAATTTTGTTCTGTATAACAGATTTGTTTGACATTGTTGTCAGCTATGGTGTGGTGAAATACAGGATGAATGGGGTTTGCAGAAAAAATAGTGTTTACTTCTAAAATACTAAAATATTTGATGCTTGATTCACAGATTTCAATGTTATTTTTCTTTATTTCAGTCAAAGTTGGCAAATATGTCAAATGACTTTAAAGGAGTTTTGGAAGTTAGAACAGAGGTATGAAAATGAGTAATTAAGAAATTTAAATTTCTGGATCAAGTAATATACAATCTAATCTCTACCTTATGTTTAACCTTGTCATAAACACTATCAGTGTTTCTCTTGACATATTGCAAGGTGCAAAAATTCAGAGTGTGTTATCCTTTTTTTTTAGCGACCTATTGTGACTCCAGATTCTAAAATGCAGTTTTAACTCAAATCATGCTTTATGACATGTGTAAATAATTTATGATTATGTGTTATAATTGGAATTTACAATTAATTTGTCTGGTTTTTTTTTTTTTGCATTAAATATCATTTAGGTACAGTCTGCTATTAAAGATTTCAAAACTTGTTTTATTTAATTTATTTCTTTTGAAAGTGTAATTTATCACTGGACAGCCATGAGGTGTACATTTACAAATACATATGCATGCTTAAAATTTGTCTTATTACAAACACATAACTTGACATTTGAGGGTGAAAAAGGTATGATTCTAGGACAAAATATATATTTGAAGTTACTACAAATTACAACAGTTAACTTGGAATAATAAAAGTACAAATAAATCAATTTTTAAAGAAGATGACAAAAAAGTTCTTTTTTTGTGTGAAATTTTACTTACCTGTATTTTGAACATCATTGTATTCATATAGTATTAAAAAAATCAACAAGCACAAATTTCTTTTAATACTTGAAGAAACACTGATTTTTCTGTTTAAAATTATATTGATCTTGAAATAACTAGCTTTTTGTATATTAAATGAAAACAGTATACAGTTATAACCAATATTTACTTGACACCCTTCCAGGATTATGAAACTGTGTCTCTTAACCTCAGGTAAACATGAAAAATGAATTGGTTGTCCTTTCATAATTGTGGTTGCTATTTACCAACTTCTCTTGTGACATTAAGGTTTTAAACTATTTTCAAGAATATAATACAATTAATCATAGTGTTTGTGTTTGATGTGTTTTATTACTTTTCTACAGAATCTGAAACACCAAAAATCTCGTCGAGAACAATTTTCACAGTCAAATGCAATGTCAATGCATCCATCAACAGTTGGCAGTAGAGGTGTGTACTTTCTTAAGTATATTGCAATAGATATTCTTAATTATAAAATTATTAAAATTTCTTGCTCAATGCGGTTGCAAGGAATTTTAAGCTTAACTACGTCCAAAAGGATAAGTTGAACTATTGTCACCACTTGACATGTGTCATTATTAACTTTTTTTTTAAATTGCTTTCCAATCAATTTTTTCAACAATGTAAGTAGTGAAGTAACAAACACTGTAGTATTCTTTAGGTTTTCCATCCACTGTCTGCCACTGCAATGGTATCTAACGTAAAATTGTTGGCTTGATTATACCTGTCCAATTGAACAATTGAACATTAGAATAGTTTCAGTGATTACAATAATATAATTCCAACTTGTATGTTCAGTCTTATTTCATTGGTAGGCATCATGGCAACCAAAATGTTTATACTTGCATAAACCTATTTCTTGATGTCAGGAGTATTTATTCCTTCATAGGCAAAATATTTCTGTAGGTTTTCATGAAATGGTTGATCTAAGCATACATTTCATTGCATTTAATTGTAGTTATAAGAAATGAAGGTCACTTTGGACTTTATCCAGTTTTTGACAAGTTGACCTAATTTACACATTAGTGTACTCCTTCAATGTAACCTTTATTACTATAGTATATTTAAATACCAGATTTTTGTCTTACCAGCACGAAAGTCACAGAATGCTAGTCATAGGGATTATAATTCAGCAGCGGCATCTGCAAATTATTTGTATGATGGCTAAAAATTTCTAGGGGTAGATGCTTCCTTGTTATGTGGTGTATCATGTTACGAAGTTTCTGTCTGTCATATGTCCATTGTCCTTGACCTCATTTTCATGGTTCAGTGACTGCTTAAAAAAACTGTTTAGTTTATGTCATACTTTCTAACTTATTAGGAGCAATAGGATAACTATATTTGGTATTTCGGATCCTTGCAATGTCTACATGTCCATCAGACAAGGATCACCAGACCTGGTCCCCATTTCTTGGAACAGGTTTTAGTTTTTTGTGTTCAAGTCTGTATCTCAGATACTGTAATTATAAGCAGTTGGTCTATTAATTTGGTGTATGGAATAATTGTAAGGTGTCTGCCCATTTTCAATACTGTCAGCATGAAGTTAACTAAATTTGGTGTATGGAATGATTGCAAGGTTAACATATTGTATTCTGACCTTGCCTTTATTTTCAGGGATCATTGGTCAATGGTATGTTTTCATGGTAAGGTTTGTTTCCCAGTTACTGTAAGCATATGGTCAAATATATTTCTTGTATGAAATGATTGTACGGTGTACATATCTGTCCGGCAGGTTTGTCTGACATTGACCTCATTTTCATGGTTCAAAAGTCAATGTTATGTTTTCATGGTGAAGTCTAATTCTCAGATACTTAAGCACCATGTTAACTATATGTGGAATATGGAATCATTGCAAAGTGCACATGTCTGTCTAGCAGAGTTTATCTGACCTTGACCTTATTTTCAGGGTTCATTGGTCAAAATTTTTTTTTTTCTTAGTAAGGTCTGTTTGTCAGATACTATAAGCAATAGGTTAACTATATTTGTGTATTGAATGATTGTCAGGCAAACATATCTGTCCGAAAGGGTTCATCTGACTGTGACCTCATTTACATGAATCATTGATAATGTTAATTAGGGCGTCCGCCGAATCCCCGCAGATTGGCGGACACCCTATAGTGATCCGTCTGTCCTTCCAAATTGTGTCCACTCTATATCTAGAGAACCGTTATGATTTCAAAGTTTATACTTGACATGTATATTAACCAAAACCAGAGGGTGTGTCATAATGTATGTACAAATTCCTAGGTCAAAGGTCAAGGTCAAAAACTTTGGTTTCAGTTGAGAACCCCATGTCCTATGGTAATAATCGTGTCTGCTCTACATCTTGAGAACCGTTATGATTTCAAAGTTTATACTTGACATGTATATTAACCAACACCAGAGGGTGTGTCATAATGTATGTACAACTTCCTAGGTCAAAGGTCAAGGTCAAAAACTTTGGTTTCAGTTGACAACCCTATGTCCTATGGTAAAGATACAAATTTTTTAACGCACATTATTCACAGCAGGGCCCACAGTGATGGCTCCCATCTCAATGATATCTAATTTATATAGTACTTGTTGTATAACCTTTTTCTCTAAGACTTTCACTATAAGTTCAATCATGAACATTAAAGCAGGCAAGACATTTCAGTGTGTGCATGCTTGTTAAAACAAGGACTTATTAACCTATCTTGTGTATATTTTTTCCCAGAAAAATCTGTATTATTTGAAGATGAAGCTACATATAATGGTGCTTCTGGTGGTGGAGATTTTGTGATGAACATGGATGGTTCATCTAAACATCAACAACAGCAGCAATTGATAGATCAACAGGTATTTAGACCCTTGTTTAACAAAATAGTTCTATATGCAGAATCTTTAAGCCTTAAGACAGTTGTTTAATGATAAGCGAGAACATGATTTGACAATGTATTTAGACAGTCAGACAATGAAACGTTCCTGGAATATTTCTGATGTAGCCTCACATACTTTATATAGAATCTTGGATCAGTCTGAGGTTAAGAAGACCAACCATCCATAGTGCCTAAGCCTTTGATGACCGCAAGATATATATGTAAAAATAAACTTGTTTGTTGCAGAAAATCACTTGATATGATATCAATTAGATCAAGATTTAGTTCAAGACCTAATTCTTATAGCTTGAGTTTCTACTTTTGCCTCTACTATGGCAAAGGTCTTCAACAATTTGTTTAAGCAGTTGTTTTAGCATTAACACATCACATTTCTATAGAGACTACTTGGCCCCGTCCCTCAGTCATGGTATATTGACTTTGAAAGTTTTGCATAGTTTACATATATTATAGTGTTTATTTTAAACTTGAACATTTGCATTATACTATCAAAAGTAAACACAAGGGAAGCATATCTTTGGCAGCAGTTTATATAGAAAATTTAATAAAAACATCCTGAAATACAATTAAACAAAATGTTTAAATGATGTATGTTTTCTTCTCCAATGAGGAATAACATGACAGTTTTTAGGTGTAATTATAAAGCTTTTTGTGTTCATGAATTGGCTGTAGAAAAAATATTAAAATGTTGATCACTTTACATGTATATAGTACAAATGAAAACATAAAACTAGAACAAAAATGAAAAGGTTTCATTATTTGAAAGAATGGAAACATTTAATTTCAGGACACATATATAGAGGATAGGGCAAACACGATGCAGAGTATAGAATCAACGATAGTCGAACTGGGCTCAATATTTTCACAGTTAGCACATATGGTCAAAGACCAGGAAGAAATGGTTCAAAGGTACATTTGGAGAATATTTTGGTTATATAAACTATCACCATTTTCTGTTTATTCAACCAAGTTTTTTCAAACATTGAATCTATGTTTAGAAAGCTTGTAATTTTACATTTAGGGAACTTTAAAAAAAAAATCATTATGGTATGCAATGGGGGAAAGTTCTTCCAACAGTCTGTAAAAGAAAAGAATGAAAGAAGCTAGAGTGCATCAATGAAAAAACACAATAACATTTAAACTTGCTTTATATTTAGTGTTATAACGTCATATTAGAAAAAAAAAAAGAACATTAGAAAAAGTATAACCATATTTATTTTGGTTTTCCTAAAGACTATTTTGTTAATTTTTTCTAACTTCAAAGCTTACATAAGGCCAAAACATACCTGATTATAATATCACTTAAGTTTTACCATTTCTCTTTGACATTTATGTTCAACAGTAATCTACAAAATTTTAGTTTCCCATGAGCATACCATTCAAAATCTAATTATTGAATAACATTAAGTGGGAGAAGCATTTGCAATCATTGTATGGAAAGCTGTATGCTTTTTAGTTTATAAGTTGAATTCACAATTCAATATTACCACTAAAGTAGGGGACAGAATTGTCATTCTGTGTTATAATTCCAATACACTTAATGTTGTTAATGGGAGATAACTCTTACTATTTTAATATAAAACATTCTATTTCATTTTAATATTTTTTCAGAATTGACACTAATGTGGAGGATACAGAAATGAACATTGAAGCAGCTCATGGAGAAATATTAAAATACTTTCAATCAGTGACTTCAAACAGATGGTTGATGATAAAAATATTTGCTGTTTTAATTATATTTTTTATAGTATTTGTTGTATTTATGGCATAACTCATTTATTTAAATGGAATTTTATGCAGTCTAATTGATCAACCACCAAAAATAAGAAATACTTTTAGATTTTTATACAAAATCCAGTAAAATTGATGCCAGTTGTTACCGATTCAGTTATATTCCATCCAGGTCAGGACCAAAGCGAAAGAGAGAGACAAACCATGGGTAACAATTAGAAAGATTGTGATACATAGTGAAGCCTTGACTAGGATCATCTGTGCTTTATATCTGGTCAGCTAAAAAAGATAAACATCTTTTATTTTTCTATATATGTTTGGGCAAAATAAATTTCAATTTGAAGAGGATAATTAATCTAAATCTTATTCTTCAGTTATTCTCCACTATTTTATCAACACTTTTTCAAACAAAATATGTACTAATATTTTTATCAGTTAATATATTATTGTATTACATGTTAATTGTTATTTGTCTCCAAAGAGATTTGTGCAGAATAAATGAACATTATGGAATGGACCAATTATATGAAAATAGTCTGTTTATAATATTTTAGGTGACATTTTCAGTTTTAACATCTCTTGGGTAATTTTGACATCATGTATGATTACTTATTAAGTTCAGATGGCATATAGATTAATATTGATCAAGTCTATTAGCTTGACTAGATTCTGACAGCAGATGTATATTGCCAGTTTTGTTATAGTTTATCTTAACACTAAAAATGCAGAAGTTTATGTGTGCATTTATTAATTTGAATTGTTGAAAAATGACTGAAACTCTATTTTCTATTGAAGTATTAACTCTTAGAATGAAACAGCAAGTTAAAAACATAGTGATCTCACCTAGTCCCAATTTTTTAATTTATTTTTTCAATCTACAATGTTCTAGTAAATCAATATTAAAGAAAACTATTAATTTTATGAAAATAAGATGGTACTTATATTAGTATCAATAACAACAGTATTTGATTTAAAGAGCTTCTTATATTATATTTGAGAAAAAAAAATTAGACTAGGTTTTGTTATCTTCTCCCTAAAAATGTATCTTGTGTTTTCTATATGATATGTGTCTGATGTATCCAGCTTTTATTGTTTACTATTGAGGGAAGGGGAGGGGGATTCTACGTGAAAAGTAAATCTGTTACTCATATTATTAAACTTTTTTCTTTATATTTCATATAAATATTGGTAAAATAAAAACCTTAGTAACAAATTTTGAATTTATATCCTTACATTCTTTAATTAAATACAAGTTATATTTACCCATGGTTGATATAGTAGTAACTTTTGATTTAAACAAACTTTCCATATTTCTTTTTACCAACTTAAACACAAGATATGTTTTGCTTTTTGTCCAGTTGCAAATGTATTCATATTATTAGGGAGAATAAAAAATTATACTATTAAGTTCTAGGTTCTGCCAAGTTGGTCAACTGAGATGGTTAGTTGTAAAATGGACTCTCACTGGAAAAAAAGAGAAGTGTTATTTCAGTTGGAGCAGAAATTTCTTCTCACAACAGGCCCTTTAAAATCCCTTAAATAACTATTGCAAGTGTTTGTAAAGTGCAATGATCATGACACTCTCCCAAATAGGGAACCATATTTAGCATCCCATTCTCACCCTATAAGGTGATGAGATAAATTGTTTATACTAAATACATTACAAAATAGAATTACTTTGATCTGTTATCTTTATTTCACCAGAATTAAACTGGAAAATGTTATTTCACCACACAGGTATACTGTTATTTTTAGTATGTCTAGTATTAGATATAATCTTATATTTTAAAGCAAGAAGTAACTTTTTAATAGAAAATTCTCCAAAATAATTCATTGCACATACTTTGAAGTGACTAGTTTGTCAGAATACTTGTTGGCTTTTACTTCTATTACGTTTTTTAAAGTGCCTTTATTGAAGACCAAACATGAATGGCAAAAGTTGTTGTGCTGAATGCATTTCATTTAAAGATACAAACTTGGGATAGTTTTATATCATCTTGTATAATTACCCAGATTTATAGTATGATGACCATATTTGGAAACAGTGAAACTAAAAATCTAGGACTTATTTTTTTCTGCATTATAAATTCTTACTTTGACAATCATTATTTAAAACTATGAATGATCTTAAATGCTTAAAATATTGCTATTTTTAAGAGACCAAAAATTTCGATCAACACGGATATAAAACTGAAAGTATTAATTTTATTTATGTACTTCTCTTCCATATATGTAAAATATAACTGTATAGATCATTGGGTGTTATCATGTCATTCACCAGGGACCACCTACATTGTAGTCTGTTGTTTTACTTTCTATTATTATATTTATGATGTTGACCATTCATATATTTATTTTTCATTACATTTATTGGTATTCCATACACACATTAGATTTGAAATGATCTGTTTTAGAGATATACAGATAATTATGTTTTACTTTTCAAACATGTTTCTCTCTATCTTCCAATTTCCTATTTTGCCTAATTTCTTGTTTGCAATTTAAGATTTTAGGTCACCTTTCCCTTTTGATTTGAAAAGTACTATTATATGTTACAAATATCTGTTTTCATCATTTTACTGGAATCTTACATTAAGGAATTACAGAATTGTGTAATTTCTCATTAACTTATTTTGATGGAATCATACTTTTTATTTGTTGTTTAGTTGGAAATAAGGTGTTAATGCAAAGTCGTCACAAAAAATACAGTTCTTATGAACAGGTCTACAGATCAACATTCAGTGCAACATTCTGGTAAAAAAATTTCATTGGGTTTTATATTTGTAGGACTCTAAAGTGTGATGGTTACGCTAAAAAGCGATAGTCTACGCTAAAGTGTGATGTTTGGTTACGCTAAAGTGCAATGGTCTGTGCTATTCAATGGAACATGCTGAAGTATGATGCCTCAATACGCTAAAATGCAATTTTCCGCGAAAGTGCGATTGTTTACGAAAATAAGGAAGTTAGCTAGGTTTAAAAGCATTCTGACATTACACGCTGTTTGTACAAACGAAGTCATTCACATACCGGAAAACAAGAATGTTTGTCCAGGTTTTTATTAGACAGCAAAAAAGAAAAAAGAAACCAAATGACCCCAATCCGGAACATTTTTGGTCGGTTCTCGAAGAGGTTACCTTAATTCGGATAATTTTGGTTTACAAAGGCTTCAAAATGACCAGTGTAAACAATTCAAACGAGCAAAATAATGGCCTGATTTATATACAAAATAATAAACGAAAAACAAATATGAAATACAGCAACAACGAAACGACTACCACTGAATTACAGCTGTCGGTTTATTGGATTGAAACAGGTTCATAAAGTTAATACTAGCTACTGCAATGTAATCATTTCACTTTTTTAACAACTATCGTACATTAAATGAAAGTAAGAAGATGTGATATAACTTGTCAATGAGACAACTATCCACCCAACACCAAATGTCGTTAATGTTGCAACTAATAACCGTACGGCCATCAACGTGGAGTCTTAGCCTACGACGCATAGCAAGTCGTATAGGGCCATACAATAACCAGTAGAAAACATTTCAAAAGAGAAAGACAACGGCATGATTTATAATCCGGCAAAAACAATTAACAAAGAATTTAATAGGAACAGCAAAAAAAAACCAAAAAAAAACAATTGCCTGAACTTATTGCTATACCATTGCACTTTAGTGTCTGGCACCATCGCACTTTAGCGTGACCATCGCACTTTAGAGTCCTACATATTTAATACCTATGCAGAAGTATCCTAAATTGAGTGTCCCTACTAGTTTTGAAAAGCATTTGGTACAGGCTTCTTGAAAATTGTCTTAAGAGTTCAAAGTATGATTAAAAACCCCACCAATCTGCAGTGGATATTCAAGTTTGTATTTTTTTTTTAGGGTTGTGTTAATTTAATGAACCTTAAACATTGAATACATACTGAGCATTATTTACAATGTAGATGTATGAAAGCATTTTTTTTTTCTATCACCACATATTTATACTGTGTGATTTATGGGAATTTTTTGTTGATGATACATTTTATATTTTTTGATTCATATGAATCTTCTTAACACTTCTTAGTTTATGTGGCAATTCTAATAATATCAGAAATATTGACAAGGAATATTTTATTTTACATGGGATAACTACACTTTAGCACCCCTACCTTGTCATGCAATGGGAATAGAGGTTTTGTCATGTCCATCTTTATATTTGTTTGTTCTTAGTATAATGTTTAGGTCCATTTCTCAGTAAAACAATATGATATATGCTGCAATCTTCCTTACAGTGCAATGCAGCTCACCATCATCTTTGTTATTATGATATACATGTATAACTTTACTGGTGAAGATTAATGTAAATCTCTCAATGTGTGTTTAGATATTAATCAAATTGCATAATTACAGTATTCTTAGTTAATACAACGGTGTCATTTGGGTAACTATGTCCTCAACATTTCATATTTAGGTGAATTTTATTTGCCTCCAAAAGCTATGGTAGTATATCAGTGATATTTCACCATTTAAGTTTTCTCATAGTAAAATGTCATTTGACAGGATTTAGGTCACAATAGCTTACATTTCATGCTTGAGTGATTGGGTTAAGGTCTATTTCACAGCAATCATAATAATGTATCCCTGATATTTTCCCACAGCTCTCATGTATACTAATGCTGTTCAGAATCATTAGGGTTACTGTGGCTAACATTGTGTCATATATTTCAGGGGGAAGGGCATCTATGTTTACATATAATTGTCAGTGATAAGTGGATGTCTCAGTATAAAATCTTAGTAACATTGTATCCTATATCATTCCTGTTAATTGGTGCATCCAGGGATTGCTCTTACATTGTATTGTTTGTTTTAAGGTAATACAGTAATAATGGTCAAAAACAAGTATGTATTGTTGATTGTTCAACTTAATGTGTGAAAATTAAATCATGCTCATGTGATAAATATTATAATGTTATGATATGTCTGGTGCAATGTCACCAATCAAGTAATAAAATATTAAATACAATTAATTTGTTATATATTTTTATTAAGAAGACTGAAATTTTTAGCACTCAAATATAAAAGAAAAAATCATATGTTGTTTGTCTGAAATCAAATGTGGTCATCTTATTTCCTATGTTCCATCTTAAAAAACACATAATTCCAATCTGAGAAGATTTTTTCTTCATAACTTTTTTAAATTCTTAAAATGATTGTAGTAAATGCATTTTAAACATTTAAACACAAGGAAGATTTTGCGAGTTCAATAAGTAATCAAAATTCATAGCAAAGTAAAAATGAGATTATTAAAAACATTGAGTTGAATAATGAAACAAGTTTGGAGCTGTTTTGTAGGTTAGTTTCAATAACATTTCTTTATTTAACCTGACAAATTTTATTCCTCATTATCTGATTTTAATGACCAAGTGATTGTTATGCAAAGACGTCAAATGTATATATACATTGATTTGTGGACTGAGATAAATACAAACAACTCAATTTTCACTAGTTAAACTTAGTATAAAATAATTTATTTTTAAGAATATATCCATTTCCTATTATGTTAATTCAATGATCCTGTGTTTCCATTGTATAGATTATGAAATTTTCACAAAAATCTCAACGAAAATACTTTAAAAACTTTGATATTTAATCAATGAACTAGAGTTGTTTCTCTTTGTTCAGTTTGGAGGATAGAAAGATGCAAATATGTCTTATTGATTGATTTATGACAATAGGCATAGGAGGCCTTTTCCTTGTAACAAGGCTGATTAAAAAGAGATATCTGTTGTAAAATATGAGTCAATAAACAAAAACTTTTCACCAAAGTTTTAGATCACAGATATTTGGCAGGAAGTTTCAGTGAGGGACTAAATGGTTAATGTCACAAATAGGAAGAAATTACAATTCACAAACTTCGGATTTTAACAGTGGTAATACACATGCTACAAATACAAGTATGTCTCGTATCAACAATAAGATAACTGTTTGATCCATCATAATGAAACAATACAGAATCCAAGCTTTAAAACGACCTGGACTAATGTCTGGTCAAGTGTAAGTTTTAAAGTTAAATGGACTACATTGGCTAATGTCAAATTTGTTCTCAACTTGTCTTGATTTAGATCTATTAAGATAGCTAGACAAATTCCCTTTTTCTGCATTAATGAGAACATGTCTAAAGTTTAGACAGTATGCAAACTTTTAGATTTTATGTTTTATTAAATTTGTTATGTTGCAAGAAATAGGAACCTGGTGACTTGGGGGGGGGGGGGGGGGTCTGGTGATGAAGGCTGTGGCATTAGCTCTTTAAATAAATCTTCATATTTCAGAAGAAGATCTGGATAATTAGTTTTTGGTATACAGATGGTTATGGTCTGATTGGTTGATTGTTTGTTGCCTGGTTACCATCCATTGGCAAATATTTCATTCATATTTAGGACGACCTCATGGTCAGGTTTCCGTCAAGCATATGTCCGTTGTCCGACCTCATTTTTAGTGGAAGAAGACTTCAAGTCTTATGAAAGCCTTTACTGCCGGCTGTAAAATCATTGAACCATTACCAGGTTGTATGCCGTATCCTTTTCTGTGTATTACAATTTCATTACAACTTCCGTGCCATTTCGTGACACCGATTTTTACACATGATTAAGTATCTGCATCATTTAATTTATAAGTTAGGCTTGAAAAACAATCACTAGCGTAAGTGTTATAGTTTCTAATGTTTTAATGTAAAAATATATACCCTTTTATTTATGTAAATTATTAGATTTCATCTCATCTTACATGAACTTTCTTTCTTTCTTTCCAAATCTTCACATCCTTTGTAGGACAACCACACCGCTACAATATCTGTTCGGCATGTAGAACAAAACCCACCACCATGAATGAAGAAATATATGTACACTCTATTTTGAATAATACTATCCTCCACCAATATATACAGGTTCACTTTTGTAGTTGCTCACATAACTTGTGTGTACTCTTAGTTGCATTTAAAATTCATAGGCTAGTTACTGGACATATTTACAGGGGGATTATTTATGTTTACGTGGTAAAATAGTTCATACGTAAAAAGAAACGTTGTAAAATAATTACTTCAATCAGATTCGCACTCTAAAATCTAAAATCTAGGATAGTTCGCCTTAGGATCTAAAAAGTCGGCTCATTGAGCTTATTGTCTTTATATTCACATTGTAAAATCTACTTAAATCACTTGTACTCCGCGTATTGAGCTTGTCGTTACACATCATAAGATCTAATAGAATTTAAATATTCACCTTATCTATGTTAGCACAATAAAGAATAAAATGACTTTAAAAGGTAAAAGATATCGTCTCGAGTCTGTATTGGCACCGGCACACCCATATTACGTATTAATAAGCATAATGTTCTTTGCACGCATGGGCATAATACTCTCATGAGCATTTGACATTTATGATGTTATACTATGTGTTTGACCTATTTGGAGTTGACTGCCCTACATCCCAGACCCCACCCTCCCATAGACCATGACCAGGCTATCTTCCATTCAGCTATGGTTGTAGTAAGAGTTTACATCTGGCACTGTGTATAAGGAATATAAGACGCCTTGCTTGGTGTTCTATCTTTGAGACTTCTTCACTGTTTAGTCGAAGTTGTCGTTGTACCATGGTTACGTCCATCAGTATCTGTATTTTAAACCCTTCACTTAAGGACTCCCATTCTATATTGCTGTGGTTTGTCAGTAGACTCTCTATATCATTAATGACTGGCCTTCTGATGTTATCCCAAGCTTTACATTCAATTAACAGATGTTCAACAGTTTCCTCTTTCTGGCTGCAGGCGTTACATATCTCCTGATTTCCCTCCTTATAGATTTTATATCTCAGGGGCTGCAGGGCGTAGGTTCCTGTCAGGAGTTTTAGTTTGACTGGAATTCTAGAACGGTCTTTATTGGTATAGCTTTTTATCTTCAATATGTTGTGGATTCTACCCGCTTTGAAGTTATCTGTCTGAAGGTATTTTAACCCTTGGTACAGATTGGCAATAACCGATATTTCATTGGCCCAGTAATTAGCAATTTGCCTTTTTATTTGATTGATAGTGGTTTTAGTCACATCTGCATTATCTAGCATGTCCATGGCCCTGCCGAGGTTGTATTTGAACATGACCCTCTGTACTTCAATATACCAGCTGTGGCTTCCTGATGATTTTACAGTGAGTTGTCTCTTACCAAGCTGTTTTTCAACACTGTTGTCTGCTTGCTGACATATGCTACAGAAGAATGTCATCATTTTGGCATAGATTTGTGCCTCGACTGGTAGGATGCCTGTTAGGATGTAGACTGCTGGGTCAGGAGTACTCATGGGGACTGAGAGAATTTGTTTGAGCATCTTTTTCTGGAACTTCTCTAGGGTTTCCAAGTGTGCTGACTTTGGTGTCAAAAGCTCCATCCCGTAGAGTAGTACTGGGGATATGTAGGTCTTAAATAGATGGATTAAGCTTTCAGGATCTAGTCCGTTTTCTCCATGGAATCCACTGCCGAGCAGGGCATAGGCACTTCTTCTTGCTTTCTTAACATTCTCTTCAACATTGGACTCGATGTTTTGTCTCATTGATGGTGTTCTTATTATACCAAGATGGGTTGATTTTATGACGTTTGGCATTGGATCTTTTCCTAGCTGGTATTGTTCTGGTTCACAACTGTTCTTGGTTGGTTTAGGTTGGATGTGTATTGCCACACTCTTCTGGGGTTGGAGCTTATAGCCTTCCATTCCAGCGTAGTCAGCAGATATATTTATTTGTATCTGCATATCAGGTGGTCTTTTTCCCAATAATGCTATGTCGTCTGCGCATGCTGTGGTATTGCATAGGACATTACCAATTTTGCATCCAAGGCCTGATTGCTGTAATCTATTCAGGAGAGGGTTTACATAGACCTTGTATAAATCAGTGCTGAGAATTCCTCCTTGTCGTACACCTTGGCTTACTGCGAACTCGTCCGCAATCATTCCTTCCCATTTGATGGCACTCGTTGATTGCCAGTGCATACTCTGTATTATCCTCCAGAGAGTGTCGTCGATACCGCAATGAAAGAGTCGTCGCATTAGGTGACTGTGTACCACTACATCAAATGCCGACTTTGCGTCTAATAGAACCAGCTCAAAATCTTGGTTGCTGTCTACACTCTCACGATAAACTTCTTCCACGACCAGAGCTGCGTTCAGTGGCGATGATTTTGCCGTGAAGCCTCGTTGGGTGGGATTTTGATCTTGAAGGACTTTTGGTTGTATTCTGTCTCTGATTATTGCCTCTACTATCTTATTAACGACTGGCAGTACTGTTATACCTCTGTAGTTGGCAGCATGACATCGGTCCCCCTTGTTTTTGAAGACAGGAGTAAGTAGTCCTTTCTTAAGTATGTCTGGAATACAGCCATGTTTAAATACTAGGTTGATGAGCAGTAAAAGTAGTTGTTCTAGTTTTTCTCCTGCATAGATGAGGTGCTCAACTGTGATGCCATATATGTCTGCAGATTTACCTTTGTTTAATGACTTTATGGCCTTCTTAAGCTCTGTGTGGTTTGCCAAAGGTGTTTTCTTACTTTTTACCATGTCGTTGATTAATTCGATCTCATATTCTACCAGCTCGTGATAGTGATAATCCTTCAGCTGGGATGATTTTTCTGCTGATGCTAGATTTCCAAAGTGTTCAGTAAAGCCTTCGATTACTTGGTCACCAGAGTAACATTTGTCATTTACATGTAGATCCATTATACCAGCCCTGTTTCTGTTCCTACTGCTTTTTACGAGTTTGTGGTACAGCTTACTGTCTCTTGTTCTTGCCTCCAATATCTCTTGTTTTTCCCTGTCTCGCTCTCTGGCCTGCTCAACTTTCACCTGCTTTTTAAATTCCTTTCTGGTGTTAATTCTGTCTTGATATGACTTGTCAGCTGGGTTGGTGGGTTTCCCATTTCTAGTCCATACATCATAGCGTTTTCTCATCTCTTTCAGACTACTTTTGATGATTGGCGTCCATACTTTC